CGAGAACTCTGTCCCAAGTCTAGAGGACCACCAACTTCAGCACAGCAACTCGAGGAATGCTCTGTGTACCCCAAATCGTCTCGAGATGAGAGCTGATTCCCTGGCTTAGGCTCAAGACGTATGCCAACTTTCCAGAAGCACCTCAGGAGGAGGCTTCTCAGCAATAGGTATGTGGGAGGGACTCCGAGTTTGCTGCCTCAAGGGGAATATACAGCGAGAAGGCCTAACTTGAAAGGAGGCCGGATTTCCTTGCAGTGGCTTGAATACTGGCTCGTCTTTCATCTCACAACATGAAGGGATGTCTGAATCCCCTGTGGAGACCTTAGAGAAAGCCCAAGGTCCCTGCCTCATTTTGACGGAATCCTCACATCCCGCTGACACCTCGAGAGGCACGCGGAGTTCATTGCTTCAAAAGGTGACGATGCCTGACTCCTCTTGAATACTATTAGGAATCCCAAAATCCCTTTGGCTGCTGGAAAGGGTCCTGGGTGCCCTGCCTCACCTTGAGAAGCGTCCCTTTTGCCCTGCCAAGCCTCGAAGAGATTCCTGAGGTGTCCCTCGTTATTAGACAGGAGTCCTGACGTCACTGAAGAAACTCGTGTTTTGAAGGGCCATCCCCGCCGTAAGTCGAGAACATACCCCAGGTCCCCGCCGCAACTCGAGAAAAACCATGAGACTTCCCCCTAGAGGCGAGATGAGGCCCCATTCCACTGCAATGCATGCAGAGCTATTCCGTGATCCCATTCAAACAAGTCAGGAGCTTCGACTTGCTTAATGGATATCGAGACAGTCCCCAAGAACACTGTCACCAGTCTAGTCGGACCCTGAGGTCACCCCAGCAACACAAAGCAGCTCCATGTGCCCCAAATCAACTCGAGATGAGGCCCGATTCCCCTGCATTGACTCCAGAGCCATTCCCCGTTCCAAGTTCAACACGAACGGTGGCTCGACTTCCTTCAGGCAACTCCAGAGATGCCCCGAGAACACTGTCCCAAATCTAGAGGAACACCAAATTCAGCACAGCAACTCGAGGAATGCTCTGTGTACCCCAAATCTTCTCGAGATGAGAGCTGATTCCCTGGCTTAGGCTCAAGACGTATGCCAACTTTCCAGAAGCACCTCAGGAGGAGGCTTCTCAGCAATAGGTATGTGGGAGGGACTCCGAGTTTGCTGCCTCAAGGGGAATATACAGCGAGAAGCCCTAACTTGAAAGGAGGCCCGATATCCTTGCAGTAGCTTGAATACAGGCTTGTCTTTCATCTCACAACATGAAGGGATGTCTGAATCCCCTGTGAAGACCTTAGAGAAAGCCCTAGGTCCCTGCCTCATTTTGACGGAATGCCTCACATCCCGGTGACAACTCGAGAGGCACGCGGAGTTCATTGCTTCAAAAGGTGACGATGCCTGACTCCTCTTGAATACTGATAGGAATCCCAAAATCCCTGTGGCTACTGGAAAGGTTCCTTGGGTGCCCTGCCTCATTTCGAGGTTCCTTTTGCCCTGCCAAGCCTCGAAGAGATTCCTGAGGTGTCCCTCGTTACTAGACAGGAGTCCTGACGTCACTGAAGAAACTCGTGTTTTGAAGGGCCATCCCCGCTGTAAGTCGAGAACATACCCCAGGTCCCCGCCGCAACTCGAGAAAAACCATGAGACTTCCCCCTAGAGGCGAGATGAGGCCCCATTCCCCTGCAGTGCATGCAGAGCTATTCCGTGATCCCATTCAAACAAGTCAGGACCTTCGACTTGCTTAATGGATCTCGAGACAGTCCCCAAGAACACTGTCACCAGTCTAGACGGACCCTGATGTCACGAAAGCAACGCAAAGCAGCTCCATGTGCCCCAAATCAACTCGAGATGAGGCCCGATTCCCCTGCATTGACTCCAGAGCCATTCCCCGTTCCCCATTCAACACGACCGGTGGCTCGACTTCCTTCAGGCAACTCCAGAGATGCCCCGAGAACACTGGCCCAAGTCTAGAGGAGCACCAATTTCAGAACAGCAACCCGAGGAATGCTCCGTGTACCCCAAATCATCTCGAGATGAGAGCTGATTCCCTGGCTTAGGCTCAAGACGTATGCCAACTTTCCAGAAGCGCCTCAGGAGGAGGCTTCTCTCAGCAATAGTTATGTGGGAGGGACCCCGAGTTTGCTGCCTCAAGGGGAATACACAGGGAGAAGCCCTAATGTGAACGGAGGCCAGATTTCCTTGCAGTGGCTTGAATACAGGCTCGTCTTTCATCTCACAACATGAAGGGATTTCCGAATCCCCTGTGGAGACCTTAGAGGAAACCCTAGGTCCCTGCCTCATTTTGACGCAATACCTCACATCCCCCTGACACCTCGAGAGGCATGCAGAGTTCATTGCTTCAAAAGGTGACGATGCCTGACTTCTCTTGAATACTTATAGGAATCCCAAAATCCCTGTGGCTACTGGAAAGGGTCCTTGCGTGCCCTGGCTCACCTCGAGAAGCGTCCCTTTTGCCCTGCCAAGCCTCGAAGAGATTGCTGAGGTGTCCCTCATTACTAGACAGGAGTCCTGACGTCACTGAAGAAACTCGTGTTTTGAAGGGCCATCCCCGCCGTAAGTCGAGAACATACCCCAGGTCCCCGCCGCAACTCGAGAAAAACCATGAGATTTCCCCCTAGAGGCGAGATGAGGCCCCATTCCCCTGCAGTGCATGCAGAGCTATTCCATGATCCAATTCAAACAAGTCAGGAGCTTCGGCTTGCTTAATGGATCTCGAGACAGTCCCCAAGAACACTGTCAGCAGTCTAGACGGACCCTGATGTCACCCCAGCAACACAAAGCAGCTCCATGTGCTCCAAATCAACTCGAGATGAGGCCCGATTCCCCTGCATTGACTCCAGAGCCATTCCCCGTTCCAAGTTCAACACGGACGGTGGCTCGCCTTCCTTCAGGCAACTCCAGAGATGCCCCGAGAACACTGTCCCAAGTCTAGAGGAACACCAACTTCAGCACAGCAACTCGAGGAATGCTCTGTGTACCCCAAATCGTCTCGAGATGAGAGCTGATTCCCTGGCTTAGGCTCAAGACGTATGCCAACTTTCCAGAAGCACCTCAGGAGGAGGCTTCTCAGCAATAGGTATGTGGGAGGGACTCCGAGTTTGCTGCCTCAAGGGGAATATACAGCGAGAAGCCCTAACTTGAAAGGAGGCCGGATTTCCTTGCAGTAGCTTGAAACAGGCTTGTTTTTCATCTCACAACATGAAGGGATGTCTGAATCCCCTGTGGAGACCTTAGAGAAAGCCCTAGGTCCCTGCCTCATTTTGACGGAATCCTAACATCCCGCTGACACCTCGAGAGGCACGCGGAGTTCATTGCTTCAAAAGAGGACGATGCCTGACTCCTCTTGAATACTTATAGGAATCCCAAAATTCCTGTGGCTAATGGAAAGGGTCCTTGGGTGCCCTGGCTCACCTCGAGAAGCGTCCCTTTTGCCCTGCCAAGTCTCGAAGCGATTGCTGAGGTGTCCCTCGTTACTAGACAGGAGTCCTGATGTCACTGAAGAAACTCGTGTTTTGAAGGGCCATCCCCGCTGTAAGTCGAGAACATACCCCAGGTCCCCGCCGCAACTCGAGAAAAAACATGAGACTTCCCCCTAGAGGCGAGATGAGGCCCCATTCCCCTGCAGTGCATGCAGAGCTATTCCGTGATCCCATTCAAACAAGTCAGGAGCTTCGACTTGCTTAATGGATCTCGAGACAGTCCCCAAGAACACTGTCACCAGTCTAGACGGACCGTGAGGTCACCCAGCAATGCAAAGCAGCTCCATGTGCCCCAAATCAACTCGAGATGAGGCCGGATTCCCCTGCATTGACTCCAGAGCCACTCCTTGTTCCCCATTCAACACGACCGGTGGCTCGACTTCCTTCAGGCAACTCCAGAGATACCCCGAGAACTCTGTCCCAAGTCTAGAGGACCACCAACTTCAGCACAGCAACTCGAGGAATGCTCTGTGTACCCCAAATCGTCTCGAGATGAGAGCTGATTCCCTGGCTTAGGCTCAAGACGTATGCCAACTTTCCAGAAGCACCTCAGGAGGAGGCTTCTCAGCAATAGGTATGTGGGAGGGACTCCGAGTTTGCTGCCTCAAGGGGAATATACAGCGAGAAGGCCTAACTTGAAAGGAGGCCGGATTTCCTTGCAGTGGCTTGAATACTGGCTCGTCTTTCATCTCACAACATGAAGGGATGTCTGAATCCCCTGTGGAGACCTTAGAGAAAGCCCAAGGTCCCTGCCTCATTTTGACGGAATCCTCACATCCCGCTGACACCTCGAGAGGCACGCGGAGTTCATTGCTTCAAAAGGTGACGATGCCTGACTCCTCTTGAATACTATTAGGAATCCCAAAATCCCTTTGGCTGCTGGAAAGGGTCCTGGGTGCCCTGCCTCACCTCGAGAAGCGTCCCTTTTGCCCTGCCAAGCCTGGAAGAGATTCCTGAGGTGTCCCTCGTTACTAGCCAGGAGTCCTGACGTCACTGGAGAAACTCGTGTTTTGAAGGGCCATCCCCGCCGTAAGTCGAGAACATACCCCAGGTCCCCGCCGCAACTCGAGAAAAACCGTGAGCCTTCCCCCTAGAGGCGAGATGAGGCCCCATTCCCCTGCAGTGCATGCAGAGCTATTCCGTGATCCCATTCAAACAAGTCAGGAGCTTCGACTTACTTAATGGATCTCGAGACAGTCCCCAAGAACACTGTCACCAGTCTAGACGGACCCTGAGGTCACCCCAGCAACGCAAAGCTGCTCCATGTGCCCCAAATCAACTCGTGATGAGGCCCGATTCCCCTGCATTGAGTCCAGAGCCATTCCCCGTTCCCCATTCAACACGAACGGTGGCTCGACTTCCTTCAGTCAACTCCAGAGATTCCCCGAGAACACTGTCTCAAGTCTAGAGGACCACCAACTTCAGCACAGCAACTCGAGGAATGCTCTGTGTACCCCAAATCGTCTCGAGATGAGAGCTGATTCCCTGGCTTAGGCTCAAGACGTATGCCACCTTTCCAGAAGCACCTCAGGAGGAGGCTTCTCTCAGCAATAGGTATGTGGGAGGGACCCCGAGTTTGCTGCCTCAAGGGGAATATACAGCGAGAAGCCCTAACTTGAAAGGAGGCCGGATTTCCATGCAGTGGCTTGAATACAGTCTTGTCTTTCATCTCACAACATGAAGGGATGTCTGAATCCCCTGTGGAGACCTTAGAGAAAGCCCTAGGTCCCTGCCTCATTTTGAAGGAATCCTCATATCGCGCAGACACCGCGAGAGGCACGCGGAGTTCATTGCTTCAAAAGGTGACGATGCCTGACTCCTCTTGAATACTGATAGGAATCCCAAAATCCCTGTGGCTACTGGAAAGGGTTCTTGGGTGCCCTGCCTCACATCGAGAAGCGTCCCTTTTGCCCTGCCAAGCCTCGAAGAGATTCCTGAGGTGTCCCTCGTTACTAGACAGGAGTCCTGACGTCACTGAAGAAACTCGTGTTTTGAAGGGCCATCCCCGCCGTAAGTCGAGAACATACCCCAGGTCCCCGCCGCAACTCGAGAAAAACCATGAGACTTCCCCCTAGAGGCGAGATGAGGCCCCATTCCCCTGCAGTGCATGCAGAGCTATTCCGTGATCCCATTCAAACAAGTCAGGAGCTTCGACTTGCTTAATGGATCTCGAGACAGTCCCCAAGAACACTGTCACCAGTCTAGACGAACCCTGACGTCACCCCAGAAACGCAAAGCAGCTCTAAGTGCCCCAAATCAACTCAAGATGAGGCCCCATTCCCCTGCATTGACTCCAGAGCCATTCCCCGTTCCCCATTCAACAGGACTGGTGGCTCGCTTTCCTTCAGGCAACTCCAGGGATGCCCCGAGAACACTGTCCCAAGTCTAGAGGAACACCAACTTCAGCACAGCAACTCGAGGAATGCTCTGTGTACCCCAAATCGTCTCGAGATGAGAGCTGATTCCCTGGCTTAGGCTCAAGACGTATGCCAAATTTCCAGAAGCACCTCAGGAGGAGGCTTCTCAGCAATAGGTATGTGGGAGGGACTCCGAGTTTGCTGCCTCAAGGGGAATATACAGCGAGAAGCCCTAACTTGAAAGGAGGCGGGATTTCCTTGCAGTGGCTTGAATACAGGCTCGTCTTTCATCTCACAACATGAAGGGATGTCTGAATCCCCTGTGGAGACCTTAGAGAAAGCCCTAGGTCCCTGCCTCATTTTGACGGAATCCTCACATCCCGCTGACACCTCGAGAGGCACGCGGAGTTCATTGCTTCAAAAGGTGACGATGCCTGACTCCTCTTGAATACTTATAGGAATCCCAAAATCCCTGTGGCTACTGGAAAGGGTCCTTGGGTGCCCTGCCTCACCTCGAGAAGCGTCCCTTTTGCCCTGCCAAGCCTGGAAGAGATTCCTGAGGTGTCCCTCGTTACTAGGCAGGAGTCCTGACGTCACTGGAGAAACTCGTGTTTTGAAGGGCCATCCCCGCCGTAAGTCGAGAACATACCCCAGGTCCCCGCCGCAACTCGAGAAAAACCGTGAGCCTTCCCCCTAGAGGCGAGATGAGGCCCCTTTCCCCTGCAGTGCATGCAGAGCTATTCCGTGATCCCATTCAAACAAGTCAGGAGCTTCGACTTGCTTAATGGATCTCGAGACAGTCCCCAAGAACACTGTCACCAGTCTAGACGGACCCTGAGGTCACCCAGCAATGCAAAGCAGCTCCATGTGCCCCAAATCAACACGAGATGAGGCCGGATTCCCCTGCACTGACTCCAGAGCCATTCCCTGTTCCCCATTCAACACGACCGGTGGCTCGACTTCCTTCAGGCAACTCCAGAGATGCCCCGAGAACACTGTCCCAGGTCTAGAGGACCACCAACTTCAGCACAGCAACTCGAGGAATGCTCTGTGTACCCCTAATCGTCTCGAGATGAGAGCTGATTCCCTGGCTTAGGCTCAAGACGTATGCCAAATTTCCAGAAGCACCTCAGGAGGAGGCTTCTCTCAGCAATAGGTATGTGGGAGGGACCCCGAGTTTGCTGCCTCAAGGGGAATATACAGCGAGAAGCCCTAACTTGAAAGGAGGCCGGTTTTCCTTGCAGTGGCTTGAATACAGGCTCGTCTTTCATCTCACAACATGAAGGGATGTCTGAATCCCCTGTGGAGACCTTAGAGAAAGCCCTAGATCCCTGACTCATTTTGACGGAATCCTCACATCCCGCTGACACCTCGAGAGGCACGCGGAGTTCATTGCTTCAAAAGGTGACGATGCCTGACTCCTCTTGAATACTGATAGGAATCCCAAAATCCCTGTGGCTACTGGAAAGGGTTCTTGGGTGCCCTGCCTCACATCGAGAAGCGTCCCTTTTGCCCTGCCAAGCCTCGAAGAGATTCCTGAGGTGTCCCTCGTTACTAGACAGGAGTCCTGACGTCACTGAAGAAACTCGTGTTTTGAAGGGCCATCCCCGCCGTAAGTCGAGAACATACCCCAGGTCCCCGCCGCAACTCGAGAAAAACCATGAGACATCCCCCTAGAGGCGAGATGAGGCCCCATTCCCCTGCAGTGCATGCAGAGCTATTCCGTGATCCCATTCAAACAAGTCAGGAGCTTCGACTTGCTTAATGGATCTCGAGACAGTCCCCAAGAACACTGTCACCAGTCTAGACGGACCCTGACGTCACCCCAGAAACGCAAAGCAGCTCTAAGTGCCCCATATCAACACGAGATGAGGCCCCATTCCCCTGCATTGACTCCAGAGCCATTCCCCGTTCCCCATTCAACAGGACTGGTGGCTCGCTTTCCTTCAGGCAACTCCAGGGATGCCCCGAGAACACTGTCCCAAGTCTAGAGGAACACCAACTTCAGCACAGCAACTCGAGGAATGCTCTGTGTACCCCAAATCGTCTCGAGATGAGAGCTTATTCCCTGGCTTAGGCTCAAGACGTATGCCAAATTTCCAGAAGCACCTCAGGAGGAGGCTTCTCAGCAATAGGTATGTGGGAGGGACTCCGAGTTTGCTGCCTCAAGGGGAATATACAGCGAGAAGCCCTAACTTGAAAGGAGGCGGGATTTCCTTGCAGTGGCTTGAATACAGGCTCGTCTTTCATCTCACAACATGAAGGGATGCCTGAATCCCCTGTGGAGACCTTAGAGAAAGCCCTAGGTCCCTGCCTCATTTTGACGGAATCCTCACATCCCGCTGACACCTCGAGAGGCACGCGGAGTTCATTGCTTCAAAAGGTGACGATGCCTGACTCCTCTTGAATACTTATAGGAATCCCAAAATCCCTGTGGCTACTGGAAAGGGTCCTTGGGTGCACTGCCTCACCTCAAGAAGCGTCCCTTTTGCCCTGCCAAGCCTGGAAGAGATTCCTGAGGTGTCCCTCGTTACTAGGCAGGAGTCCTGACGTCACTGGAGAAACTCGTGTTTTGAAGGGCCATCCCCGCCTTAAGTCGAGAACATACCCCAGGTCCCCGCCGCAACTCGAGAAAAACAGTGAGCCTTCCCCCTAGAGGCGAGATGAGGCCCCTTTCCCCTGCAGTGCATGCAGAGCTATTCCGTGATCCCATTCAAACAAGTCAGGAGCTTCGACTTGCTTAATGGATCTCGAGACAGTCCCCAAGAACACTGTCACCAGTCTAGACGGACCCTGAGGTCACCCAGCAATGCAAAGCAGCTCCATGTGCCCCAAATCAACACGAGATGAGGCCGGATTCCCCTGCACTGACTCCAGAGCCATTCCCTGTTCCCCATTCAACACGACCGGTGGCTCGACTTCCTTCAGGCAACTCCAGAGATGCCCCGAGAACACTGTCCCAGGTCTAGAGGACCACCAACTTCAGCACAGCAACTCGAGGAATGCTCTGTGTACCCCAAATCGTCTCGAGATGAGAGCTGATTCCCTGGCTTAGGCTCAAGACGTATGCCAAATTTCCAGAAGCACCTCAGGAGGAGGCTTCTCTCAGCAATAGGTATGTGGGAGGGACCCCGAGTTTGCTGCCTCAAGGGGAATATACAGCGAGAAGCCCTAACTTGAAAGGAGGCCGGTTTTCCTTGCAGTGGCTTGAATACAGGCTCGTCTTTCATCTCACAACATGAAGGGATGTCTGAATCCCCTGTGGAGACCTTAGAGAAAGCCCTAGATCCCTGACTCATTTTGACGGAATCCTCACATCCCGCTGACACCTCGAGAGGCACGCGGAGTTCATTGCTTCAAAAGGTGACGATGCCTGACTCCTCTTGAATACTGATAGGAATCCCAAAATCCCTGTGGCTACTGGAACGGGTCCTTGGGTGCCCTGCCTCACCTCGAGAAGCGTCCCTTTTGCCCTGCCAAGCCTCGAAGAGATTGCTGAGGTGTCCCTCGTTACTAGACAGGAGTCCTGACGTCACTGAAGAAACTCGTGTTTTGAAGGGCCATCCCCGCCGTAAGTCGAGAACATACCCCAGGTCCCCGCCGCAACTCGAGAAAAATCATGAGACTTCCCCCTAGAGGCGAGATGAGGCCCCATTCCCCTGCAGTGCATGCAGAGCTATTCCGTGATCCCATTCAAGCAAGTCAGGAGCTTCGACTTGCTTAATGGATCTCGAGACAGTCCCCAAGAACACTGTCACCTGTCTAGACGGACCCTGAGGTCACCCCAGCAACTCAAAGCTGCTCCATGTGCCCCAAATCAACTCGTGATGAGGCCCGATTCCCCTGCATTGACTCCAGAGCCATTCCCCGTTCCCCATTCAACATGACCGGTGGCTCTACTTCCTTCAGTCAACTCCAGAGATTCCCCGAGAACACTGTCTCAAGTCTAGAGGATCACCAACTTCAGCACAGCAACTCGAGGAATGCTCTGTGTACCCCAAATCGTCTCGAGATGAGAGCTGATTCCCTGGCTTAGGCTCAAGACGTATGCCACCTTTCCAGAAGCACCTCAGGAGGAGGCTTCTCTCAGCAATAGGTATGTGGGAGGGACCCCGAGTTTGCTGCCTCAAGGGGAATATACAGCGAGAAGCCCTAACTTGAAAGGAGGCCGGATTTCCTTGCAGTAGCTTGAATACAGGCTTGTCTTTCATCTCACAACATGAAGGGATGTCTGAATCCCCTGTGAAGACCTTAGAGAAAGCCCTAGGTCCCTGCCTCATTTTGACGGAATGCCTCACATCCCGCTGACACCTCGAGAGGCACGCGGAGTTCATTGCTTCAAAAGGTGACGATGCCTGACTACTCTTGAATACTTATAGGAATCCCAAAATTCCTGTTGCTACTGGAAAGGGTCCTTGGGTGCCCTGGCTCACCTCGAGAAGCGTCCCTTTTGCCCTGCCAAGCCTCGAAGACATTGCTGAGGTGTCCCTCGTTACTAGGCAGGAGTCCTGACGTCACTGAAGAAACTCGTGTTTTGAAGGGCCATCCCCGCCGTAAGTCGAGAACATACCCCAGGTCCCCGCCGCAACTCGAGAAAAACCGTGAGCCTTCCCCCTAGAGGCGAGATGAGGCCCCTTTCCCCTGCAGTGCATGCAGAGCTATTCCGTGATCCCATTCAAACAAGTCAGGAGCTTCGACTTGCTTAATGGATCTCGAGACAGTCCCCAAGAACACTGTCACCAGTCTAGACGGACCGTGAGGTCACCCAGCAATGCAAAGCAGCTCCATGTGCCCCAAATCAACTCGAGATGAGGCCGGATTCCCCTGCATTGACTCCAGAGCCACTCCTTGTTCCCCATTCAACACGACCGGTGGCTCGACTTCCTTCAGGCAACTCCAGAGATACCCCGAGAACTCTGTCCCAAGTCTAGAGGACCACCAACTTCAGCACAGCAACTCGAGGAATGCTCTGTGTACCCCAAATCGTCTCGAGATGAGAGCTGATTCCCTGGCTTAGGCTCAAGACGTTTGCCAACTTTCCAGAAGCACCTCAGGAGGAGGCTTCTCAGCAATAGGTATGTGGGAGGGACTCCGAGTTTGCTGCCTCAAGGGGAATATACAGCGAGAAGGCCTAACTTGAAAGGAGGCCGGATTTCCTTGCAGTGGCTTGAATACTGGCTCGTCTTTCATCTCACAACATGAAGGGATGTCTGAATCCCCTGTGGAGACCTTAGAGAAAGCCCAAGGTCCCTGCCTCATTTTGACGGAATCCTCACATCCCGCTGACACCTCGAGAGGCACGCGGAGTTCATTGCTTCAAAAGGTGACGATGCCTGACTCCTCTTGAATACTATTAGGAATCCCAAAATCCCTTTGGCTGCTGGAAAGGGTCCTGGGTGCCCTGCCTCACCTCGAGAAGCGTCCCTTTTGCCCTGCCAAGCCTCGAAGAGATTCCTGAGGTGTCCCTCGTTATTAGACAGGAGTCCTGACGTCACTGAAGAAACTCGTGTTTTGAAGGGCCATCCCCGCCTTAAGTCGAGAACATACCCCAGGTCCCTGCCGCAACTCGAGAAAAACCATGAGACTTCCCCCTAGAGGCGAGATGAGGCCCCATTCCACTGCAATGCATGCAGAGCTATTCCGTGATCCCATTCAAACAAGTCAGGAGCTTCGACTTGCTTAATGGATATCGAGACAGTCCCCAAGAACACTGTCACCAGTCTAGACGGACCCTGAGGTCACCCCAGCAACGCAAAGCTGCTCCATGTGCCCCAAATCAACTCGAGATGAGGCCCGATTCCCCTGCATTGACTCCAGAGCCATTCCCCGTTCCCCATTCAACACGACCGGTGGCTCGACTTCCTTCAGGCAACTCCAGAGATGCCCCGAGAACACTGTCCCAAGTCTAGAGGAACACCAACTTCAGCAAAGCAACTCGAGGAATGCTCCGTGTACCCCATATCATCTCGAGATGAGAGCTGATACCCTGGCTTAGGCTCAAGACGTATGCCAACTTTCCAGAAGCACCTCAGGAGGAGACTTCTCTCAGCAATAGGTATGTGGGAGGGACCCCGAATTTGCTGCCTCAAGGGGAATATACAGCGAGAAGCCCTAACTTGAAAGGAGGCCGGATTTCCTTGCACTGGCTTGAATACAGGCTCGTCTTTGATCTGACAACATGAAGGGATGTCTGAGTCCCCTGTGGAGACCTTAGAGAAAACCCTAGGTCCCTGCCTCATTTTGACGGAATGCCTCACATCCCGCTGACACCTCGAGAGGCAAGCGGAGTTCATTGCTTCAAAAGGTGACGATGCCTGACTCCTCTTGAATACTGATAGGAATCCCAAAATCCCTGTGGCTACTGGAAAGGGTCCTTGGGTGCCCTGCCTCACCTCGAGAAGCGTCCCTTTTGCCCTGCCAAGCCTGGAAGAGATTCCCGAGGTGTCCCTCGTTACTAGCCAGGAGTCCTGACGTCACTGGAGAAACTCGTGTTTTGAAGGGCCATCCCCGCCGTAAGTCGAGAACATACCCCAGGTCCCCGCCGCAACTCAAGAAAAACCGTGAGCCTTCCCCCTAGAGGCGAGATGAGGCCCCATTCCCCTGCAGTGCATGCAGAGCTATTCCGTGATCCCATTCAAACAAGTCAGGAGCTTCGACTTACTTAATGGATCTCGAGACAGTCCCCAAGAACACTGTCACCAGTCTAGACGGACCCTGAGGTCACCCCAGCAACGCAAAGCTGCTCCATGTGCCCCAAATCAACTCGAGATGAGGCCCGATTCCCCTGCATTGAGTCCAGAGCCATTCCCCGTTCCCCATTCAACACGAACGGTGGCTCGACTTCCTTCAGTCAACTCCAGAGATTCCCCGAGAACACTGTCTCAAGTCTAGAGGACCACCAACTTCAGCACAGCAACTCGAGGAATGCTCTGTGTACCCCAAATCGTCTCGAGATGAGAGCTGATTCCCTGGCTTAGGCTCAAGACGTATGCCACCTTTCCAGAAGCACCTCAGGAGGAGGCTTCTCTCAGCAATAGGTATGTGGGAGGGACCCCGAGTTTGCTGCCTCAAGGGGAATATACAGCGAGAAGCCCTAACTTGAAAGGAGGCCGGATTTCCATGCAGTGGCTTGAATACAGTCTTGTCTTTCATCTCACAACATGAAGGGATGTCTGAATCCCCTGTGGAGACCTTAGAGAAAGCCCTAGGTCCCTGCCTCATTTTGACGGAATCCTCATATCGCGCAGACACCGCGAGAGGCACGCGGAGTTCATTGCTTCAAAAGGTGACGATGCCTGACTCCTCTTGAATACTGATAGGAATCCCAAAATCCCTGTGGCTACTGGAAAGGGTTCTTGGGTGCCCTGCCTCACATCGAGAAGCGTCCCTTTTGCCCTGCCAAGCCTCGAAGAGATTCCTGAGGTGTCCCTCGTTACTAGACAGGAGTCCTGACGTCACTGAAGAAACTCGTGTTTTGAAGGGCCATCCCCGCCGTAAGTCGAGAACATACCCCAGGTCCCCGCCGCAACTCGAGAAAAACCATGAGACTTCCCCCTAGAGGCGAGATGAGGCCCCATTCCCCTGCAGTGCATGCAGAGCTATTCCGTGATCCCATTCAAACAAGTCAGGAGCTTCGACTTGCTTAATGGATCTCGAGACAGTCCCCAAGAACACTGTCACCAGTCTAGACGGACCCTGACGTCACCCCAGAAACGCAAAGCAGCTCTAAGTGCCCCAAATCAACTCGAGATGAGGCCCCATTCCTCTGCATTGACTCCAGAGCCATTCCCCGTTCCCCATTCAACAGGACTGGTGGCTCGCTTTCCTTCAGGCAACTCCAGGGATGCCCCGAGAACACTGTCCCAAGTCTAGAGGAACACCAACTTCAGCACAGCAACTCGAGGAATGCTCTGTGTACCCCAAATCGTCTCGAGATGAGAGCTGATTCCCTGGCTTAGGCTCAAGACGTATGCCAAATTTCCAGAAGCACCTCAGGAGGAGGCTTCTCAGCAATAGGTATGTGGGAGGGACTCCGAGTTTGCTGCCTCAAGGGGAATATACAGCGAGAAGCCCTAACTTGAAAGGAGGCGGGATTTCCTTGCAGTGGCTTGAATACAGGCTCGTCTTTCATCTCACAACATGAAGGGATGTCTGAATCCCCTGTGGAGACCTTAGAGAAAGCCCTAGGTCCCTGCCTCATTTTGACGGAATCCTCACATCCCGCTGACACCTCGAGAGGCACGCGGAGTTCATTGCTTCAAAAGGTGACGATGCCTGACTCCTCTTGAATACTTATAGGAATCCCAAAATCCCTGTGGCTACTGGAAAGGGTCCTTGGGTGCCCTGCCTCACCTCGAGAAGCGTCCCTTTTGCCCTGCCAAGCCTGGAAGAGATTCCTGAGGTGTCCCTCGTTACTAGGCAGGAGTCCTGACATCACTGGAGAAACTCGTGTTTTGAAGGGCCATCCCCGCCGTAAGTCGAGAACATACCCCAGGTCCCCGCCACAACTCGAGAAAAACCATGAGACTTCCCCCTAGAGGCGAGATGAGGCCCCATTCCCCTGCAGTGCATGCAGAGCTATTCCGTGATCCCATTCAAACAAGTCAGGAGCTTCGACTTGCTTAATGGATCTCGAGACAGTCCCCAAGAACACTGTCACCTGTCTAGACGGACCCTGAGGTCACCCAGCAATGCAAAGCAGCTCCATGTGCCCCAAATCAACACGAGATGAGGCCGGATTCCCCTGCACTGACTCCAGAGCCATTCCCTGTTCCCCATTCAACACGACCGGTGGCTCGACTTCCTTCAGGCAACTCCAGAGATGCCCCGAGAACACTGTCCCAGGTCTAGAGGACCACCAACATCAGCACAGCAACTCGAGGAATGCTCTGTGTACCCCAAATCGTCTCGAGATGAGAGCTGATTCCCTGGCTTAGGCTCAAGACGTATGCCAAATTTCCAGAAGCACCTCAGGAGGAGGCTTCTCTCAGCAATAGGTATGTGGGAGGGACCCCGAGTTTGCTGCCTCAAGGGGAATATACTGCGAGAAGCCCTAACTTGAAAGGAGGCCGGTTTTCCTTGCAGTGGCTTGAATACAGGCTCGTCTTTCATCTCACAACATGAAGGGATGTCTGAATCCCCTGTGGAGACCTTAGAGAAAGCCCTAGATCCCTGACTCATTTTGACGGAATCCTCACATCCCGCTGACACCTCGAGAGGCACGCGGAGTTCATTGCTTCAAAAGGTGACGATGCCTGACTCCTCTTGAATACTGATAGGAATCCCAAAATCCCTGTGGCTACTGGAAAGGGTCCTTGGGTGCCCTGCCTCACCTCGAGAAGCGTCCCTTTTGCCCTGCCAAGCCTCGAAGAGATTGCTGAGGTGTCCCTCGTTACTAGACAGGAGTCCTGACGTCACTGAAGAAACTCGTGTTTTGAAGGGCCATCCCCGCCGTAAGTCGAGAACATACCCCAGGTCCCCGCCGCAACTCGAGAAAAATCATGAGACTTCCCCCTAGAGGCGAGATGAGGCCCCATTCCCCTGCAGTGCATGCAGAGCTATTCCGTGATCCCATTCAAGCAAGTCAGGAGCTTCGACTTGCTTAATGGATCTCGAGACAGTCCCCAAGAACACTGTCACCTGTCTAGACGGACCCTGAGGTCACCCCAGCAACTCAAAGCTGCTCCATGTGCCCCAAATCAACTCGTGATGAGGCCCGATTCCCCTGCATTGACTCCAGAGCCATTCCCCGTTCCCCATTCAACATGACCGGTGGCTCTACTTCCTTCAGTCAACTCCAGAGATTCCCCGAGAACACTGTCTCAAGTCTAGAGGATCACCAACTTCAGCACAGCAACTCGAGGAATGCTCTGTGTACCCCAAATCGTCTCGAGATGAGAGCTGATTCCCTGGCTTAGGCTCAAGACGTATGCCACCTTTCCAGAAGCACCTCAGGAGGAGGCTTCTCTCAGCAATAGGTATGTGGGAGGGACCCCGAGTTTGCTGCCTCAAGGGGAATATACAGCGAGAAGCCCTAACTTGAAAGGAGGCCGGATTTCCTTGCAGTAGCTTGAATACAGGCTTGTCTTTCATCTCACAACATGAAGGGATGTCTGAATCCCCTGTGAAGACCTTAGAGAAAGCCCTAGGTCCCTGCCTCATTTTGACGGAATGCCTCACATCCCGCTGACACCTCGAGAGGCACGCGGAGTTCATTGCTTCAAAAGGTGACGATGCCTGACTACTCTTGAATACTTATAGGAATCCCAAAATTCCTGTTGCTACTGGAAAGGGTCCTTGGGTGCCCTGGCTCACCTCGAGAAGCGTCCCTTTTGCCCTGCCAAGCCTCGAAGACATTGCTGAGGTGTCCCTCGTTACTAGGCAGGAGTCCTGACGTCACTGAAGAAACTCGTGTTTTGAAGGGCCATCCCCGCCGTAAGTCGAGAACATACCCCAGGTCCCCGCCGCAACTCGAGAAAAACCGTGAGCCTTCCCCCTAGAGGCGAGATGAGGCCCCTTTCCCCTGCAGTGCATGCAGAGCTATTCCGTGATCCCATTCAAACAAGTCAGGAGCTTCGACTTGCTTAATGGATCTCGAGACAGTCCCCAAGAACACTGTCACCAGTCTAGACGGACCGTGAGGTCACCCAGCAATGCAAAGCAGCTCCATGTGCCCCAAATCAACTCGAGATGAGGCCGGATTCCCCTGCATTGACTCCAGAGCCACTCCTTGTTCCCCATTCAACACGACCGGTGGCTCGACTTCCTTCAGGCAACTCCAGAGATACCCCGAGAACTCTGTCCCAAGTCTAGAGGACCACCAACTTCAGCACAGCAACTCGAGGAATGCTCTGTGTACCCCAAATCGTCTCGAGATGAGAGCTGATTCCCTGGCTTAGGCTCAAGACGTTTGCCACCTTTCCAGAAGCACCTCAGGAGGAGGCTTCTCAGCAATAGGTATGTGGGAGGGACTCCGAGTTTGCTGCCTCAAGGGGAATATACAGCGAGAAGGCCTAACTTGAAAGGAGGCCGGATTTCCTTGCAGTGGCTTGAATACTGGCTCGGCTTTCATCTCACAACATGAAGGGATGTCTGAATCCCCTGTGGAGACCTTAGAGAAAGCCCAAGGTCCCTGCCTCATTTTGACGGAATCCTCACATCCCGCTGACACCTCGAGAGGCACGCGGAGTTCATTGCTTCAAAAGGTGACGATGCCTGACTCCTCTTGAATACTATTAGGAATCCCAAAATCCCTTTGGCTGCTGGAAAGGGTCCTGGGTGCCCTGCCTCACCTCGAGAAGCGTCCCTTTTGCCCTGCCAAGCCTCGAAGAGATTCCTGAGGTGTCCCTCGTTATTAGACAGGAGTCCTGACGTCACTGAAGAAACTCGTGTTTTGAAGGGCCATCCCCGCCGTAAGTCGAGAACATACCCCAGGTCCCTGCCGCAACTCGAGAAAAACCATGAGACTTCCCCCTAGAGGCGAGATGAGGCCCCATTCCACTGCAATGCATGCAGAGCTATTCCGTGATCCCATTCAAACAAGTCAGGAGCTTCGACTTGCTTAATGGATATCGAGACAGTCCCCAAGAACACTGTCACCAGTCTAGACGGACCCTGAGGTCACCCCAGCAACGCAAAGCTGCTCCATGTGCCCCAAATCAACTCGAGATGAGGCCCGATTCCCCTGCATTGACTCCAGAGCCATTCCCCGTTCCCCATTCAACACGACCGGTGGCTCGACTTCCTTCAGGCAACTCCAGAGATGCCCCGAGAACACTGTCCCAAGTCTAGAGGAACACCAACTTCAGCAAAGCAACTCGAGGAATGCTCCGTGTACCCCATATCATCTCGAGATGAGAGCTGATACCCTGGCTTAGGCTCAAGACGTATGCCAACTTTCCAGAAGCACCTCAGGAGGAGACTTCTCTCAGCAATAGGTATGTGGGAGGGACCCCGAATTTGCTGCCTCAAGGGGAATATACAGCGAGAAGCCCTAACTTGAAAGGAGGCCGGATTTCCTTGCACTGGCTTGAATACAGGCTCGTCTTTGATCTGACAACATGAAGGGATGTCTGAGTCCCCTGTGGAGACCTTAGAGAAAACCCTAGGTCCCTGCCTCATTTTGACGGAATGCCTCACATCCCGCTGACACCTCGAGAGGCAAGCGGAGTTCATTGCTTCAAAAGGTGACGATGCCTGACTCCTCTTGAATACTGATAGGAATCCCAAAATCCCTGTGGCTACTGGAAAGGGTCCTTGGGTGCCCTGCCTCACCTCGAGAAGCGTCCCTTTTGCCCTGCCAAGCCTGGAAGAGATTCCTGAGGTGTCCCTCGTTACTAGCCAGGAGTCCTGACGTCACTGGAGAAACTCGTGTTTTGAAGGGCCATCCCCGCCGTAAGTCGAGAACATACCCCAGGTCCCCGCCGCAACTCAAGAAAAACCGTGAGCCTTCCCCCTAGAGGCGAGATGAGGCCCCATTCCCCTGCAGTGCATGCAGAGCTATTCCGTGATCCCATTCAAACAAGTCAGGAGCTTCGACTTACTTAATGGATCTCGAGACAGTCCCCAAGAACACTGTCACCAGTCTAGACGGACCCTGAGGTCACCCCAGCAACGCAAAGCTGCTCCATGTGCCCCAAATCAACTCGTGATGAGGCCCGATTCCCCTGCATTGAGTCCAGAGCCATTCCCCGTTCCCCATTCAACACGAACGGTGGCTCGACTTCCTTCAGTCAACTCCAGAGATTCCCCGAGAACACTGTCTCAAGTCTAGAGGACCACCAACTTCAGCACAGCAACTCGAGGAATGCTCTGTGTACCCCAAATCGTCTCGAGATGAGAGCTGATTCCCTGGCTTAGGCTCAAGACGTATGCCACCTTTCCAGAAGCACCTCAGGAGGAGGCTTCTCTCAGCAATAGGTATGTGGGAGGGACCCCGAGTTTGCTGCCTCAAGGGGAATATACAGCGAGAAGCCCTAACTTGAAAGGAGGCCGGATTTCCATGCAGTGGCTTGAATACAGTCTTGTCTTTCATCTCACAACATGAAGGGATGTCTGAATCCCCTGTGGAGACCTTAGAGAAAGCCCTAGGTCCCTGCCTCATTTTGACGGAATCCTCATATCGCGCAGACACCGCGAGAGGCACGCGGAGTTCATTGCTTCAAAAGGTGACGATGCCTGACTCCTCTTGAATACTGATAGGAATCCCAAAATCCCTGTGGCTACTGGAAAGGGTTCTTGGGTGCCCTGCCTCACATCGAGAAGCGTCCCTTTTGCCCTGCCAAGCCTCGAAGAGATTCCTGAGGTGTCCCTCGTTACTAGACAGGAGTCCTGACGTCACTGAAGAAACTCGTGTTTTGAAGGGCCATCCCCGCCGTAAGTCGAGAACATACCCCAGGTCCCCGCCGCAACTCGAGAAAAACCATGAGACTTCCCCCTAGAGGCGAGATGAGGCCCCATTCCCCTGCAGTGCATGCAGAGCTATTCCGTGATCCCATTCAAACAAGTCAGGAGCTTCGACTTGCTTAATGGATCTCGAGACAGTCCCCAAGAACACTGTCACCAGTCTAGACGGACCCTGACGTCACCCCAGAAACGCAAAGCAGCTCTAAGTGCCCCAAATCAACTCGAGATGAGGCCCCATTCCCCTGCATTGACTCCAGAGCCATTCCCCGTTCCCCATTCAACAGGACTGGTGGCTCGCTTTCCTTCAGGCAACTCCAGGGATGCCCCGAGAACACTGTCCCAAGTCTAGAGGAACACCAACTTCAGCACAGCAACTCGAGGAATGCTCTGTGTACCCCAAATCGTCTCGAGATGAGAGCTGATTCCCTGGCTTAGGCTCAAGACGTATGCCAAATTTCCAGAAGCACCTCAGGAGGAGGCTTCTCAGCAATAGGTATGTGGGAGGGACTCCGAGTTTGCTGCCTCAAGGGGAATATACAGCGAGAAGCCCTAACTTGAAAGGAGGCGGGATTTCCTTGCAGTGGCTTGAATACAGGCTCGTCTTTCATCTCACAACATGAAGGGATGTCTGAATCCCCTGTGGAGACCTTAGAGAAAGCCCTAGGTCCCTGCCTCATTTTGACGGAATCCTCACATCCCGCTGACACCTCGAGAGGCACGCGGAGTTCATTGCTTCAAAAGGTGACGATGCCTGACTCCTCTTGAATACTTATAGGAATCCCAAAATCCCTGTGGCTACTGGAAAGGGTCCTTGGGTGCCCTGCCTCACCTCGAGAAGCGTCCCTTTTGCCCTGCCAAGCCTGGAAGAGATTCCTGAGGTGTCCCTCGTTACTAGGCAGGAGTCCTGACATCACTGGAGAAACTCGTGTTTTGAAGGGCCATCCCCGCCGTAAGTCGAGAACATACCCCAGGTCCCCGCCGCAACTCGAGAAAAACCGTGAGCCTTCCCCCTAGAGGCGAGATGAGGCCCCTTTCCCCTGCAGTGCATGCAGAGCTATTCCGTGATCCCATTCAAACAAGTCAGGAGCTTCGACTTGCTTAATGGATCTCGAGACAGTCCCCAAGAACACTGTAACCAGTCTAGACGGACCCTGAGGTCACCCAGCAATGCAAAGCAGCTCCATGTGCCCCAAATCAACACGAGATGAGGCCGGATTCCCCTGCACTGACTCCAGAGCCATTCCCTGTTCCCCATTCAACACGACCGGTGGCTCGACTTCCTTCAGGCAACTCCAGAGATGCCCCGAGAACACTGTCCCAGGTCTAGAGGACCACCAACTTCAGCACAGCAACTCGAGGAATGCTCTGTGTACCCCTAATCGTCTCGAGATGAGAGCTGATTCCCTGGCTTAGGCTCAAGACGTATGCCAAATTTCCAGAAGCACCTCAGGAGGAGGCTTCTCTCAGCAATAGGTATGTGGGAGGGACCCCGAGTTTGCTGCCTCAAGGGGAATATACAGCGAGAAGCCCTAACTTGAAAGGAGGCCGGTTTTCCTTGCAGTGGCTTGAATACAGGCTCGTCTTTCATCTCACAACATGAAGGGATGTCTGAATCCCCTGTGGAGACCTTAGAGAAAGCCCTAGATCCCTGACTCATTTTGACGGAATCCTCACATCCCGCTGACACCTCGAGAGGCACGCGGAGTTCATTGCTTCAAAAGGTGACGATGCCTGACTCCTCTTGAATACTGATAGGAATCCCAAAATCCCTGTGGCTACTGGAAAGGGTCCTTGGGTGCCCTGCCTCACCTCGAGAAGCGTCCCTTTTGCCCTGCCAAGCCTCGAAGAGATTGCTGAGGTGTCCCTCGTTACTAGACAGGAGTCCTGACGTCACTGAAGAAACTCGTGTTTTGAAGGGCCATCCCCGCCGTAAGTCGAGAACATACCCCAGGTCCCCGCCGCAACTCGAGAAAAATCATGAGACTTCCCCCTAGAGGCGAGATGAGGCCCCATTCCCCTGCAGTGCATGCAGAGCTATTCCGTGATCCCATTCAAGCAAGTCAGGAGCTTCGACTTGCTTAATGGATCTCGAGACAGTCCCCAAGAACACTGTCACCTGTCTAGACGGACCCTGAGGTCACCCCAGCAACTCAAAGCTGCTCCATGTGCCCCAAATCAACTCGTGATGAGGCCCGATTCCCCTGCATTGACTCCAGAGCCATTCCCCGTTCCCCATTCAACATGACCGGTGGCTCTACTTCCTTCAGTCAACTCCAGAGATTCACCGAGAACACTGTCTCAAGTCTAGAGGATCACCAACTTCAGCACAGCAACTCGAGGAATGCTCTGTGTACCCCAAATCGTCTCGAGATGAGAGCTGATTCCCTGGCTTAGGCTCAAGACGTATGCCACCTTTCCAGAAGCACCTCAGGAGGAGGCTTCTCTCAGCAATAGGTATGTGGGAGGGACCCCGAGTTTGCTGCCTCAAGGGGAATATACAGCGAGAAGCCCTAACTTGAAAGGAGGCCGGATTTCCTTGCAGTAGCTTGAATACAGGCTTGTCTTTCATCTCACAACATGAAGGGATGTCTGAATCCCCTGTGAAGACCTTAGAGAAAGCCCTAGGTCCCTGCCTCATTTTGACGGAATGCCTCACATCCCGCTGACACCTCGAGAGGCACGCGGAGTTCATTGCTTCAAAAGGTGACGATGCCTGACTACTCTTGAATACTTATAGGAATCCCAAAATTCCTGTTGCTACTGGAAAGGGTCCTTGGGTGCCCTGGCTCACCTCGAGAAGCGTCCCTTTTGCCCTGCCAAGCCTCGAAGACATTGCTGAGGTGTCCCTCGTTACTAGGCAGGAGTCCTGACGTCACTGAAGAAACTCGTGTTTTGAAGGGCCATCCCCGCCGTAAGTCGAGAACATACCCCAGGTCCCCGCCGCAACTCGAGAAAAACCATGAGACTTCACCATATAGGCGAGATGAGGCCCCATTCCCCTGCAGTGCATGCAGAGCTATTCCGTGATCCCATTCAAACAAGTCAGGAGCTTCGAGTTGCTTAATGGATCTCGAGACAGTCCCCAAGAACACTGTCACCAGTCTAGACGGACCCTGAGGTCACCGCAGCAACGCAAAGCAGCTCCATGTGCCCCAAATCAACTCGAGATGAGGCCCGATTCCCCTGCATTGATTCCAGGGCCATTCCCCGTTCCCCGTTCAACACGAACGGAGGCTCGCCTTCCTTCAGGCAACTCCAGAGATGCCCCGAGAACACTGTCCCAAGTCTAGCGGAACACCAACTTCAACACAGCAACTCGAGGAATGCTGTGTGTACCCCAAATCGTCTCGAGATGAGAGCTGATTCCCTGGCTTAGGCTCAAGACGTATGCCAACTTTCCAGAAGCACCTCAGGAGGAGGCTTCTCAGCAATAGGTATGTGGGAGGGACTCCGAGTTTGCTGCCTCAAGGGGAATATACAGCAAGAAGCCCTAACTTGAAAGGAGGCCGGATTTCCTTGCAGTAGCTTGAATACAGGCTTGTCTTTCATCTCACAACATGAAGGGATGTCTGAATCCCCTATGGAGACCTTAGAGAAAGCCCTAGGTCCCTGCCTCATTTTGACGGAATGCCTCACATCCCGCTGACACCTCGAGAGGCACGCGGAGTTCATTGCTTCAAAAGGTGACGATGCCTGACTCCTCTTGAATACTTATGGGAATCCCAAAATTCCTGTTGCTACTGGAAAGGGTCCTTGGGTGCCCTGGCTCACCTCGAGAAGCGTCCCTTTTGCCCTGCCAAGCCTCGAAGACATTGCTGAGGTGTCCCTCGTTACTAGGCAGGAGTCCTGACGTCACTGAAGAAACTCGTGTTTTGAAGGGCCATCCCCGCCGTAAGTCGAGAACATACCCCAGGTCCCCGCCGCAACTCGAGAAAAACCATGAGACTTCCCCATATAGGCGAGATGAGGCCCCATTCCCCTGCCATGCATGCAGAGCTATTCCGTGATCCCATTCAAACAAGTCAGGAGCTTCGACTTGCTTAATGGATCTCGAGACAGTCCCCAAGAACACTGTCACCAGTCTAGATGGACCCTGAGGTCACCCAGCAATGCAAAGCAGCTCCATGTGCCCCAAATCAACTCGAGATGAGGCCGGATTCCCCTGCATTGACTCCAGAGCCACTCCTTGTTCCCCATTCAACACGACCGGTGGCTCGACTTCCTTCAGGCAACTCCAGAGATACCCCGAGAACTCTGTCCCAAGTCTAGAGGACCACCAACTTCAGCACAGCAACTCGAGGAATGCTCTGTGTACCCCATATCATCTCGAGATGAGAGCTGATACCCTGGCTTAGGCTCAAGACGTATGCCAACTTTCCAGAAGCACCTCAGGAGGAGGCTTCTCTCAGCAATAGGTATGTGGGAGGGACCCCGAGTTTGCTGCCTCAAGGGGAATATACAGGGAGAAGCCCTAACTTGAAAGGAGGCCGGATTTCCTTGCACTGGCTTGAATACAGGCTCGTCTTTGATCTGACAACATGAAGGGATGTCTGAATCCCCTGTGGAGACCTTAGAGAAAGCCCTAGGTCCCTGCCTCATTTTGACGGAATGCCTCACATCCCGCTGACACCTCGAGAGGCAAGCGGAGTTGATTGCTTCAAAAGGTGACGATGCCTGACTCCTCTTGAATACTGATAGGAATCCCAAAATCCCTGTGGCTACTGGAAAGGGTCCTTGGGTGCCCTGCCTCACCTCGAGAAGCGTCCCTTTTGCCCTGCCAAGCCTGGAAGAGATTCCTGAGGTGTCCCTCGTTACTAGGCAGGAGTCCTGACGTCACTGGAGAAACTCGTGTTTTGAAGGGCCATCCCCGCCGTAAGTCGAGAACATACCCCAGGTCCCCGCCGCAACTCGAGGAAAACCATGAGACTTCCCCCTAGAGGCGAGATGAGGCCCCATTCCCCTGCAGTGCATGCAGAGCTATTCCGTGATCCCATTCAAACAAGTCAGGAGCTTCGACTTGCTTAATGGATCTCGAGACAGTCCCCAAGAACACTGTCACCAGTCTAGACGGACCCTGAGGTCACCCCAGCAACGCAAAGCTGCTCCATGTGCCCCAAATCAACTCGTGATGAGGCCCGATTCCCCTGCATTGACTCCAGAGCCATTCCCCGTTCCCCATTCAACACGAACGGTGGCTCGACTTCCTTCAGTCAACTCCAGAGATTCCCCGAGAACACTGTCTCAAGTCTAGAGGACCACCAACTTCAGCACAGCAACTCGAGGAATGCTCTGTGTACCCCAAATCGTCTCGAGATGAGAGCTGATTCCCTGGCTTAGGCTCAAGACGTATGCCAACTTTCCAGAAGCACCTCAGGAGGAGGTTTCTCTCAGCAATAGGTATGTGGGAGGGACCCCGAGTTTGCTGCCTCAAGGGGAATATACAGCGAGAAGCCCTAACTTGAAAGGAGGCTGGATTTCCATGCAGTGGCTTGAATAAAGGCTCATCTTTCATCTCAAAACATGAAGGGATGTCTGAATCCCCTATGGAGACCTTAGAGAAAGCCCTAGGTCCCTGCCTCATTTTGACGGAATCCTCACATCCCGCTGACACCTCGAGAGGCACGCGGAGTTCATTTCTTCAAAAGGTGACGATGCCTGACTCCTCTTGATATTGATAGGAATCCCAAAATCCCTGTGGCTACTGGAAAGGGTCCTTGGGTGCCCTGGCTCACCTCGAGAAGCGTCCCTTTTGCCCTGCCAAGCCTCGAAGAGATTGCTGAGGTTTCCCTCGTTACTAGACAGGAGTCCTGACGTCACTGAAGAAACTCGTGTTTTGAAAGGCCATCCCCGTCGTAAGTCGAGAACATACCCCAGGTCCCCGCCGCAACTCGAGAAAAACCATGAGACTTCCCCCTAGAGGCGAGATGAGGCCCCATTCCCCTGCAGTGCATGCAGAGCTATTCCGTGATCCCATTCAAAGAAGTCAGGAGCTTCGACTTGCTTAATGGATCTCGAGACAGTCCCCAAGAACACTGTCACCAGTCTAGACGGAAACTGAAGTCACCCCAGCAATGCAAAGCAGCTCCATGTGCCCCAAATCAACTCGAGATGAGGCCCGATTCCCCTGCATTGACTCCAGAGCCATTCCCCGTTCCCCATTCAACACGACCGGTGGCTCGCCTTCCTTCAGGCAACTCCAGAGATGCCCCGAGAACACTGTCCCAAGTCTAGAAGAACACCAACTTCAGCACAGCAACTCGAGGAATGCTCTGTGTACCCCAAATCGTCTCGAGATGAGAGCTGATTCCCTGGCTTAGGCTCAAGACGTATGCCAACATTCCAGAAGCACCACAGGAGGAGGCTTCTCAGCAATAGGAATGTGGGAGGGACTCCGAGTTTGCTGCCTCAAGGGGAATATACAGCGAGAAGGCCTAACTTGAAAGGAGGCCGCATTTCCTTGCAGTAGCTTGAATACAGTCTTGTCTTTCATCTCACAACATGAAGGGATGTCTGAATCCCCTGTGGAGACCTTAGAGAAAGCCCTAGGTCCCTGCCTCATTTTGACGGAATCCTCACATCCCGCTGACACCTCGAGAGTCACGCGGAGTTCATTGCTTCAAAAGGTGACGATGCCTGACTCCTCTTGAATACTATTAGGAATCCCAAAATCCCTTTGGCTGCTGGAAAGGGTCCTGGGTGCCCTGCCTCACCTCGAGAAGCGTCCCTTTTGCCCTGCCAAGCCTCGAAGAGATTCCTGAGGTGTCCCTCGTTATTAGACAGGAGTCCTGACGTCACTGAAGAAACTCGTGTTTTGAAGGGCCATCCCCGCCGTAAGTCGAGAACATACCCCAGGTCCCTGCCGCAACTCGAGAAAAACCATGAGACTTCCCCCTAGAGGCGAGATGAGGCCCCATTCCACTGCAATGCATGCAGAGCTATTCCGTGATCCCATTCAAACAAGTCAGGAGCTTCGACTTGCTTAATGGATATCGAGACAGTCCCCAAGAACACTGTCACCAGTCTAGACGGACCCTGAGGTCACCCCAGCAACGCAAAGCTGCTCCATGTGCCCCAAATCAACTCGAGATGAGGCCCGATTCCCCTGCATTGACTCCAGAGCCATTCCCCGTTCCCCATTCAACACGACCGGTGGCTCGACTTCCTTCAGGCAACTCCAGAGATGCCCCGAGAACACTGTCCCAAGTCTAGAGGAACACCAACTTCAGCAAAGCAACTCGAGGAATGCTCCGTGTACCCCATATCATCTCGAGATGAGAGCTGATACCCTGGCTTAGGCTCAAGACGTATGCCAACTTTCCAGAAGCACCTCAGGAGGAGACTTCTCTCAGCAATAGGTATGTGGGAGGGACCCCGAATTTGCTGCCTCAAGGGGAATATACAGCGAGAAGCCCTAACTTGAAAGGAGGCCGGATTTCCTTGCACTGGCTTGAATACAGGCTCGTCTTTGATCTGACAACATGAAGGGATGTCTGAGTCCCCTGTGGAGACCTTAGAGAAAACCCTAGGTCCCTGCCTCATTTTGACGGAATGCCTCACATCCCGCTGACACCTCGAGAGGCAAGCGGAGTTCATTGCTTCAAAAGGTGACGATGCCTGACTCCTCTTGAATACTGATAGGAATCCCAAAATCCCTGTGGCTACTGGAAAGGGTCCTTGGGTGCCCTGCCTCACCTCGAGAAGCGTCCCTTTTGCCCTGCCAAGCCTGGAAGAGATTCCTGAGGTGTCCCTCGTTACTAGCCAGGAGTCCTGACGTCACTGGAGAAACTCGTGTTTTGAAGGGCCATCCCCGCCGTAAGTCGAGAACATACCCCAGGTCCCCGCCGCAACTCAAGAAAAACCGTGAGCCTTCCCCCTAGAGGCGAGATGAGGCCCCATTCCCCTGCAGTGCATGCAGAGCTATTCCGTGATCCCATTCAAACAAGTCAGGAGCTTCGACTTACTTAATGGATCTCGAGACAGTCCCCAAGAACACTGTCACCAGTCTAGACGGACCCTGAGGTCACCCCAGCAACGCAAAGCTGCTCCATGTGCCCCAAATCAACTCGTGATGAGGCCCGATTCCCCTGCATTGAGTCCAGAGCCATTCCCCGTTCCCCATTCAACACGAACGGTGGCTCGACTTCCTTCAGTCAACTCCAGAGATTCCCCGAGAACACTGTCTCAAGTCTAGAGGACCACCAACTTCAGCACAGCAACTCGAGGAATGCTCTGTGTACCCCAAATCGTCTCGAGATGAGAGCTGATTCCCTGGCTTAGGCTCAAGACGTATGCCACCTTTCCAGAAGCACCTCAGGAGGAGGCTTCTCTCAGCAATAGGTATGTGGGAGGGACCCCGAGTTTGCTGCCTCAAGGGGAATATACAGCGAGAAGCCCTAACTTGAAAGGAGGCCGGATTTCCATGCAGTGGCTTGAATACAGTCTTGTCTTTCATCTCACAACATGAAGGGATGTCTGAATCCCCTGTGGAGACCTTAGAGAAAGCCCTAGGTCCCTGCCTCATTTTGACGGAATCCTCATATCGCGCAGACACCGCGAGAGGCACGCGGAGTTCATTGCTTCAAAAGGTGACGATGCCTGACTCCTCTTGAATACTGATAGGAATCCCAAAATCCCTGTGGCTACTGGAAAGGGTTCTTGGGTGCCCTGCCTCACATCGAGAAGCGTCCCTTTTGCCCTGCCAAGCCTCGAAGAGATTCCTGAGGTGTCCCTCGTTACTAGACAGGAGTCCTGACGTCACTGAAGAAACTCGTGTTTTGAAGGGCCATCCCCGCCGTAAGTCGAGAACATACCCCAGGTCCCCGCCGCAACTCGAGAAAAACCATGAGACTTCCCCCTAGAGGCGAGATGAGGCCCCATTCCCCTGCAGTGCATGCAGAGCTATTCCGTGATCCCATTCAAACAAGTCAGGAGCTTCGACTTGCTTAATGGATCTCGAGACAGTCCCCAAGAACACTGTCACCAGTCTAGACGGACCCTGACGTCACCCCAGAAACGCAAAGCAGCTCTAAGTGCCCCAAATCAACTCGAGATGAGGCCCCATTCCCCTGCATTGACTCCAGAGCCATTCCCCGTTCCCCATTCAACAGGACTGGTGGCTCGCTTTCCTTCAGGCAACTCCAGGGATGCCCCGAGAACACTGTCCCAAGTCTAGAGGAACACCAACTTCAGCACAGCAACTCGAGGAATGCTCTGTGTACCCCAAATCGTCTCGAGATGAGAGCTGATTCCCTGGCTTAGGCTCAAGACGTATGCCAAATTTCCAGAAGCACCTCAGGAGGAGGCTTCTCAGCAATAGGTATGTGGGAGGGACTCCGAGTTTGCTGCCTCAAGGGGAATATACAGCGAGAAGCCCTAACTTGAAAGGAGGCGGGATTTCCTTGCAGTGGCTTGAATACAGGCTCGTCTTTCATCTCACAACATGAAGGGATGTCTGAATCCCCTGTGGAGACCTTAGAGAAAGCCCTAGGTCCCTGCCTCATTTTGACGGAATCCTCACATCCCGCTGACACCTCGAGAGGCACGCGGAGTTCATTGCTTCAAAAGGTGACGATGCCTGACTCCTCTTGAATACTTATAGGAATCCCAAAATCCCTGTGGCTACTGGAAAGGGTCCTTGGGTGCCCTGCCTCACCTCGAGAAGCGTCCCTTTTGCCCTGCCAAGCCTGGAAGAGATTCCTGAGGTGTCCCTCGTTACTAGGCAGGAGTCCTGACATCACTGGAGAAACTCGTGTTTTGAAGGGCCATCCCCGCCGTAAGTCGAGAACATACCCCAGGTCCCCGCCGCAACTCGAGAAAAACCGTGAGCCTTCCCCCTAGAGGCGAGATGAGGCCCCTTTCCCCTGCAGTGCATGCAGAGCTATTCCGTGATCCCATTCAAACAAGTCAGGAGCTTCGACTTGCTTAATGGATCTCGAGACAGTCCCCAAGAACACTGTCACCAGTCTAGACGGACCCTGAGGTCACCCAGCAATGCAAAGCAGCTCCATGTGCCCCAAATCAACACGAGATGAGGCCGGATTCCCCTGCACTGACTCCAGAGCCATTCCCTGTTCCCCATTCAACACGACCGGTGGCTCGACTTCCTTCAGGCAACTCCAGAGATGCCCCGAGAACACTGTCCCAGGTCTAGAGGACCACCAACTTCAGCACAGCAACTCGAGGAATGCTCTGTGTACCCCTAATCGTCTCGAGATGAGAGCTGATTCCCTGGCTTAGGCTCAAGACGTATGCCAAATTTCCAGAAGCACCTCAGGAGGAGGCTTCTCTCAGCAATAGGTATGTGGGAGGGACCCCGAGTTTGCTGCCTCAAGGGGAATATACAGCGAGAAGCCCTAACTTGAAAGGAGGCCGGTTTTCCTTGCAGTGGCTTGAATACAGGCTCGTCTTTCATCTCACAACATGAAGGGATGTCTGAATCCCCTGTGGAGACCTTAGAGAAAGCCCTAGATCCCTGACTCATTTTGACGGAATCCTCACATCCCGCTGACACCTCGAGAGGCACGCGGAGTTCATTGCTTCAAAAGGTGACGATGCCTGACTCCTCTTGAATACTGATAGGAATCCCAAAATCCCTGTGGCTACTGGAAAGGGTTCTTGGGTGCCCTGCCTCACATCGAGAAGCGTCCCTTTTGCCCTGCCAAGCCTCGAAGAGATTCCTGAGGTGTCCCTCGTTACTAGACAGGAGTCCTGACGTCACTGAAGAAACTCGTGTTTTGAAGGGCCATCCCCGCCGTAAGTCGAGAACATACCCCAGGTCCCCGCCGCAACTCGAGAAAAACCATGAGACTTCCCCCTAGAGGCGAGATGAGGCCCCATTCCCCTGCAGTGCATGCAGAGCTATTCCGTGATCCCATTCAAACAAGTCAGGAGCTTCGACTTGCTTAATGGATCTCGAGACAGTCCCCAAGAACACTGTCACCAGTCTAGACGGACCCTGACGTCACCCCAGAAACGCAAAGCAGCTCTAAGTGCCCCAAATCAACTCGAGATGAGGCCCCATTCCCCTGCATTGACTCCAGAGCCATTCCCCGTTCCCCATTCAACAGGACTGGTGGCTCGCTTTCCTTCAGGCAACTCCAGGGATGCCCCGAGAACACTGTCCCAAGTCTAGAGGAACACCAACTTCAGCACAGCAACTCGAGGAATGCTCTGTGTACCCCAAATCGTCTCGAGATGAGAGCTTATTCCCTGGCTTAGGCTCAAGACGTATGCCAAATTTCCAGAAGCACCTCAGGAGGAGGCTTCTCAGCAATAGGTATGTGGGAGGGACTCCGAGTTTGCTGCCTCAAGGGGAATATACAGCGAGAAGCCCTAACTTGAAAGGAGGCGGGATTTCCTTGCAGTGGCTTGAATACAGGCTCGTCTTTCATCTCACAACATGAAGGGATGTCTGAATCCCCTGTGGAGACCTTAGAGAAAGCCCTAGGTCCCTGCCTCATTTTGACGGAATCCTCACATCCCGCTGACACCTCGAGAGGCACGCGGAGTTCATTGCTTCAAAAGGTGACGATGCCTGACTCCTCTTGAATACTTATAGGAATCCCAAAATCCCTGTGGCTACTGGAAAGGGTCCTTGGGTGCACTGCCTCACCTCAAGAAGCGTCCCTTTTGCCCTGCCAAGCCTGGAAGAGATTCCTGAGGTGTCCCTCGTTACTAGGCAGGAGTCCTGACGTCACTGGAGAAACTCGTGTTTTGAAGGGCCATCCCCGCCTTAAGTCGAGAACATACCCCAGGTCCCCGCCGCAACTCGAGAAAAACCGTGAGCCTTCCCCCTAGAGGCGAGATGAGGCCCCTTTCCCCTGCAGTGCATGCAGAGCTATTCCGTGATCCCATTCAAACAAGTCAGGAGCTTCGACTTGCTTAATGGATCTCGAGACAGTCCCCAAGAACACTGTCACCAGTCTAGACGGACCCTGAGGTCACCCAGCAATGCAAAGCAGCTCCATGTGCCCCAAATCAACACGAGATGAGGCCGGATTCCCCTGCACTGACTCCAGAGCCATTCCCTGTTCCCCATTCAACACGACCGGTGGCTCGACTTCCTTCAGGCAACTCCAGAGATGCCCCGAGAACACTGTCCCAGGTCTAGAGGACCACCAACTTCAGCACAGCAACTCGAGGAATGCTCTGTGTACCCCAAATCGTCTCGAGATGAGAGCTGATTCCCTGGCTTAGGCTCAAGACGTATGCCAAATTTCCAGAAGCACCTCAGGAGGAGGCTTCTCTCAGCAATAGGTATGTGGGAGGGACCCCGAGTTTGCTGCCTCAAGGGGAATATACAGCGAGAAGCCCTAACTTGAAAGGAGGCCGGTTTTCCTTGCAGTGGCTTGAATACAGGCTCGTCTTTCATCTCACAACATGAAGGGATGTCTGAATCCCCTGTGGAGACCTTAGAGAAAGCCCTAGATCCCTGACTCATTTTGACGGAATCCTCACATCCCGCTGACACCTCGAGAGGCACGCGGAGTTCATTGCTTCAAAAGGTGACGATGCCTGACTCCTCTTGAATACTGATAGGAATCCCAAAATCCCTGTGGCTACTGGAAAGGGTCCTTGGGTGCCCTGCCTCACCTCGAGAAGCGTCCCTTTTGCCCTGCCAAGCCTCGAAGAGATTGCTGAGGTGTCCCTCGTTACTAGACAGGAGTCCTGACGTCACTGAAGAAACTCGTGTTTTGAAGGGCCATCCCCGCCGTAAGTCGAGAACATACCCCAGGTCCCCGCCGCAACTCGAGAAAAATCATGAGACTTCCCCCTAGAGGCGAGATGAGGCCCCATTCCCCTGCAGTGCATGCAGAGCTATTCCGTGATCCCATTCAAGCAAGTCAGGAGCTTCGACTTGCTTAATGGATCTCGAGACAGTCCCCAAGAACACTGTCACCTGTCTAGACGGACCCTGAGGTCACCCCAGCAACTCAAAGCTGCTCCATGTGCCCCAAATCAACTCGTGATGAGGCCCGATTCCCCTGCATTGACTCCAGAGCCATTCCCCGTTCCCCATTCAACATGACCGGTGGCTCTACTTCCTTCAGTCAACTCCAGAGATTCACCGAGAACACTGTCTCAAGTCTAGAGGATCACCAACTTCAGCACAGCAACTCGAGGAATGCTCTGTGTACCCCAAATCGTCTCGAGATGAGAGCTGATTCCCTGGCTTAGGCTCAAGACGTATGCCACCTTTCCAGAAGCACCTCAGGAGGAGGCTTCTCTCAGCAATAGGTATGTGGGAGGGACCCCGAGTTTGCTGCCTCAAGGGGAATATACAGCGAGAAGCCCTAACTTGAAAGGAGGCCGGATTTCCTTGCAGTAGCTTGAATACAGGCTTGTCTTTCATCTCACAACATGAAGGGATGTCTGAATCCCCTGTGAAGACCTTAGAGAAAGCCCTAGGTCCCTGCCTCATTTTGACGGAATGCCTCACATCCCGCTGACACCTCGAGAGGCACGCGGAGTTCATTGCTTCAAAAGGTGACGATGCCTGACTACTCTTGAATACTTATAGGAATCCCAAAATTCCTGTTGCTACTGGAAAGGGTCCTTGGGTGCCCTGGCTCACCTCGAGAAGCGTCCCTTTTGCCCTGCCAAGCCTCGAAGACATTGCTGAGGTGTCCCTCGTTACTAGGCAGGAGTCCTGACGTCACTGAAGAAACTCGTGTTTTGAAGGGCCATCCCCGCCGTAAGTCGAGAACATACCCCAGGTCCCCGCCGCAACTCGAGAAAAACCATGAGACTTCACCATATAGGCGAGATGAGGCCCCATTCCCCTGCAGTGCATGCAGAGCTATTCCGTGATCCCATTCAAACAAGTCAGGAGCTTCGAGTTGCTTAATGGATCTCGAGACAGTCCCCAAGAACACTGTCACCAGTCTAGACGGACCCTGACGTCACCCCAGAAACGCAAAGCAGCTCTAAGTGCCCCAAATCAACTCGAGATGAGGCCCCATTCCCCTGCATTGACTCCAGAGCCATTCCCCGTTCCCCATTCAACAGGACTGGTGGCTCGCTTTCCTTCAGGCAACTCCAGGGATGCCCCGAGAACACTGTCCCAAGTCTAGAGGAACACCAACTTCAGCACAGCAACTCGAGGAATGCTCTGTGTACCCCAAATCGTCTCGAGATGAGAGCTTATTCCCTGGCTTAGGCTCAAGACGTATGCCAAATTTCCAGAAGCACCTCAGGAGGAGGCTTCTCAGCAATAGGTATGTGGGAGGGACTCCGAGTTTGCTGCCTCAAGGGGAATATACAGCGAGAAGCCCTAACTTGAAAGGAGGCGGGATTTCCTTGCAGTGGCTTGAATACAGGCTCGTCTTTCATCTCACAACATGAAGGGATGTCTGAATCCCCTGTGGAGACCTTAGAGAAAGCCCTAGGTCCCTGCCTCATTTTGACGGAATCCTCACATCCCGCTGACATCTCGAGAGGCACGCGGAGTTCATTGCTTCAAAAGGTGACGATGCCTGACTCCTCTTGAATACTTATAGGAATCCCAAAATCCCTGTGGCTACTGGAAAGGGTCCTTGGGTGCACTGCCTCACCTCAAGAAGCGTCCCTTTTGCCCTGCCAAGCCTGGAAGAGATTCCTGAGGTGTCCCTCGTTACTAGGCAGGAGTCCTGACGTCACTGGAGAAACTCGTGTTTTGAAGGGCCATCCCCGCCTTAAGTCGAGAACATACCCCAGGTCCCCGCCGCAACTCGAGAAAAACCGTGAGCCTTCCCCCTAGAGGCGAGATGAGGCCCCTTTCCCCTGCAGTGCATGCAGAGCTATTCCGTGATCCCATTCAAACAAGTCAGGAGCTTCGACTTGCTTAATGGATCTCGAGACAGTCCCCAAGAACACTGTCACCAGTCTAGACGGACCCTGAGGTCACCCAGCAATGCAAAGCAGCTCCATGTGCCCCAAATCAACACGAGATGAGGCCGGATTCCCCTGCACTGACTCCAGAGCCATTCCCTGTTCCCCATTCAACACGACCGGTGGCTCGACTTCCTTCAGGCAACTCCAGAGATGCCCCGAGAACACTGTCCCAGGTCTAGAGGACCACCAACTTCAGCACAGCAACTCGAGGAATGCTCTGTGTACCCCAAATCGTCTCGAGATGAGAGCTGATTCCCTGGCTTAGGCTCAAGACGTATGCCAAATTTCCAGAAGCACCTCAGGAGGAGGCTTCTCTCAGCAATAGGTATGTGGGAGGGACCCCGAGTTTGCTGCCTCAAGGGGAATATACAGCGAGAAGCCCTAACTTGAAAGCAGGCCGGTTTTCCTTGCAGTGGCTTGAATACAGGCTCGTCTTTCATCTCACAACATGAAGGGATGTCTGAATCCCCTGTGGAGACCTTAGAGAAAGCCCTAGATCCCTGACTCATTTTGACGGAATCCTCACATCCCGCTGACACCTCGAGAGGCACGCGGAGTTCATTGCTTCAAAAGGTGACGATGCCTGACTCCTCTTGAATACTGATAGGAATCCCAAAATCCCTGTGGCTACTGGAAAGGGTCCTTGGGTGCCCTGCCTCACCTCGAGAAGCGTCCCTTTTGCCCTGCCAAGCCTCGAAGAGATTGCTGAGGTGTCCCTCGTTACTAGACAGGAGTCCTGACGTCACTGAAGAAACTCGTGTTTTGAAGGGCCATCCCCGCCGTAAGTCGAGAACATACCCCAGGTCCCCGCCGCAACTCGAGAAAAATCATGAGACTTCCCCCTAGAGGCGAGATGAGGCCCCATTCCCCTGCAGTGCATGCAGAGCTATTCCGTGATCCCATTCAAGCAAGTCAGGAGCTTCGACTTGCTTAATGGATCTCGAGACAGTCCCCAAGAACACTGTCACCTGTCTAGACGGACCCTGAGGTCACCCCAGCAACTCAAAGCTGCTCCATGTGCCCCAAATCAACTCGTGATGAGGCCCGATTCCCCTGCATTGACTCCAGAGCCATTCCCCGTTCCCCATTCAACATGACCGGTGGCTCTACTTTCTTCAGTCAACTCCAGAGATTCACCGAGAACACTGTCTCAAGTCTAGAGGATCACCAACTTCAGCACAGCAACTCGAGGAATGCTCTGTGTACCCCAAATCGTCTCGAGATGAGAGCTGATTCCCTGGCTTAGGCTCAAGACGTATGCCACCTTTCCAGAAGCACCTCAGGAGGAGGCTTCTCTCAGCAATAGGTATGTGGGAGGGACCCCGAGTTTGCTGCCTCAAGGGGAATATACAGCGAGAAGCCCTAACTTGAAAGGAGGCCGGATTTCCTTGCAGTAGCTTGAATACAGGCTTGTCTTTCATCTCACAACATGAAGGGATGTCTGAATCCCCTGTGAAGACCTTAGAGAAAGCCCTAGGTCCCTGCCTCATTTTGACGGAATGCCTCACATCCCGCTGACACCTCGAGAGGCACGCGGAGTTCATTGCTTCAAAAGGTGACGATGCCTGACTACTCTTGAATACTTATAGGAATCCCAAAATTCCTGTTGCTACTGGAAAGGGTCCTTGGGTGCCCTGGCTCACCTCGAGAAGCGTCCCTTTTGCCCTGCCAAGCCTCGAAGACATTGCTGAGGTGTCCCTCGTTACTAGGCAGGAGTCCTGACGTCACTGAAGAAACTCGTGTTTTGAAGGGCCATCCCCGCCGTAAGTCGAGAACATACCCCAGGTCCCCGCCGCAACTCGAGAAAAACCATGAGACTTCACCATATAGGCGAGATGAGGCCCCATTCCCCTGCAGTGCATGCAGAGCTATTCCGTGATCCCATTCAAACAAGTCAGGAGCTTCGAGTTGCTTAATGGATCTCGAGACAGTCCCCAAGAACACTGTCACCAGTCTAGACGGACCCTGAGGTCACCGCAGCAACGCAAAGCAGCTCCATGTGCCCCAAATCAACTCGAGATGAGGCCCGATTCCCCTGCATTGATTCCAGGGCCATTCCCCGTTCCCCGTTCAACACGAACGGAGGCTCGCCTTCCTTCAGGCAACTCCAGAGATGCCCCGAGAACACTGTCCCAAGTCTAGCGGAACACCAACTTCAACACAGCAACTCGAGGAATGCTGTGTGTACCCCAAATCGTCTCGAGATGAGAGCTGATTCCCTGGCTTAGGCTCAAGACGTATGCCAACTTTCCAGAAGCACCTCAGGAGGAGGCTTCTCAGCAATAGGTATGTGGGAGGGACTCCGAGTTTGCTGCCTCAAGGGGAATATACAGCAAGAAGCCCTAACTTGAAAGGAGGCCGGATTTCCTTGCAGTAGCTTGAATACAGGCTTGTCTTTCATCTCACAACATGAAGGGATGTCTGAATCCCCTATGGAGACCTTAGAGAAAGCCCTAGGTCCCTGCCTCATTTTGACGGAATGCCTCACATCCCGCTGACACCTCGAGAGGCACGCGGAGTTCATTGCTTCAAAAGGTGACGATGCCTGACTCCTCTTGAATACTTATGGGAATCCCAAAATTCCTGTTGCTACTGGAAAGGGTCCTTGGGTGCCCTGGCTCACCTCGAGAAGCGTCCCTTTTGCCCTGCCAAGCCTCGAAGACATTGCTGAGGTGTCCCTCGTTACTAGGCAGGAGTCCTGACGTCACTGAAGAAACTCGTGTTTTGAAGGGCCATCCCCGCCGTAAGTCGAGAACATACCCCAGGTCCCCGCCGCAACTCGAGAAAAACCATGAGACTTCCCCATATAGGCGAGATGAGGCCCCATTCCCCTGCCATGCATGCAGAGCTATTCCGTGATCCCATTCAAACAAGTCAGGAGCTTCGACTTGCTTAATGGATCTCGAGACAGTCCCCAAGAACACTGTCACCAGTCTAGATGGACCCTGAGGTCACCCAGCAATGCAAAGCAGCTCCATGTGCCCCAAATCAACTCGAGATGAGGCCGGATTCCCCTGCATTGACTCCAGAGCCACTCCTTGTTCCCCATTCAACACGACCGGTGGCTCGACTTCCTTCAGGCAACTCCAGAGATACCCCGAGAACTCTGTCCCAAGTCTAGAGGACCACCAACTTCAGCACAGCAACTCGAGGAATGCTCTGTGTACCCCATATCATCTCGAGATGAGAGCTGATACCCTGGCTTAGGCTCAAGACGTATGCCAACTTTCCAGAAGCACCTCAGGAGGAGGCTTCTCTCAGCAATAGGTATGTGGGAGGGACCCCGAGTTTGCTGCCTCAAGGGGAATATACAGGGAGAAGCCCTAACTTGAAAGGAGGCCGGATTTCCTTGCACTGGCTTGAATACAGGCTCGTCTTTGATCTGACAACATGAAGGGATGTCTGAATCCCCTGTGGAGACCTTAGAGAAAGCCCTAGGTCCCTGCCTCATTTTGACGGAATGCCTCACATCCCGCTGACACCTCGAGAGGCAAGCGGAGTTGATTGCTTCAAAAGGTGACGATGCCTGACTCCTCTTGAATACTGATAGGAATCCCAAAATCCCTGTGGCTACTGGAAAGGGTCCTTGGGTGCCCTGCCTCACCTCGAGAAGCGTCCCTTTTGCCCTGCCAAGCCTGGAAGAGATTCCTGAGGTGTCCCTCGTTACTAGGCAGGAGTCCTGACGTCACTGGAGAAACTCGTGTTTTGAAGGGCCATCCCCGCCGTAAGTCGAGAACATACCCCAGGTCCCCGCCGCAACTCGAGGAAAACCATGAGACTTCCCCCTAGAGGCGAGATGAGGCCCCATTCCCCTGCAGTGCATGCAGAGCTATTCCGTGATCCCATTCAAACAAGTCAGGAGCTTCGACTTGCTTAATGGATCTCGAGACAGTCCCCAAGAACACTGTCACCAGTCTAGACGGACCCTGAGGTCACCCCAGCAACGCAAAGCTGCTCCATGTGCCCCAAATCAACTCGTGATGAGGCCCGATTCCCCTGCATTGACTCCAGAGCCATTCCCCGTTCCCCATTCAACACGAACGGTGGCTCGACTTCCTTCAGTCAACTCCAGAGATTCCCCGAGAACACTGTCTCAAGTCTAGAGGACCACCAACTTCAGCACAGCAACTCGAGGAATGCTCTGTGTACCCCAAATCGTCTCGAGATGAGAGCTGATTCCCTGGCTTAGGCTCAAGACGTATGCCAACTTTCCAGAAGCACCTCAGGAGGAGGTTTCTCTCAGCAATAGGTATGTGGGAGGGACCCCGAGTTTGCTGCCTCAAGGGGAATATACAGCGAGAAGCCCTAACTTGAAAGGAGGCTGGATTTCCATGCAGTGGCTTGAATAAAGGCTCATCTTTCATCTCAAAACATGAAGGGATGTCTGAATCCCCTATGGAGACCTTAGAGAAAGCCCTAGGTCCCTGCCTCATTTTGACGGAATCCTCACATCCCGCTGACACCTCGAGAGGCACGCGGAGTTCATTTCTTCAAAAGGTGACGATGCCTGACTCCTCTTGATATTGATAGGAATCCCAAAATCCCTGTGGCTACTGGAAAGGGTCCTTGGGTGCCCTGGCTCACCTCGAGAAGCGTCCCTTTTGCCCTGCCAAGCCTCGAAGAGATTGCTGAGGTTTCCCTCGTTACTAGACAGGAGTCCTGACGTCACTGAAGAAACTCGTGTTTTGAAAGGCCATCCCCGTCGTAAGTCGAGAACATACCCCAGGTCCCCGCCGCAACTCGAGAAAAACCATGAGACTTCCCCCTAGAGGCGAGATGAGGCCCCATTCCCCTGCAGTGCATGCAGAGCTATTCCGTGATCCCATTCAAAGAAGTCAGGAGCTTCGACTTGCTTAATGGATCTCGAGACAGTCCCCAAGAACACTGTCACCAGTCTAGACGGAAACTGAAGTCACCCCAGCAATGCAAAGCAGCTCCATGTGCCCCAAATCAACTCGAGATGAGGCCCGATTCCCCTGCATTGACTCCAGAGCCATTCCCCGTTCCCCATTCAACACGACCGGTGGCTCGCCTTCCTTCAGGCAACTCCAGAGATGCCCCGAGAACACTGTCCCAAGTCTAGAAGAACACCAACTTCAGCACAGCAACTCGAGGAATGCTCTGTGTACCCCAAATCGTCTCGAGATGAGAGCTGATTCCCTGGCTTAGGCTCAAGACGTATGCCAACATTCCAGAAGCACCACAGGAGGAGGCTTCTCAGCAATAGGAATGTGGGAGGGACTCCGAGTTTGCTGCCTCAAGGGGAATATACAGCGAGAAGGCCTAACTTGAAAGGAGGCCGCATTTCCTTGCAGTAGCTTGAATACAGTCTTGTCTTTCATCTCACAACATGAAGGGATGTCTGAATCCCCTGTGGAGACCTTAGAGAAAGCCCTAGGTCCCTGCCTCATTTTGACGGAATCCTCACATCCCGCTGACACCTCGAGAGTCACGCGGAGTTCATTGCTTCAAAAGGTGACGATGCCTGACTCCTCTTGAATACTATTAGGAATCCCAAAATCCCTTTGGCTGCTGGAAAGGGTCCTGGGTGCCCTGCCTCACCTCGAGAAGCGTCCCTTTTGCCCTGCCAAGCCTCGAAGAGATTCCTGAGGTGTCCCTCCTTATTAGAAAGGAGTCCTGACGTCACTGAAGAAACTCGTGTTTTGAAGGGCCATCCCCGCCGTAAGTCGAGAACATACCCCAGGTCCCCGCCGCAACTCGAGAAAAACCATGAGACTTCCCCCTAGAGGCGAGATGAGGCCCCATTCCACTGCAATGCATGCAGAGCTATTCCGTGATCCCATTCAAACAAGTCAGGAGCTTCGACTTGCTTAATGGATATCGAGACAGTCCCCAAGAACACTGTCACCAGTCTAGACGGACCCTGAGGTCACCCCAGCAAGGCAAAGCTGCTCCATGTTTCCCAAATCAACTCGAGATGAGGCCCGATTCCCCTGCATTGACTCCAGAGCCATTCCCCGTTCCCCATTCAACACGACCGGTGGCTCGACTTCTTTCAGGCAACTCCAGAGATGCCCCGAAAACACTGTCCGAAGTCCAGAGGAACACCAACTTCAGCAAAGCAACTCGAGGAATGCTCCGTGTACCCCATATCATGTCGAGATGAGAGCTGATACCCTGGCTTAGGCTCAAGACGTATGCCAACTTTCCAGAAGCACCTCAGGAGGAGGCGTCTCTCAGCAATAGGTATGTGGGAGGGAACCCGAGTTTGCTGCCTCAAGGGGAATATACAGCGAGAAGCCCTAACTTGAAAGGAGGCCGGATTTCCTTGCACTGGCTTGAATACAGGCTCGTCTTTGATCTGACAACATGAAGGGATGTCTGAATCCCCTGTGGAGACCTTAGAGAAAGCCCTAGGTCCCTGCCTCATTTTGACGGAATGCCTCACATCCCGCTGACACCTCGAGAGGCACGCGGAGTTCATTGCTTCAAAAGGTGACGATGCCTGACTACTCTTGAATACTTATAGGAATCCCAAAATTCCTGTTGCTACTGGAAAGGGTCCTTGGGTGCCCTGGCTCACCTCGAGAAGCGTCCCTTTTGCCCTGCCAAGCCTCGAAGACATTGCTGAGGTGTCCCTCGTTACTAGGCAGGAGTCCTGACGTCACTGAAGAAACTCGTGTTTTGAAGGGCCATCCCCGCCGTAAGTCGAGAACATACCCCAGGTCCCCGCCGCAACTCGAGAAAAACCATGAGACTTCACCATATAGGCGAGATGAGGCCCCCTTCCCCTGCAGTGCATGCAGAGCTATTCCGTGATCCCATTCAAACAAGTCAGGAGCTTCGAGTTGCTTAATGGATCTCGAGACAGTCCCCAAGAACACTGTCACCAGTCTAGACGGACCCTGAGGTCACCGCAGCAACGCAAAGCAGCTCCATGTGCCCCAAATCAACTCGAGATGAGGCCCGATTCCCCTGCATTGATTCCAGGGCCATTCCCCGTTCCCCGTTCAACACGAACGGAGGCTCGCCTTCCTTCAGGCAACTCCAGAGATGCCCCGAGAACACTGTCCCAAGTCTAGCGGAACACCAACTTCAACACAGCAACTCGAGGAATGCTGTGTGTACCCCAAATCGTCTCGAGATGAGAGCTGATTCCCTGGCTTAGGCTCAAGACGTATGCCAACTTTCCAGAAGCACCTCAGGAGGAGGCTTCTCAGCAATAGGTATGTGGGAGGGACTCCGAGTTTGCTGCCTCAAGGGGAATATACAGCAAGAAGCCCTAACTTGAAAGGAGGCCGGATTTCCTTGCAGTAGCTTGAATACAGGCTTGTCTTTCATCTCACAACATGAAGGGATGTCTGAATCCCCTATGGAGACCTTAGAGAAAGCCCTAGGTCCCTGCCTCATTTTGACGGAATGCCTCACATCCCGCTGACACCTCGAGAGGCACGCGGAGTTCATTGCTTCAAAAGGTGACGATGCCTGACTCCTCTTGAATACTTATAGGAATCCCAAAATTCCTGTTGCTACTGGAAAGGGTCCTTGGGTGCCCTGGCTCACCTCGAGAAGCGTCCCTTTTGCCCTGCCAAGCCTCGAAGACATTGCTGAGGTGTCCCTCGTTACTAGGCAGGAGTCCTGACGTCACTGAAGAAACTCGTGTTTTGAAGGGCCATCCCCGCCGTAAGTCGAGAACATACCCCAGGTCCCCGCCGCAACTCGAGAAAAACCATGAGACTTCCCCATATAGGCGAGATGAGGCCCCATTCCCCTGCCATGCATGCAGAGCTATTCCGTGATCCCATTCAAACAAGTCAGGAGCTTCGACTTGCTTAATGGATCTCGAGACAGTCCCCAAGAACACTGTCACCAGTCTAGATGGACCCTGAGGTCACCCAGCAATGCAAAGCAGCTCCATGTGCCCCAAATCAACTCGAGATGAGGCCGGATTCCCCTGCATTGACTCCAGAGCCACTCCTTGTTCCCCATTCAACACGACCGGTGGCTCGACTTCCTTCAGGCAACTCCAGAGATACCCCGAGAACTCTGTCCCAAGTCTAGAGGACCACCAACATCAGCACAGCAACTCGAGGAATGCCCTGTGTACCCCATATCATCTCGAGATGAGAGCTGATACCCTGGCTTAGGCTCAAGACGTATGCCAACTTTCCAGAAGCACCTCAGGAGGAGGCTTCTCTCAGCAATAGGTATGTGGGAGGGACCCCGAGTTTGCTGCCTCAAGGGGAATATACAGGGAGAAGCCCTAACTTGAAAGGAGGCCGGATTTCCTTGCACTGGCTTGAATACAGGCTCGTCTTTGATCTGACAACATGAAGGGATGTCTGAATCCCCTGTGGAGACCTTAGAGAAAGCCCTAGGTCCCTGCCTCATTTTGACGGAATGCCTCACATCCCGCTGACACCTCGAGAGGCAAGCGGAGTTGATTGCTTCAAAAGGTGACGATGCCTGACTCCTCTTGAATACTGATAGGAATCCCAAAATCCCTGTGGCTACTGGAAAGGGTCCTTGGGTGCCCTGCCTCACCTCGAGAAGCGTCCCTTTTGCCCTGCCAAGCCTGGAAGAGATTCCTGAGGTGTCCCTCGTTACTAGGCAGGAGTCCTGACGTCACTGGAGAAACTCGTGTTTTGAAGGGCCATCCCCGCCGTAAGTCGAGAACATACCCCAGGTCCCCGCCGCAACTCGAGGAAAACCATGAGACTTCCCCCTAGAGGCGAGATGAGGCCCCATTCCCCTGCAGTGCATGCAGAGCTATTCCGTGATCCCATTCAAACAAGTCAGGAGCTTCGACTTGCTTAATGGATCTCGAGACAGTCCCCAAGAACACTGTCACCAGTCTAGACGGACCCTGAGGTCACCCCAGCAACGCAAAGCTGCTCCATGTGCCCCAAATCAACTCGTGATGAGGCCCGATTCCCCTGCATTGACTCCAGAGCCATTCCCCGTTCCCCATTCAACACGAACGGTGGCTCGACTTCCTTCAGTCAACTCCAGAGATTCCCCGAGAACACTGTCTCAAGTCTAGAGGACCACCAACTTCAGCACAGCAACTCGAGGAATGCTCTGTGTACCCCAAATCGTCTCGAGATGAGAGCTGATTCCCTGGCTTAGGCTCAAGACGTATGCCAACTTTCCAGAAGCACCTCAGGAGGAGGCTTCTCTCAGCAATAGGTATGTGGGAGGGACCCCGAGTTTGCTGCCTCAAGGGGAATATACAGCGAGAAGCCCTAACTTGAAAGGAGGCTGGATTTCCATGCAGTGGCTTGAATAAAGGCTCATCTTTCATCTCAAAACATGAAGGGATGTCTGAATCCCCTATGGAGACCTTAGAGAAAGCCCTAGGTCCCTGCCTCATTTTGACGGAATCCTCACATCCCGCTGACACCTCGAGAGGCACGCGGAGTTCATTTCTTCAAAAGGTGACGATGCCTGACTCCTCTTGATATTGATAGGAATCCCAAAATCCCTGTGGCTACTGGAAAGGGTCCTTGGGTGCCCTGGCTCACCTCGAGAAGCGTCCGTTTTGCCCTGCCAAGCCTCGAAGAGATTGCTGAGGTTTCCCTCGTTACTAGACAGGAGTCCTGACGTCACTGAAGAAACTCGTGTTTTGAAAGGCCATCCCCGACGTAAGTCGAGAACATACCCCAGGTCCCCGCCGCAACTCGAGAAAAACCATGAGACTTCCCCCTAGAGGCGAGATGAGGCCCCATTCCCCTGCAGTGCATGCAGAGCTATTCCGTGATCCCATTCAAAGAAGTCAGGAGCTTCGACTTGCTTAATGGATCTCGAGACAGTCCCCAAGAACACTGTCACCAGTCTAGACGGAAACTGAAGTCACCCCAGCAATGCAAAGCAGCTCCATGTGCCCCAAATCAACTCGAGATGAGGCCCGATTCCCCTGCATTGACTCCAGAGCCATTCCCCGTTCCCCATTCAACACGATCGGTGGCTCGCCTTCCTTCAGGCAACTCCAGAGATGCCCCGAGAACACTGTCCCAAGTCTAGAAGAACACCAACTTCAGCACAGCAACTCGAGGAATGCTCTGTGTACCCCAAATCGTCTCGAGATGAGAGCTGATTCCCTGGCTTAGGCTCAAGACGTATGCCAACATTCCAGAAGCACCACAGGAGGAGGCTTCTCAGCAATAGGAATGTGGGAGGGACTCCGAGTTTGCTGCCTCAAGGGGAATATACAGCGAGAAGGCCTAACTTGAAAGGAGGCCGCATTTCCTTGCAGTAGCTTGAATACAGTCTTGTCTTTCATCTCACAACATGAAGGGATGTCTGAATCCCCTGTGGAGACCTTAGAGAAAGCCCTAGGTCCCTGCCTCATTTTGACGGAATCCTCACATCCCGCTGACACCTCGAGAGGCACGCGGAGTTCATTGCTTCAAAAGGTGACGATGCCTGACTCCTCTTGAATACTATTAGGAATCCCAAAATCCCTTTGGCTGCTGGAAAGGGTCCTGGGTGCCCTGCCTCACCTCGAGAAGCGTCCCTTTTGCCCTGCCAAGCCTCGAAGAGATTCCTGAGGTGTCCCTCCTTATTAGAAAGGAGTCCTGACGTCACTGAAGAAACTCGTGTTTTGAAGGGCCATCCCCGCCGTAAGTCGAGAACATACCCCAGGTCCCCGCCGCAACTCGAGAAAAACCATGAGACTTCCCCCTAGAGGCGAGATGAGGCCCCATTCCACTGCAATGCATGCAGAGCTATTCCGTGATCCCATTCAAACAAGTCAGGAGCTTCGACTTGCTTAATGGATATCGAGACAGTCCCCAAGAACACTGTCACCAGTCTAGACGGACCCTGAGGTCACCCCAGCAACGCAAAGCTGCTCCATGTTTCCCAAATCAACTCGAGATGAGGCCCGATTCCCCTGCATTGACTCCAGAGCCATTCCCTGTTCCCCATTCAACACGACCGGTGGCTCGACTTCTTTCAGGCAACTCCAGAGATGCCCCGAAAACACTGTCCGAAGTCCAGAGGAACACCAACTTCAGCAAAGCAACTCGAGGAATGCTCCGTGTACCCCATATCATGTCGAGATGAGAGCTGATACCCTGGCTTAGGCTCAAGACGTATGCCAACTTTCCAGAAGCACCTCAGGAGGAGGCGTCTCTCAGCAATAGGTATGTGGGAGGGAACCCGAGTTTGCTGCCTCAAGGGGAATATACAGCGAGAAGCCCTAACTTGAAAGGAGGCCGGATTTCCTTGCACTGGCTTGAATACAGGCTCGTCTTTGATCTGACAACATGAAGGGATGTCTGAATCCCCTGTGGAGACCTTAGAGAAAGCCCTAGGTCCCTGCCTCATTTTGACGGAATGCCTCACATCCCGCTGACACCTCGAGAGGCAAGCGGAGTTCATTGCTTCAAAAGGTGACGATCCCTGACTCCTCTTGAATACTGATAGGAATCCCAAAATCCCTGTGGCTACTGGAAAGGGTCCTTGGGTGCCCTGCCTCACCTCGAGAAGCGTCCCTTTTGCCCTGCCAAGCCTCGAAGAGATTCCTGAGTTGTCCCTCGTTACTAGACAGGAGTCCTGACGTCACTGAAGAAACTCGTGTTTTGAAGGGCCATCCCCGCCGTAAGTCGAGAACGTACCCCAGGTCCCCGCCGCAACTCGAGTAAAACCGTGAGCCTTCCCCCTAGAGGCGAGATGAGGCCCCATTCCCCTGCAGTGCATGCAGAGCTATTCCGTGATCCCATTCAAACAAGTCAGGAGCTTCGACTTGCTTAATGGATACCGAGACAGTCCCCAAGAACACTGTCACCAGTCTAGACGGACCGTGAGGTCACCGCAGCAACGCAAAGCTGCTCCATGTGCCCCAAATCAACTCGAGATGAGGCCCGATTCCCCTGCATTGACTCCAGAGCCATTCCCCGTTCCCCATTTAACACGACCGGTGGCTCGACTTCCTTCAGGCAACTCGAGAGATGCCCCGAGAACACTGTCCCAAGTCTAGAGGAACACCAATTTCAGCACAGCAACTCGAGGAATGCTCCGTGTACGCCAAATCATCTCGAGATGAGAGCTGATTCCCTGGCTTAGGCTCAAGACGTATGCCAACTTTCCAGAAGCACCTCACGAGGAGGCTTCTCTCAGCAATAGGTATGTGGGAGGGACCCCGAGTTTGCTGCCTCAAGGGGAATACACAGGGAGAAGCCCTAATGTGAACGGAGGCCAGATTTCCTTGCAGTGGCTTGAATACAGGCTCGTCTTTCATCTCACAACATGAAGGGATGTCTGAATCCCCTGTGGAGACCTTAGAGAAAGCCCTAGGTCCCTGCCTCATTTTGACGGAATGCCTCACATCCCGCTGACACCTCGAGAGGCACGCGGAGTTCATTGCTTCAAAAGGTGACGATGCCTGACTCCTCTTGAATACTGATAGGAATCCCAAAATCCCTGTGGCTACTGGAAAGGGTCCTTGGGTGCCCTGCCTCACCTCGAGAAGCGTCCCTTTTGCCTTGCCAAGCCTCGAAGAGATTGCTGAGGTGTCCCTCTTTACTAGACAGGAGTCCTGACGTCACTGAAGAAACTCGTGTTTTGAAGGGCCATCCCCGCCGTAAGTCGAGAACATACCCCAGTTCCCCGCCGCAACTCGAGAAAAACCATGAGACTTCCCCCTAGAGGCGAGATGAGGCCCCATTCCCCTGCAGTGCATGCAGAGCTATTCCGTGATCCCATTCAAACAAGTCAGGAGCTTCGACTTGCTTAATGGATCTCGAGAGAGTCCCCAAGAACACTGTCACCAGTCTAGACGGACCCTGAGGTCACCCCAGCAACGCAAAGCTGCTCCATGTGCCCCAAATCAACTCGAGATGAGGCCCGATTCCCCTGCATTGACTCCAGAGCCATTCCCCGTTCCCCATTCAACACGACCGGTGGCTCGACTTCCTTCAGGCAACTCCAGGGATGCCCCGAGAACACCGTCCCAAGTCTAGAGGAACAGCAACTTCAGCACAGCAACTCGAGGAATGCACCGTGTAACCTAAATCATCTCGAGATGAGAGCTGATTCCCTGGCTTAGGCTCAAGACGTATGCCAACTTTCCAGAAGCACCTCAGGAGGAGGCTTCTCTCAGCAATAGGTATGTGGGAGGGACCCCGAGTTTGCTGCCTCAAGGGGAATATACAGCGAGAAGCCCTAACTTGAAAGGAGGCCGGATTTCCTTGCAGTGGCTTGAATACAGGCTCGTCTTTGATCTGACAACATGAAGGGATGTCTGAATCCCCTGTGGAGACCTTAGAGAAAGCCCTAGGTCCCTGCCTCATTTTGACGGAATGCCTCACATCCCGCTGACACCTCGAGAGGCACGCGGAGTTCATTGCTTCAAAAGGTGACGATGCCTGACTACTCTTGAATAATGATAGGAATCCCAAAATCCCTGTGGCTACTGGAAAGGGTCCTTGGGTGCCCTGCCTCACCTCGAGAAGCATCCCTTTTGCCCTGCCAAGCCTGGAAGAGATTCCTGAGGTGTCCCTCGTTACTAGGCAGGAGTCCTGACGTCACTAGAGAAACTCGTGTTTTGAAGGGCCATCCCCGCCGTAAGTCGAGAACATACCCCAGGTCCCCGCCGCAACTCGAGAAAAACAGTGAGCCTTCCCCCTAGAGGCGAGATGAGGCCCCATTCCCCTGCAGTGCATGCAGAGCTATTCCGTGATCCCATTCAAACAAGTCAGGAGCTTCGACTTGCTTAATGGATCTTGAGACAGTCCCCAAGAACACTGTCACCAGTCTAGACGGACGCTGAGGTCACCCAGCAATGCAAAGCAGCTCCTTGTGCCCCAAATCAACTCGAGATGAGGCCTGATTCCCCTGCACTGACTCCAGAGCCATTCCCTGTTCCCCATTCAACACGACCGGTGGCTCGACTTCCTTCAGGCAACTCCAGAGATGCCCCGAGAACACTGTCCCAAGTCTAGAGGACCACCAACTTCAGCACAGCAACTCGAGGAATGCTCTGTGTACCCCAAATCGTCTCGAGATGAGAGCTGATTCCCTGGCTTAGGCTCAAGACGTATGCCAACTTTCCAGAAGCACCTCAGGAGGAGGCTTCTCTCAGCAATAGGTATGTGGGAGGGACCCCGAGTTTGCTGCCTCAAGGGGAATATACAGCGAGAAGCCCTAACTTGAAAGGAGGCCGGTTTTCCTTGCAGTGGCTTGAATACAGGCTCATCTTTCATCACACAACATGAAGGGATGTCTGAATCCCCTGTGGAGACCTTAGAGAAAGCCCTAGGTCCCTGCCTCATTTTGACGGAATCCTCACTTCCCGCTGACACCTCGAGAGGCACGCGGAGTTCATTGCTTAAAAAGGTGACGATGCCTGACTCCTCTTGAATACTGATAGGAATCCCAAAATCCCTGTGGCTACTGGAAAGGGTCCTTGGGTGCCCTGCCTCACCTCGAGAAGCGTCCCTTTTGCCCTGCCAAGCCTCGAAGAGATTCCTGAGGTGTCCCTCGTTACTAGACAGGAGTCCTGAAGTCACTGAAGAAACTCGTGTTTTGAAGGGCCATCCCCGCCATAAGTCGAGAACATACCCCAGGTCCCCGCCGCAACTCGAGAAAAACCGTGAGCCTTCCCCCTAGAGGCGAGATGAGGCCCCATTCCCCTGCAGTGCATGCAGAGCTATTCCGTGATCCCATTCAAACAAGTCAGGAGCTTCGACTTGCTTAATGGATCTCGAGACAGTCCCCAAGAACACTGTCACCAGTCTAGACGGACCCTGAGGTCACCCCAGCAACGCAAAGCTGCTCCATGTGCCCCAAATCAACTCGAGATGAGGCCCGATTCCCCTGCATTGACTCCAGAGCCATTCCCCGTTCCCCATTCAACACGACCGGTGGCTCGACTTCCTTCAGGCAACTCCAGGGATGCCCCGAGAACACCGTCCCAAGTATAGAGAAACAGCAACTTCAGCACAGCAACTCGAGGAATGCACCGTGTAACCTAAATCATCTCGAGATGAGAGCTGATTCCCTGGCTTAGGCTCAAGACGTATGCCAACTTTCCAGAAGCACCTCAGGAGGAGGCTTCTCTCAGCAATAGGTATGTGGGAGGGACCCCGAGTTTGCTGCCTCAAGGGGAATATACAGCGAGAAGCCCTAACTTGAAAGGAGGCCGGATTTCCTTGCAGTGGCTTGAATACAGGCTCGTCTTTGATCTGACAACATGAAGGGATGTCTGAATCCCCTGTGGAGACCTTAGAGAAAGCCCTAGGTCCCTGCCTCATTTTGACGGAATGCCTCACATCCCGCTGACACCTCGAGAGGCACGCGGAGTTCATTGCTTCAAAAGGTGACGATGCCTGACTCCTCTTGAATACTGATAGGAATCCCAAAATCCCTGTGGCTACGGGAAAGGGTCCTTGGGTGCCCTGCCTCACCTCGAGAAGCGTCCCTTTTGCCCTGCCAGGCCTGGAAGAGATTCCTGAGGTGTCCCTCGTTACTAGGCAGGAGTCCTGACGTCACTGAAGAAACTCGTGTTTTGAAGGGCCATCCCCGCCGTAAGTCGAGAACATACCCCAGGTCCCCGCCGCAACTCGAGAAAAACCGTGAGCCTTCCGCCTAGAGGCGAGATGAGGCCCCATTCCCCTGCAGTGCATGCAGAGCTATTCCGTGATCCCATTCAAACAAGTCAGGAGCTTCGACTTGCTTAATGGATCTCGAGACAGTCCCCAAGAACACTGTCACCAGTCTAGACGGACCCTGAGGTCACCGCAGCAACGCAAAGCTGCTCCATGTGCCCCAAATCAACTCGAGATGAGGCCCGATTCCCCTGCATTGACTCCAGAGCCATTCCCCGTTCCCCATTCAACACGACCGGTGGCTCGACTTCCTTCAGGCAACTCCAGAGATGCCCCGAGAACACTGTCCCAAGTCTAGAGGAACACCAACTTCAGCACAGCAACTCGAGGAATGCTCCGTGTACCCCAAATCATCTCGAGATGAGAGCTGATTCTCTGGCTTAGGCTCAAGACGTATGCCAACTTTCCAGAAGCACCTCAGGAGGAGGCTTCTCTCAGCAATAGGTATGTGGGAGGGACCCCCAGTTTGCTGCCTCAAGGGGAATATACAGCGAGAAGCCCTAACTTGAAAGGAGGCCAGTTTTCCTTGCAGTGGCTTGAATACAGGCTCGTCTTTCATCTCACAACATGAAGGGATGTCTGAATCCCCTGTGGAGACCTTAGAGAAAGCCCTAGGTCCCTGCCTCATTTTGACGGAATCCTCATATCGCGCAGACACCGCGAGAGGCACGCGGAGTTCATTGCTTCAAAAGGTGACGATGCCTGACCCCTCTTGATACTGATAGGAATCCCAAAATCCCTGTGGCTACTGGAAAGGGTCCTTGGGTGCCCTGGCTCACCTCGAGAAGCGTCCGTTTTGCCCTGCCAAGCCTCGAAGAGATTGCTGAGGTGTCCCTCCTTACTAGACAGGAGTCCTGATGTCACTGAAGAAACTCGTGTTTTGAAGGGCCATCCCCGCCGTAAGTCGAGAACATACCCCAGGTCCCCGCCGCAACTCGAGAAAAACCATGAGACTTCCCCCTAGAGGCGAGATGAGGCCCCATTCCCCTGCAGTGCATGCAGAGCTATTCCGTGATCCCATTCAAACAATTCAGGAGCTTCGACTTGCTTAATGGATCTCGAGACAGTCCCCAAGTACACTGTCACCAGTCTAGACGGAACCTGAGGTCACCCCAGCAATGCAAAGCAGCTCCATGTGCCCCAAATCAACTCGAGATGAGGCCCGATTCCCCTGCATTGACTCCAGAGCCATTCCCCGTTCCCCATTCAACACGACCGGTGGCTCGCCTTCCTTCAGGCAACTCCAGAGACATGACCCGAGAACACTGTCCCAAGTCTAGAAGAACACCAACTTCAGCACAGCAACTCGAGGAATGCTCTGTGTACCCCAAATCGTCTCGAGATGAGAGCTGATTCCCTGGCTTAGGCTCAAGACGTATTCCAACTTTCCAGAAGCACCTCAGGAGGAGGCTTCTCAGCAATAGGTATGTGGGAGGGACTCCGAGTTTGCTGCCTCAAGGGGAATATACAGCGAGAAGCCCTAACTTGAAAGGAGGCCGGATTTCCTTGCAGTAGCTTGAATACAGTCTTGTCTTTCATCTCACAACATGAAGGGATGTCTGAATCCCCTGTGGAGACCTTAGAGAAAGCCCTAGGTCCCTGCCTCATTTTGACGGAATCCTCATATCGCGCAGACACCGCGAGAGGCACGCGGAGTTCATTGCTTCAAAAGGTGACGATGCCTGACTCCTCTTGAATACTGATAGGAATCCCAAAATCCCTGTGGCTACTGGAAAGGGTTCTTGGGTGCCCTGCCTCACATCGAGAAGCGTCCCTTTTGCCCTGCCAAGCCTCGAAGAGATTCCTGAGGTGTCCCTCGTTACTAGACAGGAGTCCTGACGTCACTGAAGAAACTCGTGTTTTGAAGGGCCATCCCCGCCGTAAGTCGAGAACATACCCCAGGTCCCCGCCGCAACTCGAGAAAAACCATGAGACTTCCCCCTAGAGGCGAGATGAGGCCCCATTCCCCTGCAGTGCATGCAGAGCTATTCCGTGATCCCATTCAAACAAGTCAGGAGCTTCGACTTGCTTAATGGATCTCGAGACAGTCCCCAAGAACACTGTCCCCAGTCTAGACGGACCCTGACGTCACCCCAGAAACACAAAGCAGCTCTATGTGCCCCAAATCAACTCGAGATGAGGCCCCATTCCCCTGCATTGACTCCAGAGCCATTCCCCGTTCCCCATTCAACAGGACTGGTGGCTCGCTTTCCTTCAGGCAACTCCAGGGATGCCCCGAGAACACTGTCCCATGTCTAGAGGAACACCAACTTCAGAACAGCAACTCGAGGAATGCTCTGTGTACCCCAAATCGTCTCGAGATGAGAGCTGATTCCCTGGCTTAGGCTCAAGACGTATGCCAACTTTCCAGAAGCACCTCAGGAGGAGGCTTCTCAGCAATAGGTATGTGGGAGGGACTCCGAGTTTGCTGCCTCAAGGGGAATATACAGCGAGAAGCCCTAACTTGAAAGGAGGCCGGATTTCCTTGCAGTGGCTTGAATACAGGCTCGTCTTTCATCTCACAACATGAAGGGATGTCTGAATCCCCTGTGGAGACCTTAGAGAAAGCCCTAGGTCCCTGCCTCATTTTGACGGAATCCTCACATCCCGCTGACACCTCGAGAGGCACGCGGAGTTCATTGCTTCAAAAGGTGACGATGCCTGACTCCTCTTGAATACTTATAGGAATCCCAAAATCCCTGTGGCTACTGGAAAGGGTCCTTGGGTGCCCTGCCTCACCTCGAGAAGCGTCCATTTTGCCCTGCCAAGCCTGGAAGAGATTCCTGAGGTGTCCCTCTTTACTAGGCAGGAGTCCTGACGTCACTGAAGAAACTCGTGTTTTGAAGGGCCATCCCCGCCGTAAGTCGAGAACATACCCCAGGTCCCCGCCGCAACTCGAGAAAAACCGTGAGCCTTCCCCCTAGAGGCGAGATGAGGCCCCATTCCCCTGCAGTGCATGCAGAGCTATTCCGTGATCCCATTCAAACAAGTCAGGCGCTTCGACTTGCTTAATGGATCTCGAGACAGTCCCCAAGAACACTGTCACCAGTCTAGACGGACCCTGAGGTCACCCAGCAATGAAAAGCAGCTCCATGTGCCCCAAATCAACTCGAGATGAGGCCGGATTCCCCTGCACTGACTCCAGAGCCATTCCCTGTTCCCCATTCAACACGACCGGTGGCTCGACTTCCTTCAGGCAACTCCAGAGATGCCCCGAGAACACTGTCCCAGGTCTAGAAGACCACCAACTTCAGCACAGCAACTCGAGGAATGCTCTGTGTACCCCAAATCGTCTCGAGATGAGAGCTGATTCCCTGGCTTAGGCTCAAGACGTATGCCAACTTCCCAGAAGCACCTCAGGAGGAGGCTTCTCTCAGCAATAGGTATGTGGGAGGGACCCCGAGTTTGCTGCCTCAAGGGGAATATACAGCGAGAAGCCCTAACTTGAAAGGAGGCCGGTTTTCCTTGCAGTGGCTTGAATACAGGCTCATCTTTCATCACACAACATGAAGGGATGTCTGAATCCCCTGTGGAGACCTTAGAGAAAGCCCTAGGTCCCTGCCTCATTTTGACGGAATCCTCACATCCCGCTGACACCTCGAGAGGCACGCGGAGTTCATTGCTTAAAAAGGTGACGATGCCTGACTCCTCTTGAATACTGATAGGAATCCCAAAATCCCTGTGGCTACTGGAAAGGGTCCTTGGGTGCCCTGCCTCACCTCGAGAAGCGTCCCTTTTGCCCTGCCAAGCCTCGAAGAGATTCCTGAGGTGTCCCTCGTTACTAGACAGGAGTCCTGACGTCACTGAAGAAACTCGTGTTTTGAAGGGCCATCCCCGCCGTAAGTCGAGAACATACCCCAGGTCCCCGCCGCAACTCGAGAAAAACCGTGAGCCTTCCCCCTAGAGGCGAGATGAGGCCCCATTCCCCTGCAGTGCATGCAGAGCTATTCCGTGATCCCATTCAAACAAGTCAGGCGCTTCGACTTGCTTAATGGATCTCGAGACAGTCCCCAAGAACACTGTCACCAGTCTAGACGGACCGTGAGGTCACCGCAGCAACGCAAAGCTGCTCCATGTGCCCCAAATCAACTCGAGATGAGGCCCGATTCCCCTGCATTGACTCCAGAGCCATTCCCCGTTCCCCATTTAACACGACCGGTGGCTCGACTTCCTTCAGGCAACTCGAGAGATGCCCCGAGAACACTGTCCCAAGTCTAGAGGAACACCAACTTCAGCACAGCAACTCGAGGAATGCTCCGTGTACGCCAAATCATCTCGAGATGAGAGCTGATTCCCTGGCTTAGGCTCAAGACGTATGCCAACTTTCCAGAAGCACCTCAGGAGGAGGCTTCTCTCAGCAATAGGTATGTGGGAGGGACCCCGAGTTTGCTGCCTCAAGGGGAATACAGAGGGAGAAGCCCTAATGTGAACGGAGGCCAGATTTCCTTGCAGTGGCTTGAATACAGGCTCGTCTTTCATCTCACAACATGAAGGGATGTCTGAATCCCCTGTGGAGTCCTTAGAGAAAGCCCTAGGTCCCTGCCTCATTTTGACGGAATGCCTCACATCCCGCTGACACCTCGAGAGGCACGCGGAGTTCATTGCTTCAAAAGGTGACGATGCCTGACTCCTCTTGAATACTGATAGGAATCCCAAAATCCCTGTGGCTACTGGAAAGGGTCCTTGGGTGCCCTGGCTCACTTCGAGAAGCGTCCCTTTTGCCCTGCCAAGCCTCGAAGAGATTCCTGAGGTGTCCCTCGTTACTAGACAGGAGTCCTGACGTCACTGAAGAAACTCGTGTTTTGAAGGGCCATCCCCGCCGTAAGTCGAGAACATACCCCAGTTCCCCGCCGCAACTCGAGAAAAACCGTGAGACTTCCCCCTAGAGGCGAGATGAGGCCCCATTCCCCTGCAGTGCATGCAGAGCTATTCCGTGATCCCATTCAAACAAGTCAGGAGCTTCGACTTGCTTAATGGATCTCGAGACAGTCCCCAAGAACACTGTCACCAGTCTAGACGGACCCTGAGGTCACCCCAGCAACCCAAAGCTGCTCCATGTGCCCCAAATCAACTCGAGATGAGGCCCGATTCCCCTGCATTGACTCCAGAGCCATTCCCCGTTCCCCATTCAACACGACCGGTGGCTCGCCTTCCTTCAGGCAACTCCAGAGACATGACCCGAGAACACTGTCCCAAGTCTAGAAGAACACCAACTTCAGCACAGCAACTCGAGGAATGCTCTGTGTACCCCAAATCGTCTCGAGATGAGAGCTGATTCCCTGGCTTAGGCTCAAGACGTATTCCAACTTTCCAGAAGCACCTCAGGAGGAGGCTTCTCAGCAATAGGTATGTGGGAGGGACTCCGAGTTTGCTGCCTCAAGGGGAATATACAGCGAGAAGCCCTAACTTGAAAGGAGGCCGGATTTCCTTGCAGTAGCTTGAATACAGTCTTGTCTTTCATCTCACAACATGAAGGGATGTCTGAATCCCCTGTGGAGACCTTAGAGAAAGCCCTAGGTCCCTGCCTCATTTTGACGGAATCCTCATATCGCGCAGACACCGCGAGAGGCACGCGGAGTTCATTGCTTCAAAAGGTGACGATGCCTGACTCCTCTTGAATACTGATAGGAATCCCAAAATCCCTGTGGCTACTGGAAAGGGTTCTTGGGTGCCCTGCCTCACATCGAGAAGCGTCCCTTTTGCCCTGCCAAGCCTCGAAGAGATTCCTGAGGTGTCCCTCGTTACTAGACAGGAGTCCTGACGTCACTGAAGAAACTCGTGTTTTGAAGGGCCATCCCCGCCGTAAGTCGAGAACATACCCCAGGTCCCCGCCGCAACTCGAGAAAAACCATGAGACTTCCCCCTAGAGGCGAGATGAGGCCCCATTCCCCTGCAGTGCATGCAGAGCTATTCCGTGATCCCATTCAAACAAGTCAGGAGCTTCGACTTGCTTAATGGATCTCGAGACAGTCCCCAAGAACACTGTCCCCAGTCTAGACGGACCCTGACGTCACCCCAGAAACACAAAGCAGCTCTATGTGCCCCAAATCAACTCGAGATGAGGCCCCATTCCCCTGCATTGACTCCAGAGCCATTCCCCGTTCCCCATTCAACAGGACTGGTGGCTCGCTTTCCTTCAGGCAACTCCAGGGATGCCCCGAGAACACTGTCCCAAGTCTAGAGGAACACCAACTTCAGAACAGCAACTCGAGGAATGCTCTGTGTACCCCAAATCGTCTCGAGATGAGAGCTGATTCCCTGGCTTAGGCTCAAGACGTATGCCAACTTTCCAGAAGCACCTCAGGAGGAGGCTTCTCAGCAATAGGTATGTGGGAGGGACTCCGAGTTTGCTGCCTCAAGGGGAATATACAGCGAGAAGCCCTAACTTGAAAGGAGGCCGGATTTCCTTGCAGTGGCTTGAATACAGGCTCGTCTTTCATCTCACAACATGAAGGGATGTCTGAATCCCCTGTGGAGACCTTAGAGAAAGCCCTAGGTCCCTGCCTCATTTTGACGGAATCCTCACATCCCGCTGACACCTCGAGAGGCACGCGGAGTTCATTGCTTCAAAAGGTGACGATGCCTGACTCCTCTTGAATACTTATAGGAATCCCAAAATCCCTGTGGCTACTGGAAAGGGTCCTTGGGTGCCCTGCCTCACCTCGAGAAGCGTCCCTTTTGCCCTGCCAAGCCTGGAAGAGATTCCTGAGGTGTCCCTCGTTACTAGGCAGGAGTCCTGACGTCACTGAAGAAACTCGTGTTTTGAAGGGCCATCCCCGCCGTAAGTCGAGAACATACCCCAGGTCCCCGCCGCAACTCGAGAAAAACCGTGAGCCTTCCCCCTAGAGGCGAGATGAGGCCCCATTCCCCTGCAGTGCATGCAGAGCTATTCCGTGATCCCATTCAAACAAGTCAGGAGCTTCGACTTGCTTAATGGATCTCGAGACAGTCCCCAAGAACACTGTCACCAGTCTAGACGGACCCTGACGTCACCCCAGAAACACAAAGCAGCTCTATGTGCCCCAAATCAACTCGAGATGAGGCCCCATTCCCCTGCATTGACTCCGGAGCCATTCCCCGTTCCCCATTCAACAGGACTGGTGGCTCGCTTTCCTTCAGGCAACTCCAGGGATGCCCCGAGAACACTGTCCCAAGTCTAGAGGAACACCAACTTCAGAACAGCAACTCGAGGAATGCTCTGTGTACCCCAAATCGTCTCGAGATGAGAGCTGATTCCCTGGCTTAGGCTCAAGACGTATGCCAACTTTCCAGAAGCACCTCAGGAGGAGGCTTCTCAGCAATAGGCATGTGGGAGGGACTCCGAGTTTGCTGCCTCAAGGGGAATATACAGCGAGAAGCCCTAACTTGAAAGGAGGCCGGATTTCCTTGCAGTGGCATGAATACAGGCTCGTCTTTCATCTCACAACATGAAGGGATGTCTGAATCCCCTGTGGAGACCTTAGAGAAAGCCCTAGGTCCCTGCCTCATTTTGACGGAATCCTCACATCCCGCTGACACCTCGAGAGGCACGCAGAGTTCATTGCTTCAAAAGGTGACGATGCCTGACTCCTCTTGAATACTTATAGGAATCCCAAAATCCCTGTGGCTACTGGAAAGGGTCCTTGGGTGCCCTGCCTCACCTCGAGAAGCGTCCCTTTTGCCCTGCCAAGCCTGGAAGAGATTCCTGAGGTGTCCCTCGTTACTAGGCAGGAGTCCTGACGTCACTAGAGAAACTCGTGTTTTGAAGGGCCATCCCCGCCGTAAGTCGAGAACATACCCCAGGTCCCCGCCGCAACTCGAGAAAAACCGTGAGCCTTCCCCCTAGAGGCGAGATGAGGCCCCATTCCCCTGCAGTGCATGCAGAGCTATTCCGTGATCCCATTCAAACAAGTCAGGAGCTTCGACTTGCTTAATGGATCTCGAGACAGTCCCCAAGAACACTGTCACCAGTCTAGACGGACCCTGAGGTCACCCAGCAATGCAAAGCAGCTCCATGTGCCCCAAATCAACTCGAGATGAGGCCGGATTCCCCTGCACTGACTCCAGAGCCATTCCCTGTTCCCCATTCAACACGACCGGTGGCTCGACTTCCTTCAGGCAACTCCAGAGATGCCCCGAGAACACTGTCCCAGGTCTAGAGGACCACCAACTTCAGCACAGCAACTCGAGGAATGCTCTGTGTACCCCAAATCATCTCGAGATGAGAGCTGATTCCCTGGCTTAGGCTCAAGACGTATGCCAACTTTCCAGAAGCACCTCAGGAGGAGGCTTCTCTCAGCAATAGGTATGTGGGAGGGACCCCGAGTTTGCTGCCTCAAGGGGAATATACAGCGAGAAGCCCTAACTTGAAAGGAGGCCGGTTTTCCTTGCAGTGGCTTGAATACAGGCTCGTCTTTCATCTCACAACATGAAGGGATGTCTGAATCCCCTGTGGAGACCTTAGAGAAAGCCCTAGATCCCTGCCTCATTTTGACGGAATCCTCACATCCCGCTGACACCTCGAGAGGCACGTGGGGTTCATTGCTTCAAAAGGTGACGATGCCTGACTCCTCTTGAATACTGATAGAAATCCCAAAATCCCTGTGGCTACTGGAAAGGGTCCTTGGGTGCCCTGCCTCACCTCGAGAAGCGTCCCTTTTGCCCTGCCAAGCCTCGAAGAGATTGCTGAGGTGTCCCTCGTTACTAGACAGGAGTCCTGACGTCACTGAAGAAACTCGTGTTTTGAAGGGCCATCCCCGCCGTAAGTCGAGAACATACCCCAGGTCCCCGCCGCAACTCGAGAAAAATCATGAGACTTCCTCCTAGAGGCGAGATGAGGCCCCATTCCCCTGCAGTGCATGCAGAGCTATTCCGTGATCCCATTCAAACAAGTCAGGAGCTTCGACTTGCTTAATGGATCTCGAGACAGTCCCCAAGAACACTGTCACCAGTCTAGACGGACCCTGAGGTCACCCCAGCAACGCAAAGCTGCTCCATGTGCCCCAAATCAACTCGAGATGAGGCCCGATTCCCCTTCATTGACTCCAGAGCCATTCCCCGTTCCCCATTCAACACGACCGGTGGCTCGACTTCCTTCAGGCAACTCCAGGGATGCCCCGAGAACACCGTTCCAAGTCTAGAGGAACAGCAACTTCAGCACAGCAACTCGAGGAATGCACCGTGTAACCTAAATCATCTCGAGATGAGAGCTGATTCCCTGGCTTAGGCTCAAGACGTATGCCAACTTTCCAGAAGCACCTCAGGAGGAGGCTTCTCTCAGCAATAGGTATGTGGGAGGGACCCCGAGTTTGCTGCCTCAAGGGGAATATACAGCGAGAAGCCCTAACTTGAAAGGAGGCCGGATTTCCTTGCAGTGGCTTGAATACAGGCTCGTCTTTGATCTGACAACATGAAGGGATGTCTGAATCCCCTGTGGAGACCTTAGAGAAAGCCCTAGGTCCCTGCCTCATTTTGACGGAATGCCTCACATCCCGCTGACACCTCGAGAGGCACGCGGAGTTCATTGCTTCAAAAGGTGACGATGCCTGACTCCTCTTGAATACTGATAGGAATCCCAAAATCCCTGTGGCTACTGGAAAGGGTCCTTGGGTGCCCTGCCTCACCTCGAGAAGCATCCCTTTTGCCCTGCCAAGCCTGGAAGAGATTCCTGAGGTGTCCCTCGTTACTAGGCAGGAGTCCTGACGTCACTAGAGAAACTCGTGTTTTGAAGGGCCATCCCCGCCGTAAGTCGAGAACATACCCCAGGTCCCCGCCGCAACTCGAGAAAAACAGTGAGCCTTCCCCCTAGAGGCGAGATGAGGCCCCATTCCCCTGCAGTGCATGCAGAGCTATTCCGTGATCCCATTCAAACAAGTCAGGAGCTTCGACTTGCTTAATGGATACCGAGACAGTCCCCAAGAACACTGTCACCAGTCTAGACGGACCGTGAGGTCACCGCAGCAACGCAAAGCTGCTCCATGTGCCCCAAATCAACTCGAGATGAGGCCCGATTCCCCTGCATTGACTCCAGAGCCATTCCCCGTTCCCCATTTAACACGACCGGTGGCTCGACTTCCTTCAGTCAACTCCAGAGATTCCCCGAGAACACTGTCTCAAGTCTAGAGGATCACCAACTTCAGCACAGCAACTCGAGGAATGCTCCGTGTACGCCAAATCATCTCGAGATGAGAGCTGATTCCCTGGCTTAGGCTCAAGACGTATGCCAACTTTCCAGAAGCACCTCAGGAGGAGGCTTCTCTCAGCAATAGGTATGTGGGAGGGACCCCGAGTTTGCTGCCTCAAGGGGAATACACAGGGAGAAGCCCTAATGTGAACGGAGGCCAGATTTCCTTGCAGTGGCTTGAATACAGGCTCGTCTTTCATCTCACAACATGAAGGGATGTCTGAATCCCCTGTGGAGACCTTAGAGAAAGCCCTAGGTCCCTGCCTCATTTTGACGGAATGCCTCACATCCCGCTGACACCTCGAGAGGCAAGCGGAGTTGATTGCTTCAAAAGGTGACGATGCCTGACTCCTCTTGAATACTGATAGGAATCCCAAAATCCCTGTGGCTACTGGAAAGGGTCCTTGGGTGCCCTGCCTCACCTCGAGAAGCGTCCCTTTTGCCCTGCCAAGCCTGGAAGAGATTCCTGAGGTGTCCCTCGTTACTAGGCAGGAGTCCTGACGTCACTGGAGAAACTCGTGTTTTGAAGGGCCATCCCCGCCGTAAGTCGAGAACATACCCCAGGTCCCCGCCGCAACTCGAGAAAAACCATGAGACTTCCCCCTAGAGGCGAGATGAGGCCCCATTCCCCTGCAGTGCATGCAGAGCTATTCCGTGATCCCATTCAAACAAGTCAGGAGCTTCGACTTGCTTAATGGATCTCGAGACAGTCCCCAAGAACACTGTCACCAGTCTAGACGGACCCTGAGGTCACCCCAGCAACGCAAAGCTGCTCCATGTGCCCCAAATCAACTCGTGATGAGGCCCGATTCCCCTGCATTGACTCCAGAGCCATTCCCCGTTCCCCATTCAACACGAACGGTGGCTCGACTTCCTTCAGTCAACTCCAGAGATGCCCCGAGAACACTGTCCCAAGTCTAGAGGACCACCAACTTCAGCACAGCAACTCGAGGAATGCTCTGTGTACCCCAAATCGTCTCGAGATGAGAGCTGTTTCCCTGGCTTAGGCTCAAGACGTATGCCAACTTTCCAGAAGTACCTCAGGAGGAGGCTTCTCTCAGCAATAGGTATGTGGGAGGGACCCCCAGTTTGCTGCCTCAAGGGGAATATACAGCGAGAAGACCTAACTTGAAAGGTGGCCAGTTTTCCTTGCAGTGGCTTGAATACAGGCTCGTCTTTCATCTCACAACATGAAGGGATGTCTGAATCCCCTGTGGAGACCTTAGAGAAAGCCCTAGGTCCCTGCCTCATTTTGACGGAATACTCATATCCCGCTGACACCTCGAGAGGCACGCGGAGTTCATTGCTTCAAAAGGTGACGATGCCTGACTCCTCTTGATACTGATAGGAATCCCAAAATCCCTGTGGCTACTGGAAAGGGTCCTTGGGTGCCCTGGCTCACCTCGAGAAGCGTCCGTTTTGCCCTGCCAAGCCTCGAAGAGATTGCTGAGGTGTCCCTCGTTACTAGACAGGAGTCCTGACGTCACTGAAGAAACTCTTGTTTTGAAGGGCCATCCCCGCCGTAAGTCGAGAACATACCCCAGGTCCCCGCCGCAACTCGAGAAAAACCATGAGACTTCCCCCTAGAGGCGAGATGAGGCCCCATTCCCCTGCAGTGCATGCAGAGCTATTCCGTGATCCCATTCAAACAAGTCAGGAGCTTCGACTTGCTTAATGGATCTCGAGACAGTCCCCAAGAACACTGTCACCAGTCTAGACGGACCGTGAGGTCACCGCAGCAACGCAAAGCTGCTCCATGTGCCCCAAATCAACTCGAGATGAGGCCCGATTCCCCTGCATTGACTCCAGAGCCATTCCCCGTTCCCCATTTAACACGACCGGTGGCTCGACTTCCTTCAGGAAACTCGAGAGATGCCCCGAGAACACTGTCCCAAGTCTAGAGGAACACCAACTTCAGCACAGCAACTCGAGGAATGCTCCGTGTACGCCAAATCATCTCGAGATGAGAGCTGATTCCCTGGCTTAGGCTCAAGACGTATGCCAACTTTCCAGAAGCACCTCAGGAGGAGGCTTCTCTCAGCAATAGGTATGTGGGAGGGACCCCGAGTTTGCTGCCTCAAGGGGAATACACAGGGAGAAGCCCTAATGTGAACGGAGGCCAGATTTCCTTGCAGTGGCTTGAATACAGGCTCGTCTTTCATCTCACAACATGAAGGGATGTCTGAATCCCCTGTGGAGACCTTAGAGAAAGCCCTAGGTCCCTGCCTCATTTTGACGGAATGCCTCACATCCCGCTGACACCTCGAGAGGCACGCGGAGTTCATTGCTTCAAAAGGTGACGATGCCTGACTCCTCTTGAATACTGATAGGAATCCCAAAATCCCTGTGGCTACGGGAAAGGGTCCTTGGGTGCCCTGCCTCACCTCGAGAAGCGTCCCTTTTGCCCTGCCAAGCCTCGAAGAGATTCCTGAGGTGTCCCTCGTTACTAGACAGGAGTCCTGACGTCACTGAAGAAACTCGTGTTTTGAAGGGCCATCCCCGCCGTAAGACGAGAACATACCCCAGTTCCCCGCCGCAACTCGAGAAAAACCATGAGACTTCCCCCTAGAGGCGAGATGAGGCCCCATTCCCCTGCAGTGCATGCAGAGCTATTCCGTGATCCCATTCAAACAAGTCAGGAGCTTCGACTTGCTTAATGGATCTCGAGACAGTCCCCAAGAACACTGTCACCAGTCTAGACGGACCCTGAGGTCACCCCAGCAACGCAAAGCTGCTCCATGTGCCCCAAAACAACTCGAGATGAGGCCCGATTCCCCTGCATTGACTCCAGAGCCATTCCCCGTTCCCCATTCAACACGACCGGTGGCTCGACTTCCTTCAGGCAACTCCAGGGATGCCCCGAGAACACCGTCCCAAGTCTAGAGGAACAGCAACTTCAGCACAGCAACTCGAGGAATGCACCGTGTAACCTAAATCATCTCGAGATGAGAGCTGATTCCCTGGCTTAGGCTCAAGACGTATGCCAACTTTCCAGAAGCACCTCAGGAGGAGGCTTCTCTCAGCAATAGGTATGTGGGAGGGACCCCGAGTTTGCTGCCTCAAGGGGAATATACAGCGAGAAGCCCTAACTTGAAAGGAGGCCGGATTTCCTTGCAGTGGCTTGAATACAGGCTCGTCTTTGATCTGACAACATGAAGGGATGTCTGAATCCCCTGTGGAGACCTTAGAGAAAGCCCTAGGTCCCTGCCTCATTTTGACGGAATGCCTCACATCCCGCTGACACCTCGAGAGGCACGCGGAGTTCATTGCTTCAAAAGGTGACGATGCCTGACTACTCTTGAATAATGATAGGAATCCCAAAATCCCTGTGGCTACGGGAAAGGGTCCTTGGGTGCCCTGCCTCACCTCGAGAAGCATCCCTTTTGCCCTGCCAAGCCTGGAAGAGATTCCTGAGGTGTCCCTCGTTACTAGGCAGGAGTCCTGACGTCACTAGAGAAACTCGTGTTTTGAAGGGCCATCCCCGCCGTAAGTCGAGAACATACCCCAGGTCCCCGCCGCAACTCGAGAAAAACAGTGAGCCTTCCCCCTAGAGGCGAGATGAGGCCCCATTCCCCTGCAGTGCATGCAGAGCTATTCCGTGATCCCATTCAAACAAGTCAGGAGCTTCGACTTGCTTAATGGATCTTGAGACAGTCCCCAAGAACACTGTCACCAGTCTAGACGGACCCTGAGGTCACCCAGCAATGCAAAGCAGCTCCTTGTGCCCCAAATCAACTCGAGATGAGGCCTGATTCCCCTGCACTGACTCCAGAGCCATTCCCTGTTCCCCATTCAACACGACCGGTGGCTCGACTTCCTTCAGGCAACTCCAGAGATGCCCCGAGAACACTGTCCCAAGTCTAGAGGACCACCAACTTCAGCACAGCAACTCGAGGAATGCTCTGTGTACCCCAAATCGTCTCGAGATGAGAGCTGATTCCCTGGCTTAGGCTCAAGACGTATGCCAACTTTCCAGAAGCACCTCAGGAGGAGGCTTCTCTCAGCAATAGGTATGTGGGAGGGACCCCGAGTTTGCTGCCTCAAGGGGAATATACAGCGAGAAGCCCTAACTTGAAAGGAGGCCGGTTTTCCTTGCAGTGGCTTGAATACAGGCTCATCTTTCATCACACAACATGAAGGGATGTCTGAATCCCCTGTGGAGACCTTAGAGAAAGCCCTAGGTCCCTGCCTCATTTTGACGGAATCCTCACATCCCGCTGACACCTCGAGAGGCACGCGGAGTTCATTGCTTAAAAAGGGGACGATGCCTGACTCCTCTTGAATACTGATAGGAATCCCAAAATCCCTGTGGCTACTGGAAAGGGTCCTTGGGTGCCCTGCCTCACCTCGAGAAGCGTCCCTTTTGCCCTGCCAAGCCTCGAAGAGATTCCTGAGGTGTCCCTCATTACTAGACAGGAGTCCTGACGTCACTGAAGAAACTCGTGTTTTGAAGGGCCATCCCCGCCATAAGTCGAGAACATACCCCAGGTCCCCGCCGCAACTCGAGAAAAACCGTGAGCCTTCCCCCTAGAGGCGAGATGAGGCCCCATTCCCCTGCAGTGCATGCAGAGCTATTCCGTGATTCCATTCAAACAAGTCAGGAGCTTCGACTTGCTTAATGGATCTCGAGACAGTCCCCAAGAACACTGTCACCAGTCTAGACGGACCGTGAGGTCACCGCAGCAACGCAAAGCTGCTCCATGTGCCCCAAATCAACTCGAGATGAGGCCCGATTCCCCTGCATTGACTCCAGAGCCATTCCCCGTTCCCCATTTAACACGACCGGTGGCTCGACTTCCTTCAGGCAACTCGAGAGATGCCCCGAGAACACTGTCCCAAGTCTAGAGGAACACCAACTTCAGCACAGCAACTCGAGGAATGCTCCGTGTACGCCAAATCATCTCGAGATGAGAGCTGATTCCCTGGCTTAGGCTCAAGACGTATGTAACTTTCCAGAAGCACCTCAGGAGGAGGCTTCTCTCAGCAATAGGTATGTGGGAGGGACCCCGAGTTTGCTGCCTCAAGGGGAATACACAGGGAGAAGCCCTAATGTGAACGGAGGCCAGATTTCCTTGCAGTGGCTTGAATACAGGCTCGTCTTTCATCTCACAACATGAAGGGATGTCTGAATCCCCTGTGGAGACCTTAGAGAAAGCCCTAGGTCCCTGCCTCATTTTGACGGAATGCCTCACATCCCGCTGACACCTCGAGAGGAACGCGGAGTTCACTGCTTCAAAAGGTGACGATGCCTGACTCCTCTTGAATACTGATAGGAATCCCAAAATCCCTGTGGCTACTGGAAAGGGTCCTTGGGTGCCCTGCCTCACCTCGAGAAGCGTCCCTTTTGCCCTGCCAAGCCTCAAAGAGATTCCTGAGGTGTCCCTCGTTACTAGACAGGAGTCCTGACGTCACTGAAGAAACTCGTGTTTTGAAGGGCCATCCCCGCCGTAAGTCGAGAACATACCCCAGTTCCCCGCCGCAACTCGAGAAAAACCATGAGACTTCCCCCTAGAGGCGAGATGAGGCCCCATTCCCCTGCAGTGCATGCAGAGCTATTCCGTGATCCCATTCAAACAAGTCAGGAGCTTCGACTTGCTTAATGGATCTCGAGACAGTCCCCAAGAACACTGTCACCAGTCTAGACGGACCCTGAGGTCACCCCAGCAACGCAAAGCTGCTCCATGTGCCCCAAATCAACTCGTGATGAGGCCCGATTCCCCTGCATTGACTCCAGAGCCATTCCCCGTTCCCCATTCAACACGAACGGTGGCTCGACTTCCTTCAGTCAACTCCAGAGATTCCCCGAGAACACTGTCTCAAGTGTAGAGGACCACCAACTTCAGCACAGCAACTCGAGGAATGCTCTGTGTACCCCAAATCGTCTCGAGATGAGAGCTGATTCCCTGGCTTAGGCTCAAGACGTATGCCAACTTTCCAGAAGCACCTCAGGAGGAGGCTTCTCTCAGCAATAGGTATGTGGGAGGGACCCCGAGTTTGCTGCCTCAAGGGGAATATACAGCGAGAAGCCCTAACTTGAAAGGTGGCCGGATTTCCTTGCAGTGGCTTGAATACAGGCTCGTCTTTGATCTGACAACATGAAGGGATGTCTGAATCCCCTGTGGAGACCTTAGAGAAAGCCCTAGGTCCCTGCCTCATTTTGACGGAATGCCTCACATCCCGCTGACACCTCGAGAGGCACGCGGAGTTCATTGCTTCAAAAGGTGACGATGCCTGACTCCTCTTGAATACTGATAGGAATCCCAAAATCCCTGTGGCTACGGGAAAGGGTCCTTGGGTGCCCTGCCTCACCTCGAGAAGCGTCCCTTTTGCCCTGCCAGGCCTGGAAGAGATTCCTGAGGTGTCCCTCGTTACTAGGCAGGAGTCCTGACGTCACTGAAGAAACTCGTGTTTTGAAGGGCCATCCCCGCCGTAAGTCGAGAACATACCCCAGGTCCCCGCCGCAACTCGAGAAAAACCGTGAGCCTTCCCCCTAGAGGCGAGATGAGGCCCCATTCCCCTGCAGTGCATGCAGAGCTATTCCGTGATCCCATTCAAACAAGTCAGGAGCTTCGACTTGCTTAATGGATCTCGAGACAGTCCCCAAGAACACTGTCACCAGTCTAGACGGACCCTGAGGTCACCCCAGCAACACAAAGCTGCTCCATGTGCCCCAAAACAACTCGAGATGAGGCCCGATTCCCCTGCATTGACTCCAGAGCCATTCCCCGTTCCCCATTCAACACGACCGGTGGCTCGACTTCCTTCAGGCAACTTCAGGGATGCCCCGAGAACACCGTCCCAAGTCTAGAGGAACAGCAACTTCAGCACAGCAACTCGAGGAATGCACCGTGTAACCTAAATCATCTCGAGATGAGAGCTGATTCCCTGGCTTAGGCTCAAGACGTATGCCAACTTTCCAGAAGCACCTCAGGAGGAGGCTTCTCTCAGCAATAGGTATGTGGGAGGGACCCCGAGTTTGCTGCCTCAAGGGGAATATACAGCGAGAAGTCCTAACTTGAAAGGAGGCCGGATTTCCTTGCAGTGGCTTGAATACAGGCTCGTCTTTGATCTGACAACATGAAGGGATGTCTGAATCCCCTGTGGAGACCTTAGAGAAAGCCCTAGGTCCCTGCCTCATTTTGACGGAATGCCTCACATCCCGCTGACACCTCGAGAGGCACGCGGAGTTCATTGCTTCAAAAGGTGACGATGCCTGACTACTCTTGAATAATGATAGGAATCCCAAAATCCCTGTGGCTACGGGAAAGGGTCCTTGGGTGCCCTGCCTCACCTCGAGAAGCATCCCTTTTGCCCTGCCAAGCCTGGAAGAGATTCCTGAGGTGTCCCTCGTTACTAGGCAGGAGTCCTGACGTCACTAGAGAAACTCGTGTTTTGAAGGGCCATCCCCGCCGTAAGTCGAGAACATACCCCAGGTCCCCGCCGCAACTCGAGAAAAACAGTGAGCCTTCCCCCTAGAGGCGAGATGAGGCCCCATTCCCCTGCAGTGCATGCAGAGCTATTCCGTGATCCCATTCAAACAAGTCAGGAGCTTCGACTTGCTTAATGGATCTTGAGACAGTCCCCAAGAACACTGTCACCAGTCTAGACGGACCCTGAGGTCACCCAGCAATGCAAAGCAGCTCCTTGTGCCCCAAATCAACTCGAGATGAGGCCTGATTCCCCTGCACTGACTCCAGAGCCATTCCCTGTTCCCCATTCAACACGACCGGTGGCTCGACTTCCTTCAGGCAACTGCAGAGATGCCCCGAGAACACTGTCCCAAGTCTAGAGGACCACCAACTTCAGCACAGCAACTCGAGGAATGCTCTGTGTACCCCAAATCGTCTCGAGATGAGAGCTGATTCCCTGGCTTAGGCTCAAGACGTATGCCAACTTTCCAGAAGCACCTCAGGAGGAGGCTTCTCTCAGCAATAGGTATGTGGGAGGGACCCCGAGTTTGCTGCCTCAAGGGGAATATACAGCGAGAAGCCCTAACTTGAAAGGAGGCCGGTTTTCCTTGCAGTGGCTTGAATACAGGCTCATCTTTCATCACACAACATGAAGGGATGTCTGAATCCCCTGTGGAGACCTTAGAGAAAGCCCTAGGTCCCTGCCTCATTTTGACGGAATCCTCACATCCCGCTGACACCTCGAGAGGCACGCGGAGTTCATTGCTTAAAAAGGGGACGATGCCTGACTCCTCTTGAATACTGATAGGAATCCCAAAATCCCTGTGGCTACTGGAAAGGGTCCTTGGGTGCCCTGCCTCACCTCGAGAAGCGTCCCTTTTGCCCTGCCAAGCCTCGAAGAGATTCCTGAGGTGTCCCTCATTACTAGACAGGAGTCCTGACGTCACTGAAGAAACTCGTGTTTTGAAGGGCCATCCCCGCCATAAGTCGAGAACATACCCCAGGTCCCCGCCGCAACTCGAGAAAAACCGTGAGCCTTCCCCCTAGAGGCGAGATGAGGCCCCATTCCCCTGCAGTGCATGCAGAGCTATTCCGTGATTCCATTCAAACAAGTCAGGAGCTTCGACTTGCTTAATGGATCTCGAGACAGTCCCCAAGAACACTGTCACCAGTCTAGACGGACCGTGAGGTCACCGCAGCAACGCAAAGCTGCTCCATGTGCCCCAAATCAACTCGAGATGAGGCCCGATTCCCCTGCATTGACTCCAGAGCCATTCCCCGTTCCCCATTTAACACGACCGGTGGCTCGACTTCCTTCAGGCAACTCGAGAGATGCCCCGAGAACACTGTCCCAAGTCTAGAGGAACACCAACTTCAGCACAGCAACTCGAGGAATGCTCCGTGTACGCCAAATCATCTCGAGATGAGAGCTGATTCCCTGGCTTAGGCTCAAGACGTATGTAACTTTCCAGAAGCACCTCAGGAGGAGGCTTCTCTCAGCAATAGGTATGTGGGAGGGACCCCGAGTTTGCTGCCTCAAGGGGAATACACAGGGAGAAGCCCTAATGTGAACGGAGGCCAGATTTCCTTGCAGTGGCTTGAATACAGGCTCGTCTTTCATCTCACAACATGAAGGGATGTCTGAATCCCCTGTGGAGACCTTAGAGAAAGCCCTAGGTCCCTGCCTCATTTTGACGGAATGCCTCACATCCCGCTGACACCTCGAGAGGAACGCGGAGTTCACTGCTTCAAAAGGTGACGATGCCTGACTCCTCTTGAATACTGATAGGAATCCCAAAATCCCTGTGGCTACTGGAAAGGGTCCTTGGGTGCCCTGCCTCACCTCGAGAAGCGTCCCTTTTGCCCTGCCAAGCCTCAAAGAGATTCCTGAGGTGTCCCTCGTTACTAGACAGGAGTCCTGACGTCACTGAAGAAACTCGTGTTTTGAAGGGCCATCCCCGCCGTAAGTCGAGAACATACCCCAGTTCCCCGCCGCAACTCGAGAAAAACCATGAGACTTCCCCCTAGAGGCGAGATGAGGCCCCATTCCCCTGCAGTGCATGCAGAGCTATTCCGTGATCCCATTCAAACAAGTCAGGAGCTTCGACTTGCTTAATGGATCTCGAGACAGTCCCCAAGAACACTGTCACCAGTCTAGACGGACCCTGAGGTCACCCCAGCAACGCAAAGCTGCTCCATGTGCCCCAAATCAACTCGTGATGAGGCCCGATTCCCCTGCATTGACTCCAGAGCCATTCCCCGTTCCCCATTCAACACGAACGGTGGCTCGACTTCCTTCAGTCAACTCCAGAGATTCCCCGAGAACACTGTCTCAAGTGTAGAGGACCACCAACTTCAGCACAGCAACTCGAGGAATGCTCTGTGTACCCCAAATCGTCTCGAGATGAGAGCTGATTCCCTGGCTTAGGCTCAAGACGTATGCCAACTTTCCAGAAGCACCTCAGGAGGAGGCTTCTCTCAGCAATAGGTATGTGGGAGGGACCCCGAGTTTGCTGCCTCAAGGGGAATATACAGCGAGAAGCCCTAACTTGAAAGGTGGCCGGATTTCCTTGCAGTGGCTTGAATACAGGCTCGTCTTTGATCTGACAACATGAAGGGATGTCTGAATCCCCTGTGGAGACCTTAGAGAAAGCCCTAGGTCCCTGCCTCATTTTGACGGAATGCCTCACATCCCGCTGACACCTCGAGAGGCACGCGGAGTTCATTGCTTCAAAAGGTGACGATGCCTGACTCCTCTTGAATACTGATAGGAATCCCAAAATCCCTGTGGCTACGGGAAAGGGTCCTTGGGTGCCCTGCCTCACCTCGAGAAGCGTCCCTTTTGCCCTGCCAGGCCTGGAAGAGATTCCTGAGGTGTCCCTCGTTACTAGGCAGGAGTCCTGACGTCACTGAAGAAACTCGTGTTTTGAAGGGCCATCCCCGCCGTAAGTCGAGAACATACCCCAGGTCCCCGCCGCAACTCGAGAAAAACCGTGAGCCTTCCCCCTAGAGGCGAGATGAGGCCCCATTCCCCTGCAGTGCATGCAGAGCTATTCCGTGATCCCATTCAAACAAGTCAGGAGCTTCGACTTGCTTAATGGATCTCGAGACAGTCCCCAAGAACACTGTCACCAGTCTAGACGGACCCTGAGGTCACCCCAGCAACACAAAGCTGCTCCATGTGCCCCAAAACAACTCGAGATGAGGCCCGATTCCCCTGCATTGACTCCAGAGCCATTCCCCGTTCCCCATTCAACACGACCGGTGGCTCGACTTCCTTCAGGCAACTTCAGGGATGCCCCGAGAACACCGTCCCAAGTCTAGAGGAACAGCAACTTCAGCACAGCAACTCGAGGAATGCACCGTGTAACCTAAATCATCTCGAGATGAGAGCTGATTCCCTGGCTTAGGCTCAAGACGTATGCCAACTTTCCAGAAGCACCTCAGGAGGAGGCTTCTCTCAGCAATAGGTATGTGGGAGGGACCCCGAGTTTGCTGCCTCAAGGGGAATATACAGCGAGAAGTCCTAACTTGAAAGGAGGCCGGATTTCCTTGCAGTGGCTTGAATACAGGCTCGTCTTTGATCTGACAACATGAAGGGATGTCTGAATCCCCTGTGGAGACCTTAGAGAAAGCCCTAGGTCCCTGCCTCATTTTGACGGAATGCCTCACATCCCGCTGACACCTCGAGAGGCACGCGGAGTTCATTGCTTCAAAAGGTGACGATGCCTGACTACTCTTGAATAATGATAGGAATCCCAAAATCCCTGTGGCTACGGGAAAGGGTCCTTGGGTGCCCTGCCTCACCTCGAGAAGCATCCCTTTTGCCCTGCCAAGCCTGGAAGAGATTCCTGAGGTGTCCCTCGTTACTAGGCAGGAGTCCTGACGTCACTAGAGAAACTCGTGTTTTGAAGGGCCATCCCCGCCGTAAGTCGAGAACATACCCCAGGTCCCCGCCGCAACTCGAGAAAAACAGTGAGCCTTCCCCCTAGAGGCGAGATGAGGCCCCATTCCCCTGCAGTGCATGCAGAGCTATTCCGTGATCCCATTCAAACAAGTCAGGAGCTTCGACTTGCTTAATGGATCTTGAGACAGTCCCCAAGAACACTGTCACCAGTCTAGACGGACCCTGAGGTCACCCAGCAATGCAAAGCAGCTCCTTGTGCCCCAAATCAACTCGAGATGAGGCCTGATTCCCCTGCACTGACTCCAGAGCCATTCCCTGTTCCCCATTCAACACGACCGGTGGCTCGACTTCCTTCAGGCAACTCCAGAGATGCCCCGAGAACACTGTCCCAAGTCTAGAGGACCACCAACTTCAGCACAGCAACTCGAGGAATGCTCTGTGTACCCCAAATCGTCTCGAGATGAGAGCTGATTCCCTGGCTTAGGCTCAAGACGTATGCCAACTTTCCAGAAGCACCTCAGGAGGAGGCTTCTCTCAGCAATAGGTATGTGGGAGGGACCCCAAGTTTGCTGCCTCAAGGGGAATATACAGCGAGAAGCCCTAACTTGAAAGGAGGCCGGATTTCCTTGCAGTGGCTTGAATACAGGCTCATCTTTCATCACACAACATGAAGGGATGTCTGAATCCCCTGTGGAGACCTTAGAGAAAGCCCTAGGTCCCTGCCTCATTTTGACGGAATGCCTCACATCCCGCTGACACCTCGAGAGGCAAGCGGAGTTGATTGCTTCAAAAGGTGACGATGCCTGACTCCTCTTGAATACTGATAGGAATCCCAAAATCCCTGTGGCTACTGGAAAGGGTCCTTGGGTGCCCTGCCTCACCTCGAGAAGCGTCCCTTTTGCCCTGCCAAGCCTGGAAGAGATTCCTGAGGTGTCCCTCGTTACTAGGCAGGAGTCCTGACGTCACTGGAGAAACTCGTGTTTTGAAGGGCCATCCCCGCCGTAAGTCGAGAACATACCCCAGGTCCCCGCCGCAACTCGAGGAAAACCATGAGACTTCCCCCTAGAGGCGAGATGAGGCCCCATTCCCCTGCAGTGCATGCAGAGCTATTCCGTGATCCCATTCAAACAAGTCAGGAGCTTCGACTTGCTTAATGGATCTCGAGACAGTCCCCAAGAACACTGTCACCAGTCTAGACGGACCCTGAGGTCACCCCAGCAACGCAAAGCTGCTCCATGTGCCCCAAATCAACTCGTGATGAGGCCCGATTCCCCTGCATTGACTCCAGAGCCATTCCCCGTTCCCCATTCAACACGAACGGTGGCTCGACTTCCTTCAGTCAACTCCAGAGATTCCCCGAGAACACTGTCTCAAGTCTAGAGGACCACCAACTTCAGCACAGCAACTCGAGGAATGCTCTGTGTACCCCAAATCGTCTCGAGATGAGAGCTGATTCCCTGGCTTAGGCTCAAGACGTATGCCAACTTTCCAGAAGCACCTCAGGAGGAGGTTTCTCTCAGCAATAGGTATGTGGGAGGGACCCCGAGTTTGCTGCCTCAAGGGGAATATACAGCGAGAAGCCCTAACTTGAAAGGAGGCTGGATTTCCATGCAGTGGCTTGAATAAAGGCTCATCTTTCATCTCAAAACATGAAGGGATGTCTGAATCCCCTATGGAGACCTTAGAGAAAGCCCTAGGTCCCTGCCTCATTTTGACGGAATCCTCACATCCCGCTGACACCTCGAGAGGCACGCGGAGTTCATTTCTTCAAAAGGTGACGATGCCTGACTCCTCTTGATATTGATAGGAATCCCAAAATCCCTGTGGCTACTGGAAAGGGTCCTTGGGTGCCCTGGCTCACCTCGAGAAGCGTCCGTTTTGCCCTGCCAAGCCTCGAAGAGATTGCTGAGGTTTCCCTCGTTACTAGACAGGAGTCCTGACGTCACTGAAGAAACTCGTGTTTTGAAAGGCCATCCCCGTCGTAAGTCGAGAACATACCCCAGGTCCCCGCCGCAACTCGAGAAAAACCATGAGACTTCCCCCTAGAGGCGAGATGAGGCCCCATTCCCCTGCAGTGCATGCAGAGCTATTCCGTGATCCCATTCAAAGAAGTCAGGAGCTTCGACTTGCTTAATGGATCTCGAGACAGTCCCCAAGAACACTGTCACCAGTCTAGACGGAAACTGAAGTCACCCCAGCAATGCAAAGCAGCTCCATGTGCCCCAAATCAACTCGAGATGAGGCCCGATTCCCCTGCATTGACTCCAGAGCCATTCCCCGTTCCCCATTCAACACGACCGGTGGCTCGCCTTCCTTCAGGCAACTCCAGAGATGCCCCGAGAACACTGTCCCAAGTCTAGAAGAACACCAACTTCAGCACAGCAACTCGAGGAATGCTCTGTGTACCCCAAATCGTCTCGAGATGAGAGCTGATTCCCTGGCTTAGGCTCAAGACGTATGCCAACATTCCAGAAGCACCACAGGAGGAGGCTTCTCAGCAATAGGAATGTGGGAGGGACTCCGAGTTTGCTGCCTCAAGGGGAATATACAGCGAGAAGGCCTAACTTGAAAGGAGGCCGCATTTCCTTGCAGTAGCTTGAATACAGTCTTGTCTTTCATCTCACAACATGAAGGGATGTCTGAATCCCCTGTGGAGACCTTAGAGAAAGCCCTAGGTCCCTGCCTCATTTTGACGGAATCCTCACATCCCGCTGACACCTCGAGAGTCACGCGGAGTTCATTGCTTCAAAAGGTGACGATGCCTGACTCCTCTTGAATACTATTAGGAATCCCAAAATCCCTTTGGCTGCTGGAAAGGGTCCTGGGTGCCCTGCCTCACCTCGAGAAGCGTCCCTTTTGCCCTGCCAAGCCTCGAAGAGATTCCTGAGGTGTCCCTCCTTATTAGAAAGGAGTCCTGACGTCACTGAAGAAACTCGTGTTTTGAAGGGCCATCCCCGCCGTAAGTCGAGAACATACCCCAGGTCCCCGCCGCAACTCGAGAAAAACCATGAGACTTCCCCCTAGAGGCGAGATGAGGCCCCATTTCACTGCAATGCATGCAGAGCTATTCCGTGATCCCATTCAAACAAGTCAGGAGCTTCGACTTGCTTAATGGATATCGAGACAGTCCCCAAGAACACTGTCACCAGTCTAGACGGACCCTGAGGTCACCCCAGCAACGCAAAGCTGCTCCATGTTTCCCAAATCAACTCGAGATGAGGCCCGATTCCCCTGCATTGACTCCAGAGCCATTCCCTGTTCCCCATTCAACACGACCGGTGGCTCGACTTCTTTCAGGCAACTCCAGCGATGCCCCGAAAACACTGTCCGAAGTCCAGAGGAACACCAACTTCAGCAAAGCAACTCGAGGAATGCTCCGTGTACCCCATATCATGTCGAGATGAGAGCTGATACCCTGGCTTAGGCTCAAGACGTATGCCAACTTTCCAGAAGCACCTCAGGAGGAGGCGTCTCTCAGCAATAGGTATGTGGGAGGGAACCCGAGTTTGCTGCCTCAAGGGGAATATACAGCGAGAAGCCCTAACTTGAAAGGAGGCCGGATTTCCTTGCACTGGCTTGAATACAGGCTCGTCTTTGATCTGACAACATGAAGGGATGTCTGAATCCCCTGTGGAGACCTTAGAGAAAGCCCTAGGTCCCTTCCTCATTTTGACGGAATGCCTCACATCCCGCTGACACCTCGAGAGGCACGCGGAGTTCATTGCTTCAAAAGGTGACGATGCCTGACTACTCTTGAATACTTATAGGAATCCCAAAATTCCTGTTGCTACTGGAAAGGGTCCTTGGGTGCCCTGGCTCACCTCGAGAAGCGTCCCTTTTGCCCTGCCAAGCCTCGAAGACATTGCTGAGGTGTCCCTCGTTACTAGGCAGGAGTCCTGACGTCACTGAAGAAACTCGTGTTTTGAAGGGCCATCCCCGCCGTAAGTCGAGAACATACCCCAGGTCCCCGCCGCAACTCGAGAAAAACCATGAGACTTCACCATATAGGCGAGATGAGGCCCCATTCCCCTGCAGTGCATGCAGAGCTATTCCGTGATCCCATTCAAACAAGTCAGGAGCTTCGAGTTGCTTAATGGATCTCGAGACAGTCCCCAAGAACACTGTCACCAGTCTAGACGGACCCTGAGGTCACCCAGCAATGCAAAGCAGCTCCTTGTGCCCCAAATCAACTCGAGATGAGGCCTGATTCCCCTGCACTGACTCCAGAGCCATTCCCTGTTCCCCATTCAACACGACCGGTGGCTCGACTTCCTTCAGGCAACTCCAGAGATGCCCCGAGAACACTGTCCCAAGTCTAGAGGACCACCAACTTCAGCACAGCAACTCGAGGAATGCTCTGTGTACCCCAAATCGTCTCGAGATGAGAGCTGATTCCCTGGCTTAGGCTCAAGACGTATGCCAACTTTCCAGAAGCACCTCAGGAGGAGGCTTCTCTCAGCAATAGGTATGTGGGAGGGACCCCAAGTTTGCTGCCTCAAGGGGAATATACAGCGAGAAGCCCTAACTTGAAAGGAGGCCGGTTTTCCTTGCAGTGGCTTGAATACAGGCTCATCTTTCATCACACAACATGAAGGGATGTCTGAATCCCCTGTGGAGACCTTAGAGAAAGCCCTAGGTCCCTGCCTCATTTTGACGGAATGCCTCACATCCCGCTGACACCTCGAGAGGCAAGCGGAGTTGATTGCTTCAAAAGGTGACGATGCCTGACTCCTCTTGAATACTGATAGGAATCCCAAAATCCCTGTGGCTACTGGAAAGGGTCCTTGGGTGCCCTGCCTCACCTCGAGAAGCGTCCCTTTTGCCCTGCCAAGCCTGGAAGAGATTCCTGAGGTGTCCCTCGTTACTAGGCAGGAGTCCTGACGTCACTGGAGAAACTCGTGTTTTGAAGGGCCATCCCCGCCGTAAGTCGAGAACATACCCCAGGTCCCCGCCGCAACTCGAGGAAAACCATGAGACTTCCCCCTAGAGGCGAGATGAGGCCCCATTCCCCTGCAGTGCATGCAGAGCTATTCCGTGATCCCATTCAAACAAGTCAGGAGCTTCGACTTGCTTAATGGATCTCGAGACAGTCCCCAAGAACACTGTCACCAGTCTAGACGGACCCTGAGGTCACCCCAGCAACGCAAAGCTGCTCCATGTGCCCCAAATCAACTCGTGATGAGGCCCGATTCCCCTGCATTGACTCCAGAGCCATTCCCCGTTCCCCATTCAACACGAACGGTGGCTCGACTTCCTTCAGTCAACTCCAGAGATTCCCCGAGAACACTGTCTCAAGTCTAGAGGACCACCAACTTCAGCACAGCAACTCGAGGAATGCTCTGTGTACCCCAAATCGTCTCGAGATGAGAGCTGATTCCCTGGCTTAGGCTCAAGACGTATGCCAACTTTCCAGAAGCACCTCAGGAGGAGGTTTCTCTCAGCAATAGGTATGTGGGAGGGACCCCGAGTTTGCTGCCTCAAGGGGAATATACAGCGAGAAGCCCTAACTTGAAAGGAGGCTGGATTTCCATGCAGTGGCTTGAATAAAGGCTCATCTTTCATCTCAAAACATGAAGGGATGTCTGAATCCCCTATGGAGACCTTAGAGAAAGCCCTAGGTCCCTGCCTCATTTTGACGGAATCCTCACATCCCGCTGACACCTCGAGAGGCACGCGGAGTTCATTTCTTCAAAAGGTGACGATGCCTGACTCCTCTTGATATTGATAGGAATCCCAAAATCCCTGTGGCTACTGGAAAGGGTCCTTGGGTGCCCTGGCTCACCTCGAGAAGCGTCCGTTTTGCCCTGCCAAGCCTCGAAGAGATTGCTGAGGTTTCCCTCGTTACTAGACAGGAGTCCTGACGTCACTGAAGAAACTCGTGTTTTGAAAGGCCATCCCCGTCGTAAGTCGAGAACATACCCCAGGTCCCCGCCGCAACTCGAGAAAAACCATGAGACTTCCCCCTAGAGGCGAGATGAGGCCCCATTCCCCTGCAGTGCATGCAGAGCTATTCCGTGATCCCATTCAAAGAAGTCAGGAGCTTCGACTTGCTTAATGGATCTCGAGACAGTCCCCAAGAACACTGTCACCAGTCTAGACGGAAACTGAAGTCACCCCAGCAATGCAAAGCAGCTCCATGTGCCCCAAATCAACTCGAGATGAGGCCCGATTCCCCTGCATTGACTCCAGAGCCATTCCCCGTTCCCCATTCAACACGACCGGTGGCTCGCCTTCCTTCAGGCAACTCCAGAGATGCCCCGAGAACACTGTCCCAAGTCTAGAAGAACACCAACTTCAGCACAGCAACTCGAGGAATGCTCTGTGTACCCCAAATCGTCTCGAGATGAGAGCTGATTCCCTGGCTTAGGCTCAAGACGTATGCCAACATTCCAGAAGCACCACAGGAGGAGGCTTCTCAGCAATAGGAATGTGGGAGGGACTCCGAGTTTGCTGCCTCAAGGGGAATATACAGCGAGAAGGCCTAACTTGAAAGGAGGCCGCATTTCCTTGCAGTAGCTTGAATACAGTCTTGTCTTTCATCTCACAACATGAAGGGATGTCTGAATCCCCTGTGGAGACCTTAGAGAAAGCCCTAGGTCCCTGCCTCATTTTGACGGAATCCTCACATCCCGCTGACACCTCGAGAGTCACGCGGAGTTCATTGCTTCAAAAGGTGACGATGCCTGACTCCTCTTGAATACTATTAGGAATCCCAAAATCCCTTTGGCTGCTGGAAAGGGTCCTGGGTGCCCTGCCTCACCTCGAGAAGCGTCCCTTTTGCCCTGCCAAGCCTCGAAGAGATTCCTGAGGTGTCCCTCCTTATTAGAAAGGAGTCCTGACGTCACTGAAGAAACTCGTGTTTTGAAGGGCCATCCCCGCCGTAAGTCGAGAACATACCCCAGGTCCCCGCCGCAACTCGAGAAAAACCATGAGACTTCCCCCTAGAGGCGAGATGAGGCCCCATTCCACTGCAATGCATGCAGAGCTATTCCGTGATCCCATTCAAACAAGTCAGGAGCTTCGACTTGCTTAATGGATATCGAGACAGTCCCCAAGAACACTGTCACCAGTCTAGACGGACCCTGAGGTCACCCCAGCAACGCAAAGCTGCTCCATGTTTCCCAAATCAACTCGAGATGAGGCCCGATTCCCCTGCATTGACTCCAGAGCCATTCCCTGTTCCCCATTCAACACGACCGGTGGCTCGACTTCTTTCAGGCAACTCCAGAGATGCCCCGAAAACACTGTCCGAAGTCCAGAGGAACACCAACTTCAGCAAAGCAACTCGAGGAATGCTCCGTGTACCCCATATCATGTCGAGATGAGAGCTGATACCCTGGCTTAGGCTCAAGACGTATGCCAACTTTCCAGAAGCACCTCAGGAGGAGGCGTCTCTCAGCAATAGGTATGTGGGAGGGAACCCGAGTTTGCTGCCTCAAGGGGAATATACAGCGAGAAGCCCTAACTTGAAAGGAGGCCGGATTTCCTTGCACTGGCTTGAATACAGGCTCGTCTTTGATCTGACAACATGAAGGGATGTCTGAATCCCCTGTGGAGACCTTAGAGAATGCCCTAGGTCCCTTCCTCATTTTGACGGAATGCCTCACATCCCGCTGACACCTCGAGAGGCACGCGGAGTTCATTGCTTCAAAAGGTGACGATGCCTGACTACTCTTGAATACTTATAGGAATCCCAAAATTCCTGTTGCTACTGGAAAGGGTCCTTGGGTGCCCTGGCTCACCTCGAGAAGCGTCCCTTTTGCCCTGCCAAGCCTCGAAGACATTGCTGAGGTGTCCCTCGTTACTAGGCAGGAGTCCTGACGTCACTGAAGAAACTCGTGTTTTGAAGGGCCATCCCCGCCGTAAGTCGAGAACATACCCCAGGTCCCCGCCGCAACTCGAGAAAAACCATGAGACTTCACCATATAGGCGAGATGAGGCCCCATTCCCCTGCAGTGCATGCAGAGCTATTCCGTGATCCCATTCAAACAAGTCAGGAGCTTCGAGTTGCTTAATGGATCTCGAGACAGTCCCCAAGAACACTGTCACCAGTCTAGACGGACCCTGAGGTCACCCAGCAATGCAAAGCAGCTCCTTGTGCCCCAAATCAACTCGAGATGAGGCCTGATTCCCCTGCACTGACTCCAGAGCCATTCCCTGTTCCCCATTCAACACGACCGGTGGCTCGACTTCCTTCAGGCAACTCCAGAGATGCCCCGAGAACACTGTCCCAAGTCTAGAGGACCACCAACTTCAGCACAGCAACTCGAGGAATGCTCTGTGTACCCCAAATCGTCTCGAGATGAGAGCTGATTCCCTGGCTTAGGCTCAAGACGTATGCCAACTTTCCAGAAGCACCTCAGGAGGAGGCTTCTCTCAGCAATAGGTATGTGGGAGGGACCCCAAGTTTGCTGCCTCAAGGGGAATATACAGCGAGAAGCCCTAACTTGAAAGGAGGCCGGTTTTCCTTGCAGTGGCTTGAATACAGGCTCATCTTTCATCACACAACATGAAGGGATGTCTGAATCCCCTGTGGAGACCTTAGAGAAAGCCCTAGGTCCCTGCCTCATTTTGACGGAATGCCTCACATCCCGCTGACACCTCGAGAGGCAAGCGGAGTTGATTGCTTCAAAAGGTGACGATGCCTGACTCCTCTTGAATACTGATAGGAATCCCAAAATCCCTGTGGCTACTGGAAAGGGTCCTTGGGTGCCCTGCCTCACCTCGAGAAGCGTCCCTTTTGCCCTGCCAAGCCTGGAAGAGATTCCTGAGGTGTCCCTCGTTACTAGGCAGGAGTCCTGACGTCACTGGAGAAACTCGTGTTTTGAAGGGCCATCCCCGCCGTAAGTCGAGAACATACCCCAGGTCCCCGCCGCAACTCGAGGAAAACCATGAGACTTCCCCCTAGAGGCGAGATGAGGCCCCATTCCCCTGCAGTGCATGCAGAGCTATTCCGTGATCCCATTCAAACAAGTCAGGAGCTTCGACTTGCTTAATGGATCTCGAGACAGTCCCCAAGAACACTGTCACCAGTCTAGACGGACCCTGAGGTCACCCCAGCAACGCAAAGCTGCTCCATGTGCCCCAAATCAACTCGTGATGAGGCCCGATTCCCCTGCATTGACTCCAGAGCCATTCCCCGTTCCCCATTCAACACGAACGGTGGCTCGACTTCCTTCAGTCAACTCCAGAGATTCCCCGAGAACACTGTCTCAAGTCTAGAGGACCACCAACTTCAGCACAGCAACTCGAGGAATGCTCTGTGTACCCCAAATCGTCTCGAGATGAGAGCTGATTCCCTGGCTTAGGCTCAAGACGTATGCCAACTTTCCAGAAGCACCTCAGGAGGAGGTTTCTCTCAGCAATAGGTATGTGGGAGGGACCCCGAGTTTGCTGCCTCAAGGGGAATATACAGCGAGAAGCCCTAACTTGAAAGGAGGCTGGATTTCCATGCAGTGGCTTGAATAAAGGCTCATCTTTCATCTCAAAACATGAAGGGATGTCTGAATCCCCTATGGAGACCTTAGAGAAAGCCCTAGGTCCCTGCCTCATTTTGACGGAATCCTCACATCCCGCTGACACCTCGAGAGGCACGCGGAGTTCATTTCTTCAAAAGGTGACGATGCCTGACTCCTCTTGATATTGATAGGAATCCCAAAATCCCTGTGGCTACTGGAAAGGGTCCTTGGGTGCCCTGGCTCACCTCGAGAAGCGTCCGTTTTGCCCTGCCAAGCCTCGAAGAGATTGCTGAGGTTTCCCTCGTTACTAGACAGGAGTCCTGACGTCACTGAAGAAACTCGTGTTTTGAAAGGCCATCCCCGTCGTAAGTCGAGAACATACCCCAGGTCCCCGCCGCAACTCGAGAAAAACCATGAGACTTCCCCCTAGAGGCGAGATGAGGCCCCATTCCCCTGCAGTGCATGCAGAGCTATTCCGTGATCCCATTCAAAGAAGTCAGGAGCTTCGACTTGCTTAATGGATCTCGAGACAGTCCCCAAGAACACTGTCACCAGTCTAGACGGAAACTGAAGTCACCCCAGCAATGCAAAGCAGCTCCATGTGCCCCAAATCAACTCGAGATGAGGCCCGATTCCCCTGCATTGACTCCAGAGCCATTCCCCGTTCCCCATTCAACACGACCGGTGGCTCGCCTTCCTTCAGGCAACTCCAGAGATGCCCCGAGAACACTGTCCCAAGTCTAGAAGAACACCAACTTCAGCACAGCAACTCGAGGAATGCTCTGTGTACCCCAAATCGTCTCGAGATGAGAGCTGATTCCCTGGCTTAGGCTCAAGACGTATGCCAACATTCCAGAAGCACCACAGGAGGAGGCTTCTCAGCAATAGGAATGTGGGAGGGACTCCGAGTTTGCTGCCTCAAGGGGAATATACAGCGAGAAGGCCTAACTTGAAAGGAGGCCGCATTTCCTTGCAGTAGCTTGAATACAGTCTTGTCTTTCATCTCACAACATGAAGGGATGTCTGAATCCCCTGTGGAGACCTTAGAGAAAGCCCTAGGTCCCTGCCTCATTTTGACGGAATCCTCACATCCCGCTGACACCTCGAGAGTCACGCGGAGTTCATTGCTTCAAAAGGTGACGATGCCTGACTCCTCTTGAATACTATTAGGAATCCCAAAATCCCTTTGGCTGCTGGAAAGGGTCCTGGGTGCCCTGCCTCACCTCGAGAAGCGTCCCTGTTGCCCTGCCAAGCCTCGAAGAGATTCCTGAGGTGTCCCTCCTTATTAGAAAGGAGTCCTGACGTCACTGAAGAAACTCGTGTTTTGAAGGGCCATCCCCGCCGTAAGTCGAGAACATACCCCAGGTCCCCGCCGCAACTCGAGAAAAACCATGAGACTTCCCCCTAGAGGCGAGATGAGGCCCCATTCCACTGCAATGCATGCAGAGCTATTCCGTGATCCCATTCAAACAAGTCAGGAGCTTCGACTTGCTTAATGGATATCGAGACAGTCCCCAAGAACACTGTCACCAGTCTAGACGGACCCTGAGGTCACCCCAGCAACGCAAAGCTGCTCCATGTTTCCCAAATCAACTCGAGATGAGGCCCGATTCCCCTGCATTGACTCCAGAGCCATTCCCTGTTCCCCATTCAACACGACCGGTGGCTCGACTTCTTTCAGGCAACTCCAGACATGCCCCGAAAACACTGTCCGAAGTCCAGAGGAACACCAACTTCAGCAAAGCAACTCGAGGAATGCTCCGTGTACCCCATATCATGTCGAGATGAGAGCTGATACCCTGGCTTAGGCTCAAGACGTATGCCAACTTTCCAGAAGCACCTCAGGAGGAGGCGTCTCTCAGCAATAGGTATGTGGGAGGGAACCCGAGTTTGCTGCCTCAAGGGGAATATACAGCGAGAAGCCCTAACTTGAAAGGAGGCCGGATTTCCTTGCACTGGCTTGAATACAGGCTCGTCTTTGATCTGACAACATGAAGGGATGTCTGAATCCCCTGTGGAGACCTTAGAGAAAGCCCTAGGTCCCTTCCTCATTTTGACGGAATGCCTCACATCCCGCTGACACCTCGAGAGGCACGCGGAGTTCATTGCTTCAAAAGGTGACGATGCCTGACTACTCTTGAATACTTATAGGAATCCCAAAATTCCTGTTGCTACTGGAAAGGGTCCTTGGGTGCCCTGGCTCACCTCGAGAAGCGTCCCTTTTGCCCTGCCAAGCCTCGAAGACATTGCTGAGGTGTCCCTCGTTACTAGGCAGGAGTCCTGACGTCACTGAAGAAACTCGTGTTTTGAAGGGCCATCCCCGCCGTAAGTCGAGAACATACCCCAGGTCCCCGCCGCAACTCGAGAAAAACCATGAGACTTCACCATATAGGCGAGATGAGGCCCCATTCCCCTGCAGTGCATGCAGAGCTATTCCGTGATCCCATTCAAACAAGTCAGGAGCTTCGAGTTGCTTAATGGATCTCGAGACAGTCCCCAAGAACACTGTCACCAGTCTAGACGGACCCTGAGGTCACCCAGCAATGCAAAGCAGCTCCTTGTGCCCCAAATCAACTCGAGATGAGGCCTGATTCCCCTGCACTGACTCCAGAGCCATTCCCTGTTCCCCATTCAACACGACCGGTGGCTCGACTTCCTTCAGGCAACTCCAGAGATGCCCCGAGAACACTGTCCCAAGTCTAGAGGACCACCAACTTCAGCACAGCAACTCGAGGAATGCTCTGTGTACCCCAAATCGTCTCGAGATGAGAGCTGATTCCCTGGCTTAGGCTCAAGACGTATGCCAACTTTCCAGAAGCACCTCAGGAGGAGGCTTCTCTCAGCAATAGGTATGTGGGAGGGACCCCAAGTTTGCTGCCTCAAGGGGAATATACAGCGAGAAGCCCTAACTTGAAAGGAGGCCGGTTTTCCTTGCAGTGGCTTGAATACAGGCTCATCTTTCATCACACAACATGAAGGGATGTCTGAATCCCCTGTGGAGACCTTAGAGAAAGCCCTAGGTCCCTGCCTCATTTTGACGGAATGCCTCACATCCCGCTGACACCTCGAGAGGCAAGCGGAGTTGATTGCTTCAAAAGGTGACGATGCCTGACTCCTCTTGAATACTGATAGGAATCCCAAAATCCCTGTGGCTACTGGAAAGGGTCCTTGGGTGCCCTGCCTCACCTCGAGAAGCGTCCCTTTTGCCCTGCCAAGCCTGGAAGAGATTCCTGAGGTGTCCCTCGTTACTAGGCAGGAGTCCTGACGTCACTGGAGAAACTCGTGTTTTGAAGGGCCATCCCCGCCGTAAGTCGAGAACATACCCCAGGTCCCCGCCGCAACTCGAGGAAAACCATGAGACTTCCCCCTAGAGGCGAGATGAGGCCCCATTCCCCTGCAGTGCATGCAGAGCTATTCCGTGATCCCATTCAAACAAGTCAGGAGCTTCGACTTGCTTAATGGATCTCGAGACAGTCCCCAAGAACACTGTCACCAGTCTAGACGGACCCTGAGGTCACCCCAGCAACGCAAAGCTGCTCCATGTGCCCCAAATCAACTCGTGATGAGGCCCGATTCCCCTGCATTGACTCCAGAGCCATTCCCCGTTCCCCATTCAACACGAACGGTGGCTCGACTTCCTTCAGTCAACTCCAGAGATTCCCCGAGAACACTGTCTCAAGTCTAGAGGACCACCAACTTCAGCACAGCAACTCGAGGAATGCTCTGTGTACCCCAAATCGTCTCGAGATGAGAGCTGATTCCCTGGCTTAGGCTCAAGACGTATGCCAACTTTCCAGAAGCACCTCAGGAGGAGGTTTCTCTCAGCAATAGGTATGTGGGAGGGACCCCGAGTTTGCTGCCTCAAGGGGAATATACAGCGAGAAGCCCTAACTTGAAAGGAGGCTGGATTTCCATGCAGTGGCTTGAATAAAGGCTCATCTTTCATCTCAAAACATGAAGGGATGTCTGAATCCCCTATGGAGACCTTAGAGAAAGCCCTAGGTCCCTGCCTCATTTTGACGGAATCCTCACATCCCGCTGACACCTCGAGAGGCACGCGGAGTTCATTTCTTCAAAAGGTGACGATGCCTGACTCCTCTTGATATTGATAGGAATCCCAAAATCCCTGTGGCTACTGGAAAGGGTCCTTGGGTGCCCTGGCTCACCTCGAGAAGCGTCCGTTTTGCCCTGCCAAGCCTCGAAGAGATTGCTGAGGTTTCCCTCGTTACTAGACAGGAGTCCTGACGTCACTGAAGAAACTCGTGTTTTGAAAGGCCATCCCCGTCGTAAGTCGAGAACATACCCCAGGTCCCCGCCGCAACTCGAGAAAAACCATGAGACTTCCCCCTAGAGGCGAGATGAGGCCCCATTCCCCTGCAGTGCATGCAGAGCTATTCCGTGATCCCATTCAAAGAAGTCAGGAGCTTCGACTTGCTTAATGGATCTCGAGACAGTCCCCAAGAACACTGTCACCAGTCTAGACGGAAACTGAAGTCACCCCAGCAATGCAAAGCAGCTCCATGTGCCCCAAATCAACTCGAGATGAGGCCCGATTCCCCTGCATTGACTCCAGAGCCATTCCCCGTTCCCCATTCAACACGACCGGTGGCTCGCCTTCCTTCAGGCAACTCCAGAGATGCCCCGAGAACACTGTCCCAAGTCTAGAAGAACACCAACTTCAGCACAGCAACTCGAGGAATGCTCTGTGTACCCCAAATCGTCTCGAGATGAGAGCTGATTCCCTGGCTTAGGCTCAAGACGTATGCCAACATTCCAGAAGCACCACAGGAGGAGGCTTCTCAGCAATAGGAATGTGGGAGGGACTCCGAGTTTGCTGCCTCAAGGGGAATATACAGCGAGAAGGCCTAACTTGAAAGGAGGCCGCATTTCCTTGCAGTAGCTTGAATACAGTCTTGTCTTTCATCTCACAACATGAAGGGATGTCTGAATCCCCTGTGGAGACCTTAGAGAAAGCCCTAGGTCCCTGCCTCATTTTGACGGAATCCTCACATCCCGCTGACACCTCGAGAGTCACGCGGAGTTCATTGCTTCAAAAGGTGACGATGCCTGACTCCTCTTGAATACTATTAGGAATCCCAAAATCCCTTTGGCTGCTGGAAAGGGTCCTGGGTGCCCTGCCTCACCTCGAGAAGCGTCCCTGTTGCCCTGCCAAGCCTCGAAGAGATTCCTGAGGTGTCCCTCCTTATTAGAAAGGAGTCCTGACGTCACTGAAGAAACTCGTGTTTTGAAGGGCCATCCCCGCCGTAAGTCGAGAACATACCCCAGGTCCCCGCCGCAACTCGAGAAAAACCATGAGACTTCCCCCTAGAGGCGAGATGAGGCCCCATTCCACTGCAATGCATGCAGAGCTATTCCGTGATCCCATTCAAACAAGTCAGGAGCTTCGACTTGCTTAATGGATATCGAGACAGTCCCCAAGAACACTGTCACCAGTCTAGACGGACCCTGAGGTCACCCCAGCAACGCAAAGCTGCTCCATGTTTCCCAAATCAACTCGAGATGAGGCCCGATTCCCCTGCATTGACTCCAGAGCCATTCCCTGTTCCCCATTCAACACGACCGGTGGCTCGACTTCTTTCAGGCAACTCCAGACATGCCCCGAAAACACTGTCCGAAGTCCAGAGGAACACCAACTTCAGCAAAGCAACTCGAGGAATGCTCCGTGTACCCCATATCATGTCGAGATGAGAGCTGATACCCTGGCTTAGGCTCAAGACGTATGCCAACTTTCCAGAAGCACCTCAGGAGGAGGCGTCTCTCAGCAATAGGTATGTGGGAGGGAACCCGAGTTTGCTGCCTCAAGGGGAATATACAGCGAGAAGCCCTAACTTGAAAGGAGGCCGGATTTCCTTGCACTGGCTTGAATACAGGCTCGTCTTTGATCTGACAACATGAAGGGATGTCTGAATCCCCTGTGGAGACCTTAGAGAAAGCCCTAGGTCCCTTCCTCATTTTGACGGAATGCCTCACATCCCGCTGACACCTCGAGAGGCACGCGGAGTTCATTGCTTCAAAAGGTGACGATGCCTGACTACTCTTGAATACTTATAGGAATCCCAAAATTCCTGTTGCTACTGGAAAGGGTCCTTGGGTGCCCTGGCTCACCTCGAGAAGCGTCCCTTTTGCCCTGCCAAGCCTCGAAGACATTGCTGAGGTGTCCCTCATTACTAGGCAGGAGTCCTGACGTCACTGAAGAAACTCGTGTTTTGAAGGGCCATCCCCGCCGTAAGTCGAGAACATACCCCAGGTCCCCGCCGCAACTCGAGAAAAACCATGAGACTTCACCATATAGGCGAGATGAGGCCCCATTCCCCTGCAGTGCATGCAGAGCTATTCCGTGATCCCATTCAAACAAGTCAGGAGCTTCGAGTTGCTTAATGGATCTCGAGACAGTCCCCAAGAACACTGTCACCAGTCTAGACGGACCCTGAGGTCACCGCAGCAACGCAAAGCAGCTCCATGTGCCCCAAATCAACTCGAGATGAGGCCCGATTCCCCTGCATTGATTCCAGGGCCATTCCCCGTTCCCCGTTCAACACGAACGGAGGCTCGCCTTCCTTCAGGCAACTCCAGAGATGCCCCGAGAACACTGTCCCAAGTCTAGCGGAACACCAACTTCAACACAGCAACTCGAGGAATGCTGTGTGTACCCCAAATCGTCTCGAGATGAGAGCTGATTCCCTGGCTTAGGCTCAAGACGTATGCCAACTTTCCAGAAGCACCTCAGGAGGAGGCTTCTCAGCAATAGGTATGTGGGAGGGACTCCGAGTTTGCTGCCTCAAGGGGAATATACAGCAAGAAGCCCTAACTTGAAAGGAGGCCGGATTTCCTTGCAGTAGCTTGAATACAGGCTTGTCTTTCATCTCACAACATGAAGGGATGTCTGAATCCCCTATGGAGACCTTAGAGAAAGCCCTAGGTCCCTGCCTCATTTTGACGGAATGCCTCACATCCCGCTGACACCTCGAGAGGCACGCGGAGTTCATTGCTTCAAAAGGTGACGATGCCTGACTCCTCTTGAATACTTATAGGAATCCCAAAATTCCTGTTGCTACTGGAAAGGGTCCTTGGGTGCCCTGGCTCACCTCGAGAAGCGTCCCTTTTGCCCTGCCAAGCCTCGAAGACATTGCTGAGGTGTCCCTCGTTACTAGGCAGGAGTCCTGACGTCACTGAAGAAACTCGTGTTTTGAAGGGCCATCCCCGCCGTAAGTCGAGAACATACCCCAGGTCCCCGCCGCAACTCGAGAAAAACCATGAGACTTCCCCATATAGGCGAGATGAGGCCCCATTCCCCTGCCATGCATGCAGAGCTATTCCGTGATCCCATTCAAACAAGTCAGGAGCTTCGACTTGCTTAATGGATCTCGAGACAGTCCCCAAGAACACTGTCACCAGTCTAGATGGACCCTGAGGTCACCCAGCAATGCAAAGCAGCTCCATGTGCCCCAAATCAACTCGAGATGAGGCCGGATTCCCCTGCATTGACTCCAGAGCCACTCCTTGTTCCCCATTCAACACGACCGGTGGCTCGACTTCCTTCAGGCAACTCCAGAGATACCCCGAGAACTCTGTCCCAAGTCTAGAGGACCACCAACTTCAGCACAGCAACTCGAGGAATGCTCTGTGTACCCCATATCATCTCGAGATGAGAGCTGATACCCTGGCTTAGGCTCAAGACGTATGCCAACTTTCCAGAAGCACCTCAGGAGGAGGCTTCTCTCAGCAATAGGTATGTGGGAGGGACCCCGAGTTTGCTGCCTCAAGGGGAATATACAGGGAGAAGCCCTAACTTGAAAGGAGGCCGGATTTCCTTGCACTGGCTTGAATACAGGCTCGTCTTTGATCTGACAACATGAAGGGATGTCTGAATCCCCTGTGGAGACCTTAGAGAAAGCCCTAGGTCCCTGCCTCATTTTGACGGAATGCCTCACATCCCGCTGACACCTCGAGAGGCAAGCGGAGTTGATTGCTTCAAAAGGTGACGATGCCTGACTCCTCTTGAATACTGATAGGAATCCCAAAATCCCTGTGGCTACTGGAAAGGGTCCTTGGGTGCCCTGCCTCACCTCGAGAAGCGTCCCTTTTGCCCTGCCAAGCCTGGAAGAGATTCCTGAGGTGTCCCTCGTTACTAGGCAGGAGTCCTGACGTCACTGGAGAAACTCGTGTTTTGAAGGGCCATCCCCGCCGTAAGTCGAGAACATACCCCAGGTCCCCGCCGCAACTCGAGGAAAACCATGAGACTTCCCCCTAGAGGCGAGATGAGGCCCCATTCCCCTGCAGTGCATGCAGAGCTATTCCGTGATCCCATTCAAACAAGTCAGGAGCTTCGACTTGCTTAATGGATCTCGAGACAGTCCCCAAGAACACTGTCACCAGTCTAGACGGACCCTGAGGTCACCCCAGCAACGCAAAGCTGCTCCATGTGCCCCAAATCAACTCGTGATGAGGCCCGATTCCCCTGCATTGACTCCAGAGCCATTCCCCGTTCCCCATTCAACACGAACGGTGGCTCGACTTCCTTCAGTCAACTCCAGAGATTCCCCGAGAACACTGTCTCAAGTCTAGAGGACCACCAACTTCAGCACAGCAACTCGAGGAATGCTCTGTGTACCCCAAATCGTCTCGAGATGAGAGCTGATTCCCTGGCTTAGGCTCAAGACGTATGCCAACTTTCCAGAAGCACCTCAGGAGGAGGCTTCTCTCAGCAATAGGTATGTGGGAGGGACCCCGAGTTTGCTGCCTCAAGGGGAATATACAGCGAGAAGCCCTAACTTGAAAGGAGGCTGGATTTCCATGCAGTGGCTTGAATAAAGGCTCATCTTTCATCTCAAAACATGAAGGGATGTCTGAATCCCCTATGGAGACCTTAGAGAAAGCCCTAGGTCCCTGCCTCATTTTGACGGAATCCTCACATCCCGCTGACACCTCGAGAGGCACGCGGAGTTCATTTCTTCAAAAGGTGACGATGCCTGACTCCTCTTGATATTGATAGGAATCCCAAAATCCCTGTGGCTACTGGAAAGGGTCCTTGGGTGCCCTGGCTCACCTCGAGAAGCGTCCGTTTTGCCCTGCCAAGCCTCGAAGAGATTGCTGAGGTTTCCCTCGTTACTAGACAGGAGTCCTGACGTCACTGAAGAAACTCGTGTTTTGAAAGGCCATCCCCGTCGTAAGTCGAGAACATACCCCAGGTCCCCGCCGCAACTCGAGAAAAACCATGAGACTTCCCCCTAGAGGCGAGATGAGGCCCCATTCCCCTGCAGTGCATGCAGAGCTATTCCGTGATCCCATTCAAAGAAGTCAGGAGCTTCGACTTGCTTAATGGATCTCGAGACAGTCCCCAAGAACACTGTCACCAGTCTAGACGGAAACTGAAGTCACCCCAGCAATGCAAAGCAGCTCCATGTGCCCCAAATCAACTCGAGATGAGGCCCGATTCCCCTGCATTGACTCCAGAGCCATTCCCCGTTCCCCATTCAACACGATCGGTGGCTCGCCTTCCTTCAGGCAACTCCAGAGATGCCCCGAGAACACTGTCCCAAGTCTAGAAGAACACCAACTTCAGCACAGCAACTCGAGGAATGCTCTGTGTACCCCAAATCGTCTCGAGATGAGAGCTGATTCCCTGGCTTAGGCTCAAGACGTATGCCAACATTCCAGAAGCACCACAGGAGGAGGCTTCTCAGCAATAGGAATGTGGGAGGGACTCCGAGTTTGCTGCCTCAAGGGGAATATACAGCGAGAAGGCCTAACTTGAAAGGAGGCCGCATTTCCTTGCAGTAGCTTGAATACAGTCTTGTCTTTCATCTCACAACATGAAGGGATGTCTGAATCCCCTGTGGAGACCTTAGAGAAAGCCCTAGGTCCCTGCCTCATTTTGACGGAATCCTCACATCCCGCTGACACCTCGAGAGGCACGCGGAGTTCATTGCTTCAAAAGGTGACGATGCCTGACTCCTCTTGAATACTATTAGGAATCCCAAAATCCCTTTGGCTGCTGGAAAGGGTCCTGGGTGCCCTGCCTCACCTCGAGAAGCGTCCCTTTTGCCCTGCCAAGCCTCGAAGAGATTCCTGAGGTGTCCCTCCTTATTAGAAAGGAGTCCTGACGTCACTGAAGAAACTCGTGTTTTGAAGGGCCATCCCCGCCGTAAGTCGAGAACATACCCCAGGTCCCCGCCGCAACTCGAGAAAAACCATGAGACTTCCCCCTAGAGGCGAGATGAGGCCCCATTCCACTGCAATGCATGCAGAGCTATTCCGTGATCCCATTCAAACAAGTCAGGAGCTTCGACTTGCTTAATGGATATCGAGACAGTCCCCAAGAACACTGTCACCAGTCTAGACGGACCCTGAGGTCACCCCAGCAACGCAAAGCTGCTCCATGTTTCCCAAATCAACTCGAGATGAGGCCCGATTCCCCTGCATTGACTCCAGAGCCATTCCCTGTTCCCCATTCAACACGACCGGTGGCTCGACTTCTTTCAGGCAACTCCAGAGATGCCCCGAAAACACTGTCCGAAGTCCAGAGGAACACCAACTTCAGCAAAGCAACTCGAGGAATGCTCCGTGTACCCCATATCATGTCGAGATGAGAGCTGATACCCTGGCTTAGGCTCAAGACGTATGCCAACTTTCCAGAAGCACCTCAGGAGGAGGCGTCTCTCAGCAATAGGTATGTGGGAGGGAACCCGAGTTTGCTGCCTCAAGGGGAATATACAGCGAGAAGCCCTAACTTGAAAGGAGGCCGGATTTCCTTGCACTGGCTTGAATACAGGCTCGTCTTTGATCTGACAACATGAAGGGATGTCTGAATCCCCTGTGGAGACCTTAGAGAAAGCCCTAGGTCCCTGCCTCATTTTGACGGAATGCCTCACATCCCGCTGACACCTCGAGAGGCAAGCGGAGTTCATTGCTTCAAAAGGTGACGATCTCTGACTCCTCTTGAATACTGATAGGAATCCCAAAATCCCTGTGGCTACTGGAAAGGGTCCTTGGGTGCCCTGCCTCACCTCGAGAAGCGTCCCTTTTGCCCTGCCAAGCCTCGAAGAGATTCCTGAGTTGTCCCTCGTTACTAGACAGGAGTCCTGACGTCACTGAAGAAACTCGTGTTTTGAAGGGCCATCCCCGCCGTAAGTCGAGAACGTACCCCAGGTCCCCGCCGCAACTCGAGTAAAACCGTGAGCCTTCCCCCTAGAGGCGAGATGAGGCCCCATTCCCCTGCAGTGCATGCAGAGCTATTCCGTGATCCCATTCAAACAAGTCAGGAGCTTCGACTTGCTTAATGGATACCGAGACAGTCCCCAAGAACACTGTCACCAGTCTAGACGGACCGTGAGGTCACCGCAGCAACGCAAAGCTGCTCCATGTGCCCCAAATCAACTCGAGATGAGGCCCGATTCCCCTGCATTGACTCCAGAGCCATTCCCCGTTCCCCATTTAACACGACCGGTGGCTCGACTTCCTTCAGGCAACTCGAGAGATGCCCCGAGAACACTGTCCCAAGTCTAGAGGAACACCAATTTCAGCACAGCAACTCGAGGAATGCTCCGTGTACGCCAAATCATCTCGAGATGAGAGCTGATTCCCTGGCTTAGGCTCAAGACGTATGCCAACTTTCCAGAAGCACCTCACGAGGAGGCTTCTCTCAGCAATAGGTATGTGGGAGGGACCCCGAGTTTGCTGCCTCAAGGGGAATACACAGGGAGAAGCCCTAATGTGAACGGAGGCCAGATTTCCTTGCAGTGGCTTGAATACAGGCTCGTCTTTCATCTCACAACATGAAGGGATGTCTGAATCCCCTGTGGAGACCTTAGAGAAAGCCCTAGGTCCCTGCCTCATTTTGACGGAATGCCTCACATCCCGCTGACACCTCGAGAGGCACGCGGAGTTCATTGCTTCAAAAGGTGACGATGCCTGACTCCTCTTGAATACTGATAGGAATCCCAAAATCCCTGTGGCTACTGGAAAGGGTCCTTGGGTGCCCTGCCTCACCTCGAGAAGCGTCCCTTTTGCCTTGCCAAGCCTCGAAGAGATTGCTGAGGTGTCCCTCTTTACTAGACAGGAGTCCTGACGTCACTGAAGAAACTCGTGTTTTGAAGGGCCATCCCCGCCGTAAGTCGAGAACATACCCCAGTTCCCCGCCGCAACTCGAGAAAAACCATGAGACTTCCCCCTAGAGGCGAGATGAGGCCCCATTCCCCTGCAGTGCATGCAGAGCTATTCCGTGATCCCATTCAAACAAGTCAGGAGCTTCGACTTGCTTAATGGATCTCGAGAGAGTCCCCAAGAACACTGTCACCAGTCTAGACGGACCCTGAGGTCACCCCAGCAACGCAAAGCTGCTCCATGTGCCCCAAATCAACTCGAGATGAGGCCCGATTCCCCTGAATTGACTCCAGAGCCATTCCCCGTTCCCCATTCAACACGACCGGTGGCTCGACTTCCTTCAGGCAACTCCAGGGATGCCCCGAGAACACCGTCCCAAGTCTAGAGGAACAGCAACTTCAGCACAGCAACTCGAGGAATGCACCGTGTAACCTAAATCATCTCGAGATGAGAGCTGATTCCCTGGCTTAGGCTCAAGACGTATGCCAACTTTCCAGAAGCACCTCAGGAGGAGGCTTCTCTCAGCAATAGGTATGTGGGAGGGACCCCGAGTTTGCTGCCTCAAGGGGAATATACAGCGAGAAGCCCTAACTTGAAAGGAGGCCGGATTTCCTTGCAGTGGCTTGAATACAGGCTCGTCTTTGATCTGACAACATGAAGGGATGTCTGAATCCCCTGTGGAGACCTTAGAGAAAGCCCTAGGTCCCTGCCTCATTTTGACGGAATGCCTCACATCCCGCTGACACCTCGAGAGGCACGCGGAGTTCATTGCTTCAAAAGGTGACGATGCCTGACTACTCTTGAATAATGATAGGAATCCCAAAATCCCTGTGGCTACTGGAAAGGGTCCTTGGGTGCCCTGCCTCACCTCGAGAAGCATCCCTTTTGCCCTGCCAAGCCTGGAAGAGATTCCTGAGGTGTCCCTCGTTACTAGGCAGGAGTCCTGACGTCACTAGAGAAACTCGTGTTTTGAAGGGCCATCCCCGCCGTAAGTCGAGAACATACCCCAGGTCCCCGCCGCAACTCGAGAAAAACAGTGAGCCTTCCCCCTAGAGGCGAGATGAGGCCCCATTCCCCTGCAGTGCATGCAGAGCTATTCCGTGATCCCATTCAAACAAGTCAGGAGCTTCGACTTGCTTAATGGATCTTGAGACAGTCCCCAAGAACACTGTCACCAGTCTAGACGGACCCTGAGGTCACCCAGCAATGCAAAGCAGCTCCTTGTGCCCCAAATCAACTCGAGATGAGGCCTGATTCCCCTGCACTGACTCCAGAGCCATTCCCTGTTCCCCATTCAACACGACCGGTGGCTCGACTTCCTTCAGGCAACTCCAGAGATGCCCCGAGAACACTGTCCCAAGTCTAGAGGACCACCAACTTCAGCACAGCAACTCGAGGAATGCTCTGTGTACCCCAAATCGTCTCGAGATGAGAGCGGATTCCCTGGCTTAGGCTCAAGACGTATGCCAACTTTCCAGAAGCACCTCAGGAGGAGGCTTCTCTCAGCAATAGGTATGTGGGAGGGACCCCGAGTTTGCTGCCTCAAGGGGAATATACAGCGAGAAGCCCTAACTTGAAAGGAGGCCGGTTTTCCTTGCAGTGGCTTGAATACAGGCTCATCTTTCATCACACAACATGAAGGGATGTCTGAATCCCCTGTGGAGACCTTAGAGAAAGCCCTAGGTCCCTGCCTCATTTTGACGGAATCCTCACATCCCGCTGACACCTCGAGAGGCACGCGGAGTTCATTGCTTAAAAAGGTGACGATGCCTGACTCCTCTTGAATACTGATAGGAATCCCAAAATCCCTGTGGCTACTGGAAAGGGTCCTTGGGTGCCCTGCCTCACCTCGAGAAGCGTCCCTTTTGCCCTGCGAAGCCTCGAAGAGATTCCTGAGGTGTCCCTCGTTACTAGACAGGAGTCCTGAAGTCACTGAAGAAACTCGTGTTTTGAAGGGCCATCCCCGCCATAAGTCGAGAACATACCCCAGGTCCCCGCCGCAACTCGAGAAAAACCGTGAGCCTTCCCCCTAGAGGCGAGATGAGGCCCCATTCCCCTGCAGTGCATGCAGAGCTATTCCGTGATCCCATTCAAACAAGTCAGGAGCTTCGACTTGCTTAATGGATCTCGAGACAGTCCCCAAGAACACTGTCACCAGTCTAGACGGACCCTGAGGTCACCCCAGCAACGCAAAGCTGCTCCATGTGCCCCAAATCAACTCGAGATGAGGCCCGATTCCCCTGCATTGACTCCAGAGCCATTCCCCGTTCCCCATTCAACACGACCGGTGGCTCGACTTCCTTCAGGCAACTCCAGGGATGCCCCGAGAACACCGTCCCAAGTATAGAGAAACAGCAACTTCAGCACAGCAACTCGAGGAATGCACCGTGTAACCTAAATCATCTCGAGATGAGAGCTGATTCCCTGGCTTAGGCTCAAGACGTATGCCAACTTTCCAGAAGCACCTCAGGAGGAGGCTTCTCTCAGCAATAGGTATGTGGGAGGGACCCCGAGTTTGCTGCCTCAAGGGGAATATACAGCGAGAAGCCCTAACTTGAAAGGAGGCCGGATTTCCTTGCAGTGGCTTGAATACAGGCTCGTCTTTGATCTGACAACATGAAGGGATGTCTGAATCCCCTGTGGAGACCTTAGAGAAAGCCCTAGGTCCCTGCCTCATTTTGACAGAATGCCTCACATCCCGCTGACACCTCGAGAGGCACGCGGAGTTCATTGCTTCAAAAGGTGACGATGCCTGACTCCTCTTGAATACTGATAGGAATCCCAAAATCCCTGTGGCTACGGGAAAGGGTCCTTGGGTGCCCTGCCTCACCTCGAGAAGCGTCCCTTTTGCCCTGCCAGGCCTGGAAGAGATTCCTGAGGTGTCCCTCGTTACTAGGCAGGAGTCCTGACGTCACTGAAGAAACTCGTGTTTTGAAGGGCCATCCCCGCCGTAAGTCGAGAACATACCCCAGGTCCCCGCCGCAACTCGAGAAAAACCGTGAGCCTTCCGCCTAGAGGCGAGATGAGGCCCCATTCCCCTGCAGTGCATGCAGAGCTATTCCGTGATCCCATTCAAACAAGTCAGGAGCTTCGACTTGCTTAATGGATCTCGAGACAGTCCCCAAGAACACTGTCACCAGTCTAGACGGACCCTGAGGTCACCGCAGCAACGCAAAGCTGCTCCATGTGCCCCAAATCAACTCGAGATGAGGCCCGATTCCCCTGCATTGACTCCAGAGCCATTCCCCGTTCCCCATTCAACACGACCGGTGGCTCGACTTCCTTCAGGCAACTCCAGAGATGCCCCGAGAACACTGTCCCAAGTCTAGAGGAACACCAACTTCAGCACAGCAACTCGAGGAATGCTCCGTGTACCCCAAATCATCTCGAGATGAGAGCTGATTCTCTGGCTTAGGCTCAAGACGTATGCCAACTTTCCAGAAGCACCTCAGGAGGAGGCTTCTCTCAGCAATAGGTATGTGGGAGGGACCCCCAGTTTGCTGCCTCAAGGGGAATATACAGCGAGAAGCCCTAACTTGAAAGGAGGCCAGTTTTCCTTGCAGTGGCTTGAATACAGGCTCGTCTTTCATCTCACAACATGAAGGGATGTCTGAATCCCCTGTGGAGACCTTAGAGAAAGCCCTAGGTCCCTGCCTCATTTTGACGGAATCCTCATATCGCGCAGACACCGCGAGAGGCACGCGGAGTTCATTGCTTCAAAAGGTGACGATGCCTGACCCCTCTTGATACTGATAGGAATCCCAAAATCCCTGTGGCTACTGGAAAGGGTCCTTGGGTGCCCTGGCTCACCTCGAGAAGCGTCCGTTTTGCCCTGCCAAGCCTCGAAGAGATTGCTGAGGTGTCCCTCCTTACTAGACAGGAGTCCTGATGTCACTGAAGAAACTCGTGTTTTGAAGGGCCATCCCCGCCGTAAGTCGAGAACATACCCCAGGTCCCCGCCGCAACTCGAGAAAAACCATGAGACTTCCCCCTAGAGGCGAGATGAGGCCCCATTCCCCTGCAGTGCATGCAGAGCTATTCCGTGATCCCATTCAAACAATTCAGGAGCTTCGACTTGCTTAATGGATCTCGAGACAGTCCCCAAGTACACTGTCACCAGTCTAGACGGAACCTGAGGTCACCCCAGCAATGCAAAGCAGCTCCATGTGCCCCAAATCAACTCGAGATGAGGCCCGATTCCCCTGCATTGACTCCAGAGCCATTCCCCGTTCCCCATTCAACACGACCGGTGGCTCGCCTTCCTTCAGGCAACTCCAGAGACATGACCCGAGAACACTGTCCCAAGTCTAGAAGAACACCAACTTCAGCACAGCAACTCGAGGAATGCTCTGTGTACCCCAAATCGTCTCGAGATGAGAGCTGATTCCCTGGCTTAGGCTCAAGACGTATTCCAACTTTCCAGAAGCACCTCAGGAGGAGGCTTCTCAGCAATAGGTATGTGGGAGGGACTCCGAGTTTGCTGCCTCAAGGGGAATATACAGCGAGAAGCCCTAACTTGAAAGGAGGCCGGATTTCCTTGCAGTAGCTTGAATACAGTCTTGTCTTTCATCTCACAACATGAAGGGATGTCTGAATCCCCTGTGGAGACCTTAGAGAAAGCCCTAGGTCCCTGCCTCATTTTGACGGAATCCTCATATCGCGCAGACACCGCGAGAGGCACGCGGAGTTCATTGCTTCAAAAGGTGACGATGCCTGACTCCTCTTGAATACTGATAGGAATCCCAAAATCCCTGTGGCTACTGGAAAGGGTTCTTGGGTGCCCTGCCTCACATCGAGAAGCGTCCCTTTTGCCCTGCCAAGCCTCGAAGAGATTCCTGAGGTGTCCCTCGTTACTAGACAGGAGTCCTGACGTCACTGAAGAAACTCGTGTTTTGAAGGGCCATCCCCGCCGTAAGTCGAGAACATACCCCAGGTCCCCGCCGCAACTCGAGAAAAACCATGAGACTTCCCCCTAGAGGCGAGATGAGGCCCCATTCCCCTGCAGTGCATGCAGAGCTATTCCGTGATCCCATTCAAACAAGTCAGGAGCTTCGACTTGCTTAATGGATCTCGAGACAGTCCCCAAGAACACTGTCCCCAGTCTAGACGGACCCTGACGTCACCCCAGAAACACAAAGCAGCTCTATGTGCCCCAAATCAACTCGAGATGAGGCCCCATTCCCCTGCATTGACTCCAGAGCCATTCCCCGTTCCCCATTCAACAGGACTGGTGGCTCGCTTTCCTTCAGGCAACTCCAGGGATGCCCCGAGAACACTGTCCCATGTCTAGAGGAACACCAACTTCAGAACAGCAACTCGAGGAATGCTCTGTGTACCCCAAATCGTCTCGAGATGAGAGCTGATTCCCTGGCTTAGGCTCAAGACGTATGCCAACTTTCCAGAAGCACCTCAGGAGGAGGCTTCTCAGCAATAGGTATGTGGGAGGGACTCCGAGTTTGCTGCCTCAAGGGGAATATACAGCGAGAAGCCCTAACTTGAAAGGAGGCCGGATTTCCTTGCAGTGGCTTGAATACAGGCTCGTCTTTCATCTCACAACATGAAGGGATGTCTGAATCCCCTGTGGAGACCTTAGAGAAAGCCCTAGGTCCCTGCCTCATTTTGACGGAATCCTCACATCCCGCTGACACCTCGAGAGGCACGCGGAGTTCATTGCTTCAAAAGGTGACGATGCCTGACTCCTCTTGAATACTTATAGGAATCCCAAAATCCCTGTGGCTACTGGAAAGGGTCCTTGGGTGCCCTGCCTCACCTCGAGAAGCGTCCCTTTTGCCCTGCCAAGCCTGGAAGAGATTCCTGAGGTGTCCCTCTTTACTAGGCAGGAGTCCTGACGTCACTGAAGAAACTCGTGTTTTGAAGGGCCATCCCCGCCGTAAGTCGAGAACATACCCCAGGTCCCCGCCGCAACTCGAGAAAAACCGTGAGCCTTCCCCCTAGAGGCGAGATGAGGCCCCATTCCCCTGCAGTGCATGCAGAGCTATTCCGTGATCCCATTCAAACAAGTCAGGCGCTTCGACTTGCTTAATGGATCTCGAGACAGTCCCCAAGAACACTGTCACCAGTCTAGACGGACCCTGAGGTCACCCAGCAATGAAAAGCAGCTCCATGTGCCCCAAATCAACTCGAGATGAGGCCGGATTCCCCTGCACTGACTCCAGAGCCATTCCCTGTTCCCCATTCAACACGACCGGTGGCTCGACTTCCTTCAGGCAACTCCAGAGATGCCCCGAGAACACTGTCCCAGGTCTAGAGGACCACCAACTTCAGCACAGCAACTCGAGGAATGCTCTGTGTACCCCAAATCGTCTCGAGATGAGAGCTGATTCCCTGGCTTAGGCTCAAGACGTATGCCAACTTCCCAGAAGCACCTCAGGAGGAGGCTTCTCTCAGCAATAGGTATGTGGGAGGGACCCCGAGTTTGCTGCCTCAAGGGGAATATACAGCGAGAAGCCCTAACTTGAAAGGAGGCCGGTTTTCCTTGCAGTGGCTTGAATACAGGCTCATCTTTCATCACACAACATGAAGGGATGTCTGAATCCCCTGTGGAGTCCTTAGAGAAAGCCCTAGGTCCCTGCCTCATTTTGACGGAATGCCTCACATCCCGCTGACACCTCGAGAGGCACGCGGAGTTCATTGCTTCAAAAGGTGACGATGCCTGACTCCTCTTGAATACTGATAGGAATCCCAAAATCCCTGTGGCTACTGGAAAGGGTCCTTGGGTGCCCTGGCTCACTTCGAGAAGCGTCCCTTTTGCCCTGCCAAGCCTCGAAGAGATTCCTGAGGTGTCCCTCGTTACTAGACAGGAGTCCTGACGTCACTGAAGAAACTCGTGTTTTGAAGGGCCATCCCCGCCGTAAGTCGAGAACATACCCCAGTTCCCCGCCGCAACTCGAGAAAAACCGTGAGACTTCCCCCTAGAGGCGAGATGAGGCCCCATTCCCCTGCAGTGCATGCAGAGCTATTCCGTGATCCCATTCAAACAAGTCAGGAGCTTCGACTTGCTTAATGGATCTCGAGACAGTCCCCAAGAACACTGTCACCAGTCTAGACGGACCCTGAGGTCACCCCAGCAACCCAAAGCTGCTCCATGTGCCCCAAATCAACTCGAGATGAGGCCCGATTCCCCTGCATTGACTCCAGAGCCATTCCCCGTTCCCCATTCAACACGACCGGTGGCTCGACTTCCTTCAGGCAACTCCAGGGATGCCCCGAGAACACCGTCCCAAGTATAGAGAAACAGCAACTTCAGCACAGCAACTCGAGGAATGCACCGTGTAACCTAAATCATCTCGAGATGAGAGCTGATTCCCTGGCTTAGGCTCAAGACGTATGCCAACTTTCCAGAAGCACCTCAGGAGGAGGCTTCTCTCAGCAATAGGTATGTGGGAGGGACCCCGAGTTTGCTGCCTCAAGGGGAATACACAGGGAGAAGCCCTAACGTGAACGGAGGCCAGATTTCCTTGCAGTGGGTTGAATAAAGGCTCGTCTTCGATCTGAAAACATGAAGGGATGTCTGAATTCCCTGTGGAGACCTTAGAGGAAGCCCTAGGTCCCTGCCTCATTTTGACGGAATACCTCACATCCCCCTGACACCCCGAGAGGCACTCAGAGTTCATTGCTTCAAAAGGTGACGATGCCTGACTCCTCTTGAATACTTATAGGAATCCCAAAATCCCTGTTGCTACAGGAAAGGGTACTTGGGTGCCCTGGCTCACCTCGAGAAGCGTCCCTTTTGCCCTGCCAAGCCTCGAAGAGATTGCTGAGGTGTCCCTCGTTACTAGACAGGAGTTCTGACGTCACTGAAGAAACTCGTGTTTTGAAGTTCCATCCCCGCCGTAAGTCGAGAACATACCCCAGGTCCCCGCCGCAACTCGAGAAAAACCATGAGACTTCCCCCTAGAGGCGAGATGAGGCCCCATTCCCCTGCAGTGCATGCAGAGCTATTCCGTGATCCCATTCAAACAAGTCAGGAGCTTCGACTTGCTTAATGGATCTCGAGACAGTCCCCAAGAACACTGTCACCAGTCTAGACGGACCCTGAGGTCACCCCAGCAACGCAAAGCAGCTCCATGTGCCCCAAATCAACTCGAGATGAGGCCCGATTCCCCTGCATTGACTCCAGAGCCATTCCCCGTTCCCCATTCAACACGACTGGTGGCTCGCTTTCCTTCAGGCAACTCCAGAGATGCCCCGAGAACACTGTCCCAAGTCTAGAGGAACACCAACTTCAGCACAGCAACTCGAGGAATGCTCTGTGTACCCCAAATCGTGTCGAGATGAGAGCTGATTCCCTGGCTTAGGCTCAAGACGTATGCCAACTTTCCAGAAGCACCTCAGGAGGAGACTTCTCAGCAATAGGTATGTGCGAGGGACTCCGAGTTTGCTCCCTCAAGGGGAATATACAGCGAGAAGCCCTAACTTGAAAGGAGGCCGGATTTCCTTGCAGTAGCTTGAATACAGGCTTGTCTTTCATCTCACAACATGAAGGGATGTCTGAATCCCCTGTGAAGACCTTAGAGAAAGCCCTAGGACCCTGCCTCATTTTGACGGCATGCCTCACATCCCGCTGACAACTCGAGAGGCACGCGGAGTTCATTGCTTCAAAAGGTGACGATGCCTGACTCCTCTTGAATACTGATAGGAATCCCAAAATCCCTGTGGCTACTGGAAAGGTTCCTTGGGTGCCCTGGCTCACCTCGAGAAGCGTCCCTTTTGCCCTGCCAAGCCTCGAAGAGATTCCTGAGGTGTCCCTCGTTACTAGACAGGAGTCCTGACGTCACTGAAGAAACTCGTGTTTTGAAGGGCCATCCCTGCCGTAAGTCGAGAACATACCCCAGGTCCCCGCCGCAACTCGAGAAAAACCATGAGACTTCCCCCTAGAGGCGAGATGAGGCCCCATTCCCCTGCAGTGCATGCAGAGCTATTCCGTGATCCCATTCAAACAAGTCAGGAGCTTCGACTTGCTTAATGGATCTCGAGACAGTCCCCAAGAACACTGTCACCAGTCTAGACGGACCCTGAGGTCACCCCAGCAACGCAAAGCTGCTCCATGTGCCCCAAATAAACTCGAGATGAGGCCCGATTCCCCTGCATTGACTCCAGAGCCATTCCCCGTTCCCCATTCAACACGACCGGTGGCTCGACTTCCTTCAGGCAACTGCAGAGATGCCCCGAGAACACTGCCCCAAGTCTAGAGGAACACCAACTTCAGCACAGCAACTCGAGGAATTCTCCGTGTACTCCAAATAATCTCGAGATGAGAGCTGATTTTCTGGCTTAGGCTCAAGACGTATGCCAACTTTCCAGAAGCACCTCAGGAGGAGGCTTCTCTCAGCAATAGGTATGTGGGAGCGACCCCGAGTTTGCTGCCTCAAGGGGAATACACAGGGAGAAGCCCTAACGTGAACGGAGGCCAGATTTCCTTGCAGTGGGTTGAATAAAGGCTCGTCTTCGATCTGAAAACATGAAGGGATGTCTGAATTCCCTGTGGAGACCTTAGAGGAAGCCCTAGGTCCCTGCCTCATTTTGACGGAATACCTCACATCCCCCTGACACCCCGAGAGGCACGCAGAGTTCATTGCTTCAAAAGGTGACGATGCCTGACTCCTCTTGAATACTTATAGGAATCCCAAAATCCCTGTTGCTACAGGAAAGGGTCCTTGGGTGCCCTGGCTCACCTCGAGAAGCGTCCCTTTTGCCCTGCCAAGCCTCGAAGAAATTGCTGAGGTGTCCCTCGTTACTAGACAGGAGTCCTGACGTCACGGAAGAAACTCGTGTTTTGAAGGGCCATCCCCGCCGTAAGTCGAGAACATACCCCAGGTCCCCGCCGCAACTCGAGAAAAACCATGAGACTTCCCCCTAGAGGCGAGATGAGGCCCCATTCCCCTGCAGTGCATGCAGAGCTATTCCGTGATCCCATTCAAACAAGTCAGGAGCTTCGACTTGCTTAATGGATCTCGAGGCAGTCCCCAAGAACACTGTCACCAGTCTAGACGGACCCTGAGGTCACCCAGCAATGCAAAGCAGCTCCATGTGCCCCAAATCAACTCGAGATGAGGCCGGATTCCCCTGCATTGACTCCAGAGCCATTCCTTGTTCCCCATTCAACACGACCGGTGGATCGACTTCTTTCAGGCAACTCCAGAGATGCCCAGAGAACACTGTCCCAAGTCTAGAGGAACACCAACTTCAGCACAGCAACACGAGGAATGCTCTGTGTACCCCAAATCGTTTCGAGATGAGAGCTGATTCCCTGGCTTAGGCTCAAGACGTATGCCAACTTTCCAGAAGCACCTCAGGAGGAGGCTTCTCAGCAATAGGTATGTGGGAGGGACTCCGAGTTTGCTGCCTCAAGGGGAATATACAGCGAGAAGCCCTAACTTGAAAGGAGGCCGGATTTCCTTGCAGTAGCTTGTATACAGGCTTGTCTTTCATCTCACAACATGAAGGGATGTCTGAATCCCCTGTGAAGACCTTAGAGAAAACCCTAGGACCCTGCCTCATTTTGACGGAATGCCTCACATCCCGCTGACACCTCGAGAGGCACGCGGAGTTCATTGCTTCAAAAGGTGACGATGCCTGACTCCTCTTGATAGGAATCCCAAAATCCCTGTGGCTACTGGAAAGGTTCCTTGGGTGCCCTGGCTCACCTCGAGAAGCGTCCCTTTTGCCCTGCCAAGCCTCGAAGAGATTCCTGAGGTGTCCCTCGTTACTAGACAGGAGTCCTGACGTCACTGAAGAAACTCGTGTTTTGAAGGGCCATCCCCGCCGTAAGTCGAGAACATACCCCAGGTCCCCGCGGCAACTCGAGAAAAACCATGAGACTTCCCCCTAGAGGCGAGATGAGGCCCCATTCCCCTGCAGTGCATGCAGAGCTATTCCGTGATCCCATTCAAACAAGTCAGGAGCTTCGACTTGCTTAATGGATCTCGAGACAGTCCCCAAGAACACTGTCACCAGTCTAGACGGACCCTGAGGTCACCCCAGCAACGCAAAGCTGCTCCATGTGCCCCAAATCAACTCGAGATGAGGCCCGATTCCCCTGCATTGACTCCAGAGCCATTCCCCGTTCCCCATTCAACACGACCTGTGGCTCGACTTCCTTCAGGCAACTGCAGAGATGCCCCGAGAACACTGCCCCAAGTCTAGAGGAACACCAACTTTAGCACAGCAACTCGAGGAATGCTCCGTGTACCCCAAATCATCTCGAGATGAGAGCTGATTCTCTGGCTTAGGCTCAAGACGAATGCCAACTTTCCAGAAGCACCTCAGGAGGAGGCTTCTCTCAGCAATAAGTATGTGGGAGCGACCCCGAGATTGCTGCCTCAAGGGGAATACACAGGGAGAAGCCCTAATGTGAACGGAGGCCAGATTTCCTTGCAGTGGGTTGAATAAAGGCTCGTCTTCGATCTGAAAACATGAAGGGATGTCTGAATTCCCTGTGGAGACCTTAGAGGAAGCCCTAGGTCCCTGCTTCATTTTGACGGAATACCTCACATCTCCCAGACACCTCGAGAGGCACGCAGAGTTCATTGCTTCAAAAGGTGACGATGCCTGACTCCTCTTGAATACTTATAGGAATCCCAAAATCCCTGTTGCTACTGGAAAGGGTCCTTGGGTGCCCTGGCTCACCTCGAGAAGCGTCCCTTTTGCCCTGCCAAGCCTCGAAGAAATTGCTGAGGTGTCCCTCGTTACTAGACAGGAGTCCTGAGGTCACGGAAGAAACTCGTGTTTTGAAGGGCCATCCCCGCCGTAAGTCGAGAACATACGCCAGGTCCCCGCCGCAACTCGAGAAAAACCATGAGACTTCCCCCTAGAGGCGAGATGAGGCCCCATTCCCCTGCAGTGCATGCAGAGCTATTCCGTGATCCCATTCAAACAAGTCAGGAGCTTCGACTTGCTTAATGGATCTCGAGACAGTCCCCAAGAACACTGTCACCAGTCTAGACGGACCCTGAGGTCACCCCAGCAACGCAAAGCAGCTCCATGTGCCCCAAATCAACTCGAGATGAGGCCCGATTCCCCTGCATTGACTCCAGAGCCATTCCCCGTTCCCCATTCAACACGACTGGTGGCTCGCTTTCCTTCAGGCAACTCCAGAGATGCCCCGAGAACACTGTCCCAAGTCTAGAGGAACACCAACTTCAGCACAGCAACTCGAGGAATGCTCTGTATACCCCAAATCGTCTCGAGATGAGAGCTGATTCCCTGGCTTAGGCTCAAGACGTATGCCACCTTTCCAGAAGCACCTCAGGAGGAGGCTTCTCAGAAATAGGTATGTGGGAGGGACTCCGAGTTTGCTGCCTCAAGGGGAATATACAGCGAGAAGCCCTAACTTGAAAGGAGGCCGGATTTCCTTGCAGTGGCTTGAATACAGGCTCGTCTTTCATCTCACAACATGAAGGGATGTCTGAATCCCCTGTGGAGACCTTAGAGAAAGCCCTAGGTCCCTGCCTCATTTTGACGGAATGCCTCACATCCCGCTAACACCTCGAGAGGCACGCGGAGTTCATTGCTTCAAAAGGTGACGATGCCTGACTCCTCTTGAATACTGATAGGAATCCCAAAATCCCTGTGGCTACTGGAAAGGGTCCTTGGGTGCCCTGCCTCACCTCGAGAAGCGTCCCTTTTGCCCTGCCAAGACTCGAAGAGATTCCTGAGGTGTCACTCGTTACTAGGCAGGAGTCCTGACCTCACTGAAGAAAGTCGTGTTTTGAAGGGCCATCCCTGCCGTAAGTCGAGAACATACCCCAGGTCCCCGCCGCAACTCGAGAAAAACCATGAGACTTCCCCCTAGAGGCGAGATGAGGCCCCATTCCCCTGCAGTGCATGCAGAGCTATTCCGTGATCCCATTCAAACAAGTCAGGAGCTTCGACTTGCTTAATGGATCTCGAGACAGTCCCCAAGAACACTGTCACCAGTCTAGACGGACCCTGAGGTCACCCAGCAATGCAAAGCAGCTCCATGTGCCCCAAATCAACTCGAGATGAGGCCGGATTCCCCTGCATTGACTCCAGAGCCATTCCTTGTTCCCCATTCAACACGACCGGTGGCTCGACTTCCTTCAGGCAACTCCAGAGATGCCCCGAGAACACTGTCCCAAGTCTAGAGGAACACCAACTTCAGCACAGCAACTCGAGGAATGCTCTGTGTACCCCAAATCGTCTCGAGATGAGAGCTGATTCCCTGGCTTAGGCTCAAGACGTATGCCACCTTTCCAGAAACACCTCAGGAGGAGGCTTCTCTCAGCAATAGTTATGTGGGAGGGACCCCGAGTTTGCTGCCTCAAGGGGAATATACAGCGAGAAGTCCTAACTTGAAAGGAGGCCGGATTTCCTTGCAGTGGCTTGAATACCGGCTCGTCTTTCATCTCACAACATGAAGGGATGTCTGAATCCCCTGTGGAGACCTTAGAGAAAGCCCTAGGTCCCTGCCTCATTTTCACGGAATCCTCACATCCCGCTGACACCTCGAGAGGCACGCGGAGTTCATTGCTTCAAAAGGTGACGATGCCTGACTCCTCGTGAATACTTATAGGAATCCCAAAATCCCTGTGGCTACTGGAAAGGGTACTTGGGTGCCCTGGCTCACCTCGAGAAGCGTCCCTTTTGCCCTGCCAAGCCTCGAAGAGATTCCTGAGGTGTCCCTCGTTACTAGACAGGAGTCCTGACGTCACTGAAGAAACTCGTGTTTTGAAGGGCCATCCCCGCCGTAAGTCGAGAACATACCCCAGGTCCCCGCCGCAACTCGAGAAAAACCATGAGACTTCCCCCTAGAGGCGAGATGAGGCCCCATTCCCCTGCAGTGCATGCAGAGCTATTCCGTGATCCCATTCAAACAAGTCAGGAGCTTCGACTTGCTTAATGGATCTCGAGACAGTCCCCAAGAACACTGTCACCAGTCTAGACGGACCCTGAGGTCACCGCAGCAACGCAAAGCTGCTCCATGTGCCCCAAATCAACTCGAGATGAGGCCCGATTCCCCTGCATTGACTCCAGAGCCATTCCCCGTTCCCCATTCAACACGACCTGTGGCTCGACTTCCTTCAGGCAACTGCAGAGATGCCCCGAGAACACTGCCCCAAGTCTAGAGGAACACCAACTTCAGCACAGCAACTCGAGGAATGCTCCGTGTACCCCAAATCGTCTCGAGATGAGAGCTGATTCCCTGGCTTAGGCTCAAGACGTATGCCAACTTTCCAGAAGCACCTCAGGAGGAGGCTTCTCTCAGCAATAGTTATGTGGGAGCGACCCCGTGTTTGCTGCCTCAAGGAGAATACACAGGGAGAAGCCCTAACGTGAACGGAGGCCAGATTTCCTTGCAGTGGGTTGAATAAAGGCTCGTCTTCGATCTGAAAACATGAAGGGATGTCTGAATCCCCTGTGGAGACCTTAGAGGAAGCCCTAGGTCCCTGCCTCATTTTGACGGAATACCTCACATCCCCCTGACACCTCGAGAGGCACGCAGAGTTCATTGCTTCAAAAGGTGACGATGCCTGACTCCTCTTGAATACTTATAGGAATCCCAAAATCCCTGTTGCTACTGGAAAGGGTCCTTGGGTGCCTTGGCTCACCTCGAGAAGCGTCCCTTTTGCCCTGCCAAGCCTCGAAGAAATTGCTGAGGTTTCCCTCGTTACTAGACTGGAGTCCTGACGTCACGGAAGAAACTCGTGTTTTGAAGGGCCATCCCCGCCGTAAGTCGAGAACATACGCCAGGTCCCCGCCGAAACTCGAGAAAAACCATTAGACTTCCCCCTAGAGGCGAGATGAGGCCCCATTCCCCTGCAGTGCATGCAGAGCTATTCCGTGATCCCATTCAAACAAGTCAGGAGCTTCGACTTGCTTAATGGATCTCGAGACAGTCCCCAAGAACACTGTCACCAGTCTAGACGGACCCTGAGGTCACCCAGCAATGCAAAGCAGCTCCATGTGCCCCAAATCAACTCGAGATGAGGCCGGATTCCCCTGCATTGACTCCAGAGCCATTCCTTGTTCCCCATTCAACACGACCGGTGGCTCGACTTCCTTCAGGCAACTCCAGAGATGCCCCGAGAACACTGTCCCAAGTCTAGAGGAACACCAACTTCAGCACAGCAACTCGAGGAATGCTCTGTGTACCCCAAATCGTCTCGAGATGAGAGCTGATTCCCTGGCTTAGGCTCAAGACGTATGCCACCTTTCCAGAAACACCTCAGGAGGAGGCTTCTCTCAGCAATAGTTATGTGGGAGGGACCCCGAGTTTGCTGCCTCAAGGGGAATATACAGCGAGAAGTCCTAACTTGAAAGGAGGCCGGATTTCCTTGCAGTGGCTTGAATACCGGCTCGTCTTTCATCTCACAACATGAAGGGATGTCTGAATCCCCTGTGGAGACCTTAGAGAAAGCCCTAGGTCCCTGCCTCATTTTCACGGAATCCTCACATCCCGCTGACACCTCGAGAGGCACGCGGAGTTCATTGCTTCAAAAGGTGACGATGCCTGACTCCTCTTGAATACTTATAGGAATCCCAAAATCCCTGTGGCTACTGGAAAGGGTACTTGGGTGCCCTGGCTCACCTCGAGAAGCGTCCCTTTTGCCCTGCCAAGCCTCGAAGAGATTCCTGAGGTGTCCCTCGTTACTAGACAGGAGTCCTGACGTCACTGAAGAAACTCGTGTTTTGAAGGGCCATCCCCGCCGTAAGTCGAGAACATACCCCAGGTCCCCGCCACAACTCGAGAAAAACCATGAGACTTCCCCCTAGAGGCGAGATGAGGCCCCATTCCCCTGCAGTGCATGCAGAGCTATTCCGTGATCCCATTCAAACAAGTCAGGAGCTTCGACTTGCTTAATGGATCTCGAGACAGTCCCCAAGAACACTGTCACCAGTCTAGACGGACCCTGAGGTCACCCCAGCAACGCAAAGCTGCTCCATGTGCCCCAAATCAACTCGAGATGAGGCCCGATTCCCCTGCATTGACTCCAGAGCCATTCCCCGTTCCCCATTCAACACGACCGGTGGCTCGACTTCCTTCAGGCAACTCCAGGGATGCCCCGAGAACACTGTCCCAAGTCTAGAGGAACACCAACTTCAGCACAGCAACTCGAGGAATGCCCTGTGTACCACAAATCGTCTCGAGATGAGAGCTGATTCCCTGGCTTAGGCTCAAGACGTATGCCACCTTTCCAGAAGCACCTCAGGAGGAGGCTTCTCTCAGCAATAGGTATGTGGGAGGGACCCCGAGTTTGCTGCCTCAAGGGGAATATACAGCGAGAAGCCCTAACTTGAAAGGAAGCCGGATTTCCTTCCAGTGGCTTGAATACAGGCTCGTCTTTCATCTCACAACATGAAGGGATGTCTGAATCCCCTGTGGAGACCTTAGAGAAAGCCCTAGGTCCCTGCCTCATTTTGACGGAATGCCTCACATCCCGCTGACACCTCGAGAGGCACGCGGAGTTCATTGCTTCAAAAGGTGACGATGCCTGACTCCTCTTGAATACTGATAGGAATCCCAAAATCCCTGTGGCTAATGGAAAGGGTCCTTGGGTGCCCTGCCTCACCTCGAGAAGCGTCCCTTTTGCCCTGCCAAGACTCGAAGAGATTCCTGAGGTGTCACTCGTTACTAGGCAGGAGTCCTGACCTCACTGAAGAAAGTCGTGTTTTGAAGGGCCATCCCTGCCGTAAGTCGAGAACATACCCCAGGTCCCCGCCGCAACTCGAGAAAAACCATGAGACTTCCCCCTAGAGGCGAGATGAGGCCCCATTCCCCTGCAGTGCATGCAGAGCTATTCCGTGATCCCATTCAAACAAGTCAGGAGCTTCGACTTGCTTAATGGATCTCGAGACAGTCCCCAAGAACACTGTCACCAGTCTAGACGGACCCTGAGGTCACCCAGCAATGCAAAGCAGCTCCATGTGCCCCAAATCAACTCGAGATGAGGCCGTATTCCCCTGCATTGACTCCAGAGGCATTCCTTGTTCCCCATTCAACACGACCGGTGGCTCGACTTCCTTCAGGCAACTCCAGAGATGCCTCGAGAGCACTATCCCAAGTCTAGAGGACCACCAACTTCAGCAGAGCAACTCGAGGAATGCTCTGTGTACCCCAAATCGTCTCGAGATGAGAGCTGATTCCCTGGCTTAGGCTCAAGACGTATGCCACCTTTCCAGAAGCACCTCAGGAGGAGGCTTCTCTCAGCAATAGGTATGTGGGAGGGACCCCGAGTTTGCTGCCTCAAGGGGAATATACAGCGAGAAGCCCTAACTTGAAAGGAGGCCGGATTTCCTTGCAGTGGCTTGAATACAGGCTCGTCTTTCATCTCACAACATGAAGGGATGTCTGAATCCCCTGTGGAGACCTTAGAGAAAGCCCTAGGTCCCTGCCTCATTTTGACGGAATCCTCATATCCCGCTGACACCTCGAGAGGCACGCGGAGTTCATTGCTTCAAAAGGTGACGATGCCTGACTCCTCTTGAATACTTATAGGAATCCGAAAATCCCTGTGGCTACTGGAAAGGGTCCTTGGGTGCCCTGGCTCACCTCGAGAAGCGTCCCTTTTGCCCTGCCAAGCCTCGAAGACATTGCTGAGGTGTCCCTCGTTACTAGACATGAGTCCTGACCTCACGGAAGAAACTCGTGTTTTGAGGGCCATCCCCGCCGTAAGTCGAGAACATACCCCAGGTCCCCGCCGCAACTCGAGAAAAACCATGAGACTTCCCCCTAGAGGCGAGATGAGGCCCCATTCCCCTGCAGTGCATGCAGAGCTATTCCGTGATCCCATTCAAACAAGTCAGGAGCTTCGACTTGCTTAATGGATCTCGAGACAGTCCCCAAGAACACTGTCACCAGTCTAGACGGACCCTGAGGTCACCCAGCAATGCAAAGCAGCTCCATGTGCCCCAAATCAACTCGAGATGAGGCCGGATTCCCCTGCATTGATTCCAGAGCCATTCCTTGTTCCCCATTCAACACGACCGGTGGCTCGACTTCCTTCAGGCAACTCCAGAGTTGCCCCGAGAACACTGTCCCAAGTCTAGAGGAACACCAACTTCAGCACAGCAACTCGAGGAATGCTCTGTGTACCCCAAATCGTCTCGAGATGAGAGCTGATTCCCTGGCTTAGGCTCAAGACATATGCCACCTTTCCAGAAACACCTCAGGAGGAGGCTTCTCTCAGCAATAGGTATGTGGGAGGGACCCCGAGTTTGCTGCCTCAAGGGGAATAAACAGCGAGAAGTCCTAACTTGAAAGGAGGCCGGATTTCCTTGCAGTGGCTTGAATACCGGCTCGTCTTTCATCTCACAACATGAAGGGATGTCTGAATCCCCTGTGGAGACCTTAGAGAAAGCCCTAGGTCCCTGCCTCATTTTCACGGAATCCTCACATCCCGCTGACACCTCGAGAGGCACGCGGAGTTCATTGCTTCAAAAGGTGACGATGCCTGACTCCTCTTGAATACTTATAGGAATCCCAAAATCACTGTGGCTACTGGAAAGGGTACTTGGGTGCCCTGGCTCACCTCGAGAAGCGTCCCTTTTGCCCTGCCAAGCCTCGAAGATATTGCTGAGGTGTCCCTCGTTACTAGACAGGAGTCCTGACGTCACTGAAGAAACTCGTGTTTTGAAGGGCCATCCCCGCCGTAAGTCGAGAACATACCCCAGGGCCCCGCCGCAACTCGAGAAAAACCGTGAGACTTCCCCCTAGAGGCGAGATGAGGCCCCATTCCCCTGCAGTGCATGCAGAGCTATTCCGTGATCCCATTCAAACAAGTCAGGAGCTTCGACTTGCTTAATGGATCTCGAGACAGTCCCCAAGAACACTGTCACCAGTCTAGACGGACCCTGAGGTCACCCAGCAATGCAAAGCAGCTCCATGTGCCCCAAATCAACTCGAGATGAGGCCGTATTCCCCTGCATTGACTCCAGAGCCATTCGTTGTTCCCCATTCAACACGACCGGTGGCTCGACTTCCTTCAGGCAACTCCAGAGATGCCTCGAGAGCACTATCCGAAGTCTAGAGGACCACCAACTTCAGCAGAGCAACTCGAGGAATGCTCTGTGTACCCCAAATCGTCTCGAGATGAGAGCTGATTCCCTGGCTTAGGCTCAAGACGTATGCCACCTTTCCAGAAGCACCTCAGGAGGAGGCTTCTCTCAGCAATAGGTATGTGGGAGGGACCCCGAGTTTGCTGCCTCAAGGGGAATATACAGCGAGAAGCCCTAACTTGAAAGGAGGCCGGATTTCCTTGCAGTGGCTTGAATACAGGCTCGTCTTTCATCTCACAACATGAAGGGATGTCTGAATCCCCTATGGAGACCTTAGAGAAAGCCCTAGGTCCCTGCCTCATTTTGACGGAATCCTCATATCCCGCTGACACCTCGAGAGGCACGCGGAGTTCATTGCTTCAAAAGGTGACGATGCCTGACTCCTCTTGAATACTTATAGAAATCCGAAAATCCCTGTGGCTACTGGAAAGGGTCCTTGGGTGCCCTGGCTCACCTCGAGAAGCGTCCCTTTTGCCCTGCCAAGCCTCGAAGAGATTGCTGAGGTGTCCCTCGTTACTAGACATGAGTCCTGACGTCACGGAAGAAACTCGTGTTTTGAAGGGCCATCCACGCCGTAAGTCGAGAACATACCCCAGGTCCCCGCCGCAACTCGAGAAAAACCATGAGACTTCCCCCTAGAGGCGAGATGAGGCCCCATTCCCCTGCAGTGCATGCAGAGCTATTCCGTGATCCCATTCAAACAAGTCAGGAGCTTCGACTTGCTTAATGGATCTCGAGACAGTCCCCAAGAACACTGTCACCAGTCTAGACGGACCCTGAGGTCACCCAGCAATGCAAAGCAGCTCCATGTGCCCCAAATCAACTCGAGATGAGGCCGGATTCCCCTGCATTGACTCCAGAGCCATTCCTTGTTCCCCATTCAACACGACCGGTGGCTCGACTTCCTTCAGGCAACTCCAGAGTTGCCCCGAGAACACTGTCCCAAGTCTAGAGGAACACCAACTTCAGCACAGCAACTCGAGGAAAGCTCTGTGTACCCCAAATCGTCTCGAGATGAGAGCTGATTCCCTGGCTTAGGCTCAAGACGTATGCCACCTTTCCAGAAACACCTCAGGAGGAGGCTTCTCTCAGCAATAGGTATGTGGGAGGGACCCCGAGTTTGCTGCCTCAAGGGGAATATACAGCGAGAAGTCCTAACTTGAAAGGAGGCCGGATTTCCTTGCAGTGGCTTGAATACCGGCTCGTCTTTCATCTCACAACATGAAGGGATGTCTGAATCCCCTGTGGAGACCTTAGAGAAAGCCCTAGGTCCCTGCCTCATTTTCACGGAATCCTCACATCCCGCTGACACCTCGAGAGGCACGCGGAGTTCATTGCTTCAAAAGGTGACGATGCCTGACTCCTCTTGAATACTTATAGGAATCCCAAAATCCCTGTGGCTACTGGAAAGGGTACTTGGGTGCCCTGGCTCACCTCGAGAAGCGTCCCTTTTGCCCTGCCAAGCCTCGAAGAGATTGCTGAGGTGTCCCTCGTTACTAGACAGGAGTCCTGACGTCACGGAAGAAACTCGTGTTTTGAAGGGCCATCCCCGCCGTAAGTCGAGAACATACCCCAGGTCCCCGCCGCAACTCGAGAAAAACCATGAGACTTCCCCCTAGAGGCGAGATGAGGCCCCATTCCCCTGCAGTGCATGCAGAGCTATTCCGTGATCCCATTCAAACAAGTCAGGAGCTTCGACTTGCTTAATGGATCTCGAGACAGTCCCCAAGAACACTGTCACCAGTCTAGACGGACCCTGAGGTCACCCAGCAATGCAAAGCAGCTCCATGTGCCCCAAATCAACTCGAGATGAGGCCGTATTCCCCTGCATTGACTCCAGAGCCATTCCTTGTTCCCCATTCAACACGACCGGTGGCTCGACTTCCTTCAGGCAACTCCAGAGATGCCTCGAGAGCACTATCCCAAGTCTAGAGGACCACCAACTTCAGCAGAGCAACTCGAGGAATGCTCTGTGTACCCCAAATCGTCTCGAGATGAGAGCTGATTCCCTGGCTTAGGCTCAAGACGTATGCCACCTTTCCAGAAGCACCTCAGGAGGAGGCTTCTCTCAGCAATAGGTATGTGGGAGGGACCCCGAGTTTGCTGCCTCAAGGGGAATATACAGCGAGAAGCCCTAACTTGAAAGGAGGCCGGATTTCCTTGCAGTGGCTTGAATACAGGCTCGTCTTTCATCTCACAACATGAAGGGATGTCTGAATCCCCTGTGGAGACCTTAGAGAAAGCCCTAGGTCCCTGCCTCATTTTGACGGAATCCTCATATCCCGCTGACACCTCGAGAGGCACGCGGAGTTCATTGCTTCAAAAGGTGACGATGCCTGACTCCTCTTGAATACTTATAGGAATCCGAAAATCCCTGTGGCTACTGGAAAGGGTCCTTGGGTGCCCTGGCTCACCTCGAGAAGCGTCCCTTTTGCCCTGCCAAGCCTCGAAGAGATTGCTGAGGTGTCCCTCGTTACTAGACATGAGTCCTGACCTCACGGAAGAAACTCGTGTTTTGAGGGCCATCCCCGCCGTAAGTCGAGAACATACCCCAGGTCCCCGCCGCAACTCGAGAAAAACCATGAGACTTCCCCCTAGAGGCGAGATGAGGCCCCATTCCCCTGCAGTGCATGCAGAGCTATTCCGTGATCCCATTCAAACAAGTCAGGAGCTTCGACTTGCTTAATGGATCTCGAGACAGTCCCCAAGAACACTGTCACCAGTCTAGACGGACCCTGAGGTCACCCAGCAATGCAAAGCAGCTCCATGTGCCCCAAATCAACTCGAGATGAGGCCGGATTCCCCTGCATTGACTCCAGAGCCATTCCTTGTTCCCCATTCAACACGACCGGTGGCTCGACTTCCTTCAGGCAACTCCAGAGTTGCCCCGAGAACACTGTCCCAAGTCTAGAGGAACACCAACTTCAGCACAGCAACTCGAGGAATGCTCTGTGTACCCCAAATCGTCTCGAGATGAGAGCTGATTCCCTGGCTTAGGCTCAAGACATATGCCACCTTTCCAGAAACACCTCAGGAGGAGGCTTCTCTCAGCAATAGGTATGTGGGAGGGACCCCGAGTTTGCTGCCTCAAGGGGAATATACAGCGAGAAGTCCTAACTTGAAAGGAGGCCGGATTTCCTTGCAGTGGCTTGAATACCGGCTCGTCTTTCATCTCACAACATGAAGGGATGTCTGAATCCCCTGTGGAGACCTTAGAGAAAGCCCTAGGTCCCTGCCTCATTTTCACGGAATCCTCACATCCCGCTGACACCTCGAGAGGCACGCGGAGTTCATTGCTTCAAAAGGTGACGATGCCTGACTCCTCTTGAATACTTATAGGAATCCCAAAATCACTGTGGCTACTGGAAAGGGTACTTGGGTGCCCTGGCTCACCTCGAGAAGCGTCCCTTTTGCCCTGCCAAGCCTCGAAGATATTGCTGAGGTGTCCCTCGTTACTAGACAGGAGTCCTGACGTCACTGAAGAAACTCGTGTTTTGAAGGGCCATCCCCGCCGTAAGTCGAGAACATACCCCAGGGCCCCGCCGCAACTCGAGAAAAACCGTGAGACTTCCCCCTAGAGGCGAGATGAGGCCCCATTCCCCTGCAGTGCATGCAGAGCTATTCCGTGATCCCATTCAAACAAGTCAGGAGCTTCGACTTGCTTAATGGATCTCGAGACAGTCCCCAAGAACACTGTCACCAGTCTAGACGGACCCTGAGGTCACCCAGCAATGCAAAGCAGCTCCATGTGCCCCAAATCAACTCGAGATGAGGCCGTATTCCCCTGCATTGACTCCAGAGCCATTCGTTGTTCCCCATTCAACACGACCGGTGGCTCGACTTCCTTCAGGCAACTCCAGAGATGCCTCGAGAGCACTATCCGAAGTCTAGAGGACCACCAACTTCAGCAGAGCAACTCGAGGAATGCTCTGTGTACCCCAAATCGTCTCGAGATGAGAGCTGATTCCCTGGCTTAGGCTCAAGACGTATGCCACCTTTCCAGAAGCACCTCAGGAGGAGGCTTCTCTCAGCAATAGGTATGTGGGAGGGACCCCGAGTTTGCTGCCTCAAGGGGAATATACAGCGAGAAGCCCTAACTTGAAAGGAGGCCGGATTTCCTTGCAGTGGCTTGAATACAGGCTCGTCTTTCATCTCACAACATGAAGGGATGTCTGAATCCCCTATGGAGACCTTAGAGAAAGCCCTAGGTCCCTGCCTCATTTTGACGGAATCCTCATATCCCGCTGACACCTCGAGAGGCACGCGGAGTTCATTGCTTCAAAAGGTGACGATGCCTGACTCCTCTTGAATACTTATAGAAATCCGAAAATCCCTGTGGCTACTGGAAAGGGTCCTTGGGTGCCCTGGCTCACCTCGAGAAGCGTCCCTTTTGCCCTGCCAAGCCTCGAAGAGATTGCTGAGGTGTCCCTCGTTACTAGACATGAGTCCTGACGTCACGGAAGAAACTCGTGTTTTGAAGGGCCATCCCCGCCGTAAGTCGAGAACATACCCCAGGTCCCCGCCGCAACTCGAGAAAAACCATGAGACTTCCCCCTAGAGGCGAGATGAGGCCCCATTCCCCTGCAGTGCATGCAGAGCTATTCCGTGATCCCATTCAAACAAGTCAGGAGCTTCGACTTGCTTAATGGATCTCGAGACAGTCCCCAAGAACACTGTCACCAGTCTAGACGGACCCTGAGGTCACCCAGCAATGCAAAGCAGCTCCATGTGCCCCAAATCAACTCGAGATGAGGCCGGATTCCCCTGCATTGATTCCAGAGCCATTCCTTGTTCCCCATTCAACACGACCGGTGGCTCGACTTCCTTCAGGCAACTCCAGAGTTGCCCCGAGAACACTGTCCCAAGTCTAGAGGAACACCAACTTCAGCACAGCAACTCGAGGAATGCTCTGTGTACCCCAAATCGTCTCGAGATGAGAGCTGATTCCCTGGCTTAAGCTCAAGACATATGCCACCTTTCCAGAAACACCTCAGGAGGAGGCTTCTCTCAGCAATAGGTATGTGGGAGGGACCCCGAGTTTGCTGCCTCAAGGGGAATATACAGCGAGAAGTCCTAACTTGAAAGGAGGCCGGATTTCCTTGCAGTGGCTTGAATACCGGCTCGTCTTTCATCTCACAACATGAAGGGATGTCTGAATCCCCTGTGGAGACCTTAGAGAAAGCCCTAGGTCCCTGCCTCATTTTCACGGAATCCTCACATCCCGCTGACACCTCGAGAGGCACGCGGAGTTCATTGCTTCAAAAGGTGACGATGCCTGACTCCTCTTGAATACTTATAGGAATCCCAAAATCACTGTGGCTACTGGAAAGGGTACTTGGGTGCCCTGGCTCACCTCGAGAAGCGTCCCTTTTGCCCTGCCAAGCCTCGAAGATATTGCTGAGGTGTCCCTCGTTACTAGACAGGAGTCCTGACGTCACTGAAGAAACTCGTGTTTTGAAGGGCCATCCCCGCCGTAAGTCGAGAACATACCCCAGGGCCCCGCCGCAACTCGAGAAAAACCGTGAGACTTCCCCCTAGAGGCGAGATGAGGCCCCATTCCCCTGCAGTGCATGCAGAGCTATTCCGTGATCCCATTCAAACAAGTCAGGAGCTTCGACTTGCTTAATGGATCTCGAGACAGTCCCCAAGAACACTGTCACCAGTCTAGACGGACCCTGAGGTCACCCAGCAATGCAAAGCAGCTCCATGTGCCCCAAATCAACTCGAGATGAGGCCGTATTCCCCTGCATTGACTCCAGAGCCATTCGTTGTTCCCCATTCAACACGACCGGTGGCTCGACTTCCTTCAGGCAACTCCAGAGATGCCTCGAGAGCACTATCCGAAGTCTAGAGGACCACCAACTTCAGCAGAGCAACTCGAGGAATGCTCTGTGTACCCCAAATCGTCTCGAGATGAGAGCTGATTCCCTGGCTTAGGCTCAAGACGTATGCCACCTTTCCAGAAGCACCTCAGGAGGAGGCTTCTCTCAGCAATAGGTATGTGGGAGGGACCCCGAGTTTGCTGCCTCAAGGGGAATATACAGCGAGAAGCCCTAACTTGAAAGGAGGCCGGATTTCCTTGCAGTGGCTTGAATACAGGCTCGTCTTTCATCTCACAACATGAAGGGATGTCTGAATCCCCTATGGAGACCTTAGAGAAAGCCCTAGGTCCCTGCCTCATTTTGACGGAATCCTCATATCCCGCTGACACCTCGAGAGGCACGCGGAGTTCATTGCTTCAAAAGGTGACGATGCCTGACTCCTCTTGAATACTTATAGAAATCCGAAAATCCCTGTGGCTACTGGAAAGGGTCCTTGGGTGCCCTGGCTCACCTCGAGAAGCGTCCCTTTTGCCCTGCCAAGCCTCGAAGAGATTGCTGAGGTGTCCCTCGTTACTAGACATGAGTCCTGACGTCACGGAAGAAACTCGTGTTTTGAAGGGCCATCCCCGCCGTAAGTCGAGAACATACCCCAGGTCCCCGCCGCAACTCGAGAAAAACCATGAGACATCCCCCTAGAGGCGAGATGAGGCCCCATTCCCCTGCAGTGCATGCAGAGCTATTCCGTGATCCCATTCAAACAAGTCAGGAGCTTCGACTTGCTTAATGGATCTCGAGACAGTCCCCAAGAACACTGTCACCAGTCTAGACGGACCCTGAGGTCACCCAGCAATGCAAAGCAGCTCCATGTGCCCCAAATCAACTCGAGATGAGGCCGGATTCCCCTGCATTGACTCCAGAGCCATTCCTTGTTCCCCATTCAACACGACCGGTGGCTCGACTTCCTTCAGGCAACTCCAGAGTTGCCCCGAGAACACTGTCCCAAGTCTAGAGGAACACCAACTTCAGCACAGCAACTCGAGGAAAGCTCTGTGTACCCCAAATCGTCTCGAGATGAGAGCTGATTCCCTGGCTTAGGCTCAAGACGTATGCCACCTTTCCAGAAACACCTCAGGAGGAGGCTTCTCTCAGCAATAGGTATGTGGGAGGGACCCCGAGTTTGCTGCCTCAAGGGGAATATACAGCGAGAAGTCCTAACTTGAAAGGAGGCCGGATTTCCTTGCAGTGGCTTGAATACCGGCTCGTCTTTCATCTCACAACATGAAGGGATGTCTGAATCCCCTGTGGAGACCTTAGAGAAAGCCCTAGGTCCCTGCCTCATTTTCACGGAATCCTCACATCCCGCTGACACCTCGAGAGGCACGCGGAGTTCATTGCTTCAAAAGGTGACGATGCCTGACTCCTCTTGAATACTTATAGGAATCCCAAAATCCCTGTGGCTACTGGAAAGGGTACTTGGGTGCCCTGGCTCACCTCGAGAAGCGTCCCTTTTGCCCTGCCAAGCCTCGAAGAGATTGCTGAGGTGTCCCTCGTTACTAGACAGGAGTCCTGACGTCACTGAAGAAACTCGTGTTTTGAAGGGCCATCCCCGCCGTAAGTCGAGAACATACCCCAGGTCCCCGCCGCAACTCGAGAAAAACCATGAGACTTCCCCCTAGAGGCGAGATGAGGCCCCATTCCCCTGCAGTGCATGCAGAGCTATTTCGTGATCCCATTCAAACAAGTCAGGAGCTTCGACTTGCTTAATGGATCTCGAGACAGTCCCCAAGAACACTGTCACCAGTCTAGACGGACCCTGAGGTCACCCCAGCAACGCAAAGCAGCTCCATGTGCCCCAAATCAACTCGAGATGAGGCCCGATTCCCCTGCATTGACTCCAGAGCCATTCCCCGTTCCCCATTCAACACGACTGGTGGCTCGCTTTCCTTCAGGCAACTCCAGAGATGCCCCGAGAACACTGTCCCAAGTCTAGAGGAACACCAACTTCAGCACAGCAACTCGAGGAATGCTCTGTGTACCCCAAATCGTCTCGAGATGAGAGCTGATTCCCTGGCTTAGGCTCAAGACGTATGCCAACTTTCCAGAAACACCTCAGGAGGAGGCTTCTCTCAGCAATAGGTATGTGGGAGGGACCCCGAGTTTGCTGCCTCAAGGGGAATATACAGCGAGAAGTCCTAACTTGAAAGGAGGCCGGATTTCCTTGCAGTGGCTTGAATACCGGCTCGTCTTTCATCTCACAACATGAAGGGATGTCTGAATCCCCTGTGGAGACCTTAGAGAAAGCCCTAGGTCCCTGCCTCATTTTGACGGAATCCTCATATCCCGCTGACACCTCGAGAGGCACGCGGAGTTCATTGCTTCAAAAGGTGACGATGCCTGACTCCTCTTGAATACTTATAGGAATCCGAAAATTCCTGTGGCTACTGTTAAGGGTCCTTGGGTGCCCTGGCTCACCTCGAGAAGCGTCCCTTTTGCCCTGCCAAGCCTCGAAGAGATTGCTGAGGTGTCCCTCGTTACTAGACATGAGTCCTGACGTCACGGAAGAAACTCGTGTTTTGAAGGGCCATCCCCGCCGTAAGTCGAGAACATACCCCAGGTCCCCGCCGCAACTCGAGAAAAACCATGAGACTTCCCCCTAGAGGCGAGATGAGGCCCCATTCCCCTGCAGTGCATGCAGAGCTATTCCGTGATCCCATTCAAACAAGTCAGGAGCTTCGACTTGCTTAATGGATCTCGAGACAGTCCCCAAGAACACTGTCACCAGTCTAGACGGACCCTGAGGTCACCCAGCAATGCAAAGCAGCTCCATGTGCCCCAAATCAACTCGAGATGAGGCCGGATTCCCCTGCATTGACTCCAGAGCCATTCCTTGTTCCCCATTCAACACGACCGGTGGCTCGCCTTCCTTCAGGCAACTCCAGAGTTGCCCCGAGAACACTGTCCCAAGTCTAGAGGAACACCAACTTCAGCACAGCAACTCGAGGAATGCTCTGTGTACCCCAAATCGTCTCGAGATGAGAGCTGATTCCCTGGCTTAGGCTCAAGACGTATGCCACCTTTCCAGAAACACCTCAGGAGGAGGCTTCTCTCAGCAATAGGTATGTGGGAGGGACCCCGAGTTTGCTGCCTCAAGGGGAATATACAGCGAGAAGTCCTAACTTGAAAGGAGGCCGGATTTCCTTGCAGTGGCTTGAATACCGGCTCGTCTTTCATCTCACAACATGAAGGGATGTCTGAATCCCCTGTGGAGACCTTAGAGAAAGCCCTAGGTCCCTGCCTCATTTTGACGGAATACCTCACATCCCGCTGACACCTCGAGAGGCACGCGGAGTTCATTGCTTCAAAAGGTGACGATGCCTGACTCCTCTTGAATACTTATAGGAATCCCAAAATCCCTGTGGCTACTGGAAAGGGTCCTTGGCTGCCCTGGCTCACCTCGAGAAGCGTCCCTTTTGCCCTGCCAAGCCTCGAAGAAATGGTGAGGTGTCCCTCGTTACTAGACAGGAGTCCTGACGTCACGGAAGAAACTCGTGTTTTGAAGGGCCATCCCCGCCGTAAGTCGAGAACATACCCCAGGTCCCCGCCGCAACTCGAGAAAAACCATGAGACTTCCCCCTAGAGGCGAGATGAGGCCCCATTCCCCTGCAGTGCATGCAGAGCTATTCCGTGATCCCATTCAAACAAGTCAGGAGCTTCGACTTGCTTAATGGATCTCGAGACAGTCCCCATGAACACTGTCACCAGTCTAGACGGACCCTGAGGTCACCCCAGCAACGCAAAGCTGCTCCATGTGCCCCAAATCAACTCGAGATGAGGCCCGATTCCCCTGCATTGACTCCAGAGCCATTCCCCGTTCCCCATTCAACACGACCGGTGGCTCGCTTTCCTTCAGGCAACTCCAGAGATGCCCCGAGAACACTGTCCCAAGTCTAGAGGAACACCAACTTCAGCACAGCAACTCGAGGAATGCTCTGTATACCCCAAATCGTCTCGAGATGAGAGCTGATTCCCTGGCTTAGGCTCAAGACGTATGCCACCTTTCCAGAAGCACCTCAGGAGGAGGCTTCTCAGCAATAGGTATGTGGGAGGGACTCCGAGTTTGCTGCCTCAAGGGGAATATACAGCGAGAAGCCCTAACTTGAAAGGAGGCCGGATTTCCTTGCAGTGGCTTGAATACAGGCTCGTCTTTCATCTCACAACATGAAGGGATGTCTGAATCCCCTGTGGAGACCTTAGAGAAAGCCCTAGGTCCCTGCCTCATTTTGACGGAATGCCTCACATCCCGCTAACACCTCGAGAGGCACGCGGAGTTCATTGCTTCAAAAGGTGACGATGCCTGACTCCTCTTGAATACTGATAGGAATCCCAAAATCCCTGTGGCTACTGGAAAGGGTCCTTGGGTGCCCTGCCTCACCTCGAGAAGCGTCCCTTTTGCCCTGCCAAGACTCGAAGAGATTCCTGAGGTGTCACTCGTTACTAGGCAGGAGTCCTGACCTCACTGAAGAAAGTCGTGTTTTGAAGGGCCATCCCTGCCGTAAGTCGAGAACATACCCCAGGTCCCCGCCGCAACTCGAGAAAAACCATGAGACTTCCCCCTAGAGGCGAGATGAGGCCCCATTCCCCTGCAGTGCATGCAGAGCTATTCCGGGATCCCATTCAAACAAGTCAGGAGCTTCGACTTGCTTAATGGATCTCGAGACAGTCCCCAAGAACACTGTCACCAGTCTAGACGGACCCTGAGGTCACCCAGCAATGCAAAGCAGCTCCATGTGCCCCAAATCAACTCGAGATGAGGCCGGATTCCCCTGCACTGACTCCAGAGCCATTCCCCGTTCCCCATTCAACAAGACCGGTGGCTCGACTTCCTTCAGGCAACTCCAGGGATGCCCCGAGAACACTGTCCCAAGTCTAGAGCAACACCAACTTCAGCACAGCAACTCGAGGAATGCTCTGTGTACCCCAAAACGTCTCGAGATGAGAGCTGATTCCCTGGCTTAGGCTCAAGACGTATGCCACCTTTCCAGAAGCACCTCAGGAGGAGGCTTCTCTCAGCAATAGGTATGTGGGAGGGACCCCGAGTTTGCTGCCTCAAGGGGAATATACAGCGAGAAGCCCTAACTTGAAAGGAGGCCGGATTTCCTTGCAGTGGCTTGAATATAGGCTCGTCTTTGATCTGACAACATGAAGGGATGTCTGAATCCCCTGTGGAGACCTTAGAGAAAGCCCTAGGTCCCTGCCTCATTTTGACGGAATGCCTCACATCCCGCTGACACCTCGAGAGGCACGCGGAGTTCATTGCTTCAAAAGGTGACGATGCCTGACTCCTCTTGAATACTGATAGGAATCCCAAAATCCCTGTGGCTACTGGAAAGGGTCCTTGGGTGCCCTGCCTCACCTCGAGAAGCGTCCCTTTTGCACTGCCAAGCCTCGAAGAGATTCCTGAGGTGTCCCTCGTTACTAGGCAGGAGTCCTGACGTCACTGGAGAAACTCGTGTTTTGAAGGGCCATCCCCGCCGTAAGTCGAGAACATACCCCAGGGCCCCGCCGCAACTCGAGAAAAACCGTGAGACTTCCCCCTAGAGGCGAGATGAGGCCCCATTCCCCTGCAGTGCATGCAGAGCTATTCCGTGATCCCATTCAAACAAGTCAGGAGCTTCGACTTGCTTAATGGATCTCGAGACAGTCCCCAAGAACACTGTCACCAGTCTAGACGGACCCTGAGGTCACCCAGCAATGCAAAGCAGCTCCATGTGCCCCAAATCAACTCGAGATGAGGCCGTATTCCCCTGCATTGACTCGAGAGCCATTCCTTGTTCCCCATTCAACACGACCGGTGGCTCGACTTCCTTCAGGCAACTCCAGAGATGCCTCGAGAGCACTATCCCAAGTCTAGAGGACCACCAACTTCAGCAGAGCAACTCGAGGAATGCTCTGTGTACCCCAAATCGTCTCGAGATGAGAGCTGATTCCCTGGCTTAGGCTCAAGACGTATGCCACCTTTCCAGAAGCACCTCAGGAGGAGGCTTCTCTCAGCAATAGGTATGTGGGAGGGACCCCGAGTTTGCTGCCTCAAGGGGAATATACAGCGAGAAGCCCTAACTTGAAAGGAGGCCGGATTTCCTTGCAGTGGCTTGAATACAGGCTCGTCTTTCATCTCACAACATGAAGGGATGTCTGAATCCCCTGTGGAGACCTTAGAGAAAGCCCTAGGTCCCTGCCTCATTTTGACGGAATCCTCATATCCCGCTGACACCTCGAGAGGCACGCGGAGTTCATTGCTTCAAAAGGTGACGATGCCTGACTCCTCTTGAATACTTATAAGAATCCGAAAATCCCTGTGGCTACTGGAAAGGGTCCTTGGGTGCCCTGGCTCACCTCGAGAAGCGTCCCTTTTGCCCTGCCAAGCCTCGAAGAGATTGCTGAGGTGTCCCTCGTTACTAGACATGAGTCCTGACGTCACTGAAGAAACTCGTGTTTTGAAGGGCCATCCCCGCCGTAAGTCGAGAACATACCCCAGGTCCCCGCCGCAACTCGAGAAAAACCATGAGACTTCCCCCTAGAGGCGAGATGAGGCCCCATTCCCCTGCAGTGCATGCAGAGCTATTCCGTGATCCCATTCAAACAAGTCAGGAGCTTCGACTTGCTTAATGGATCTCGAGACAGTCCCCAAGAACACTGTCACCAGTCTAGACGGACCCTGAGGTCACCCAGCAATGCAAAGCAGCTCCATGTGCCCCAAATCAACTCGAGATGAGGCCGGATTCCCCTGCATTGACTCCAGAGCCATTCCTTGTTCCCCATTCAACACGACCGGTGGCTCGACTTCCTTCAGGCAACTCCAGAGTTGACCCGAGAACACTGTCCCAAGTCTAGAGGAACACCAACTTCAGCACAGCAACTCGAGGAATGCTCTGTGTACCCCAAATCGTCTCGAGATGAGAGCTGATTCCCTGGCTTAGGCTCAAGACGTATGCCACCTTTCCAGAAACACCTCAGGAGGAGGCTTCTCTCAGCAATAGGTATGTGGGAGGGACCCCGAGTTTGCTGCCTCAAGGGGAATATACAGCGAGAAGTCCTAACTTGAAAGGAGGCCGGATTTCCTTGCAGTGGCTTGAATACCGGCTCGTCTTTCATCTCACAACATGAAGGGATGTCTGAATCCCCTGTGGAGACCTTAGAGAAAGCCCTAGGTCCCTGCCTCATTTTCACGGAATCCTCACATCCCGCTGACACCTCGAGAGGCACGCGGAGTTCATTGCTTCAAAAGGTGACGATGCCTGACTCCTCTTGAATACTTATAGGAATCCCAAAATCCCTGTGGCTACTGGAAAGGGTACTTGGGTGCCCTGGCTCACCTCGAGAAGCGTCCCTTTTGCCCTGCCAAGCCTCGAAGATATTGCTGAGGTGTCCCTCGTTACTAGACAGGAGTCCTGACGTCACTGAAGAAACTCGTGTTTTGAAGGGCCATCCCCGCCGTAAGTCGAGAACATACCCCAGGTCCCCGCCGCAACTCGAGAAAAACCATGAGACTTCCCCCTAGAGGCGAGATGAGGCCCCATTCCCCTGCAGTGCATGCAGAGCTATTCCGTGATCCCATTCAAACAAGTCAGGAGCTTCGACTTGCTTAATGGATCTCGAGACAGTCCCCAAGAACACTGTCACCAGTCTAGACGGACCCTGAGGTCACCCCAGCAACGCAAAGCAGCTCCATGTGCCCCAAATCAACTCGAGATGAGGCCCGATTCCCCTGCATTGACTCCAGAGCCATTCCCCGTTCCCCATTCAACACGACTGGTGGCTCGCTTTCCTTCAGGCAACTCCAGAGATGCCCCGAGAACACTGTCCCAAGTCTAGAGGAACACCAACTTCAGCACAGCAACTCGAGGAATGCTCTGTGTACCCCAAATCGTCTCGAGATGAGAGCTGATTCCCTGGCTTAGGCTCAAGACGTATGCCAACTTTCCAGAAACACCTCAGGAGGAGGCTTCTCTCAGCAATAGGTATGTGGGAGGGACCCCGAGTTTGCTGCCTCAAGGGGAATATACAGCGAGAAGTTCTAACTTGAAAGGAGGCCGGATTTCCTTGCAGTGGCTTGAATACCGGCTCGTCTTTCATCTCACAACATGAAGGGATGTCTGAATCCCCTGTGGAGACCTTAGAGAAAGCCCTAGGTCCCTGCCTCATTTTGACGGAATCCTCATATCCCGCTGACACCTCGAGAGGCACGCGGAGTTCATTGCTTCAAAAGGTGACGATGCCTGACTCCTCTTGAATACTTATAGGAATCCGAAAATCCCTGTGGCTACTGGAAAGGGTCCTTGGGTGCCCTGGCTCACCTCGAGAAGCGTCCCTTTTGCCCTGCCAAGCCTCGAAGAGATTGCTGAGGTGTCCCTCGTTACTAGACATGAGTCCTGACGTCACGGAAGAAACTCGTGTTTTGAAGGGCCATCCCCGCCGTAAGTCGAGAACATACCCCAGGTCCCCGCCGCAACTCGAGAAAAACCATGAGACTTCCCCCTAGAGGCGAGATGAGGCCCCATTCCCCTGCAGTGCATGCAGAGCTATTCCGTGATCCCATTCAAACAAGTCAGGAGCTTCGACTTGCTTAATGGATCTCGAGACAGTCCCCAAGAACACTGTCACCAGTCTAGACGGACCCTGAGGTCACCCAGCAATGCAAAGCAGCTCCATGTGCCCCAAATCAACTCGAGATGAGGCCGGATTACCCTGCATTGACTCCAGAGCCATTCCTTGTTCCCCATTCAACACGACCGGTGGCTCGACTTCCTTCAGGCAACTCCAGAGTTGCCCCGAGAACACTGTCCCAAGTCTAGAGGAACACCAACTTCAGCACAGCAACTCGAGGAATGCTCTGTGTACCCCAAATCGTCTCGAGATGAGAGCTGATTCCCTGGCTTAGGCTCAAGACGTATGCCACCTTTCCAGAAACACCTCAGGAGGAGGCTTCTCTCAGCAATAGGTATGTGGGAGGGACCCCGAGTTTGCTGCCTCAAGGGGAATATACAGCGAGAAGTCCTAACTTGAAAGGAGGCCGGATTTCCTTGCAGTGGCTTGAATACCGGCTCGTCTTTCATCTCACAACATGAAGGGATGTCTGAATCCCCTGTGGAGACCTTAGAGAAAGCCCTAGGTCCCTGCCTCATTTTCACGGAATGCTTACATCCCGCTGACACCTCGAGAGGCACGCGGAGTTCATTGCTTCAAAAGGTGACGATGCCTGACTCCTCTTGAATACTTATAGGAATCCCAAAATCCCTGTGGCTACTGGAAAGGGTACTTGGGTGCCCTGGCTCACCTCGAGAAGCGTCCCTTTTGCCCTGCCAAGCCTCGAAGATATTGCTGAGGTGTCCCTCGTTACTAGACAGGAGTCCTGACGTCACTGAAGAAACTCGTGTTTTGAAGGGCCATCCCCGCCGTAAGTCGAGAACATACCCCAGGTCCCGGCCGCAACTCGAGAAAAACCATGAGACTTCCCCCTAGAGGCGAGATGAGGCCCCATTCCCCTGCAGTGCATGCAGAGCTATTCCGTGATCCCATTCAAACAAGTCAGGAGCTTCGACTTGCTTAATGGATCTCGAGACAGTCCCCAAGAACACTGTCACCAGTCTAGACGGACCCTGAGGTCACCCCAGCAACGCAAAGCAGCTCCATGTGCCCCAAATCAACTCGAGATGAGGCCCGATTCCCCTGCATTGACTCCAGAGCCATTCCCCGTTCCCCATTCAACACGACTGGTGGCTCGCTTTCCTTCAGGCAACTCCAGAGATGCCCCGAGAACACTGTCCCAAGTCTAGAGGAACACCAACTTCAGCACAGCAACTCGAGGAATGCTCTGTGTACCCCAAATCGTCTCGAGATGAGAGCTGATTCCCTGGCTTAGGCTCAAGACGTATGCCAACTTTCCAGAAGCACCTCAGGAGGAGGCTTCTCAGCAATAGGTATGTGGGAGGGACTCCGAGTTTGCTGCCTCAAGGGGAATATACAGCGAGAAGCCCTAACTTGAAAGGAGGCCGGATTTCTTTGCAGTGGCTTGAATACAGGCTCGTCTTTCATCTCACAACATGAAGGGATGTCTGAATCCCCTGTGGAGACCTTAGAGAAAGCCCTAGGTCCCTGCCTCATTTTGACGGAATGCCTCACATCCCGCTAACACCTCGAGAGGCACGCGGAGTTCATTGCTTCAAAAGGTGACGATGCCTGACTCCTCTTGAATACTGATAGGAATCCCAAAATCCCTGTGGCTACTGGAAAGGGTCCTTGGGTGCCCTGCCTCACCTCGAGAAGCGTCCCTTTTGCCCTGCCAAGACTCGAAGAGATTCCTGAGGTGTCCCTCGTTACTAGACAGGAGTCCTGAAGTCACTGAAGAAACTCGTGTTTTGAAGGGCCATCCCCGCCATAAGTCGAGAACATACCCCAGGTCCCCGCCGCAACTCGAGAAAAACCGTGAGCCTTCCCCCTAGAGGCGAGATGAGGCCCCATTCCCCTGCAGTGCATGCAGAGCTATTCCGTGATCCCATTCAAACAAGTCAGGAGCTTCGACTTGCTTAATGGATCTCGAGACAGTCCCCAAGAACACTGTCACCAGTCTAGACGGACCCTGAGGTCACCCCAGCAACGCAAAGCAGCTCCATGTGCCCCAAATCAACTCGAGATGAGGCCCGATTCCCCTGCATTGACTCCAGAGCCATTCCCCGTTCCCCATTCAACACGACCGGTGGCTCGACTTCCTTCAGGCAACTCCAGGGATGCCCCGAGAACACTGTCCCAAGTCTAGAGGAACACCAACTTCAGCACAGCAACTCGAGGAATGCCCTGTGTACCACAAATCGTCTCGAGATGAGAGCTGATTCCCTGGCTTAGGCTCAAGACGTATGCCACCTTTCCAGAAGCACCTCAGGAGGAGGCTTCTCTCAGCAATAGGTATGTGGGAGGGACCCCGAGTTTGCTGCCTCAAGGGGAATATACAGCGAGAAGCCCTAACTTGAAAGGAAGCCGGATTTCCTTCCAGTGGCTTGAATACAGGCTCGTCTTTCATCTCACAACATGAAGGGATGTCTGAATCCCCTGTGGAGACCTTAGAGAAAGCCCTAGGTCCCTGCCTCATTTTGACGGAATGCCTCACATCCCGCTGACACCTCGAGAGGCACGCGGAGTTCATTGCTTCAAAAGGTGACGATGCCTGACTCCTCTTGAATACTGATAGGAATCCCAAAATCCCTGTGGCTAATGGAAAGGGTCCTTGGGTGCCCTGCCTCACCTCGAGAAGCGTCCCTTTTGCCCTGCCAAGACTCGAAGAGATTCCTGAGGTGTCACTCGTTACTAGGCAGGAGTCCTGACCTCACTGAAGAAAGTCGTGTTTTGAAGGGCCATCCCTGCCGTAAGTCGAGAACATACCCCAGGTCCCCGCCGCAACTCGAGAAAAACCATGAGACTTCCCCCTAGAGGCGAGATGAGGCCCCATTCCCCTGCAGTGCATGCAGAGCTATTCCGTGATCCCATTCAAACAAGTCAGGAGCTTCGACTTGCTTAATGGATCTCGAGACAGTCCCCAAGAACACTGTCACCAGTCTAGACGGACCCTGAGGTCACCCAGCAATGCAAAGCAGCTCCATGTGCCCCAAATCAACTCGAGATGAGACCCGATTCCCCTGCATTGACTCCAGAGCCATTCCCCGTTCCCCATTCAACACGACCGGTGGCTCGACTTCCTTCAGGCAACTCCAGGGATGCCCCGAGAACACTGTCCCAAGTCTAGAGGAACACCAACTTCAGCACAGCAACTCGAGGAATGCTCTGTGTACCCCAAATCGTCTCGAGATGAGAGCTGATTCCCTGGCTTAGGCTCAAGACGTATGCCACCTTTCCAGAAGCACCTCAGGAGGAGGCTTCTCTCAGCAATAGGTATGTGGGAGGGACCCCGAGTTTGCTGCCTCAAGGGTAATATACAGCGAGAAGCCCTAACTTGAAAGGAGGCCGGATTTCCTTGCAGTGGCTTGAATACAGGCTCGTCTTTCATCTCACAACATGAAGGGATGTCTGAATCCCCTGTGGAGACCTAAGATAAAGCCCTAGGTCCCTGCCTCATTTTGACGGAATCCTCACATCCCGCTGACACCTCGAGAGGCACGCGGAGTTCATTGCTTCAAAAGGTGACGATGCCTGACTCCTCTTGAATACTGATAGGAATCCCAAAATCCCTGTGGCTACTGGAAAGGGTCCTTGGGTGCCCTGGCTCACCTCGAGAAGCGTCCCTTTTGCCCTGCCAAGCCTCGAAGAGATTGCTGAGGTGTCCCTCGTTACTAGACAGGAGTCCTGACGTCACGGAAGAAACTCGTGTTTTGAAGGGCCATCCCCGCCGTAAGTCGAGAACATACCCCAGGTCCCCGCCGCAACGCGAGAAAAACCATGAGACTTCCCCCTAGAGGCGAGATGAGGCCCCATTCCCCTGCAGTGCATGCAGAGCTATTCCGTGATCCCATTCAAACAAGTCAGGAGCTTCGACTTGCTTAACGGATCTCGAGACAGTCCCCAAGAACACTGTCACCAGTCTAGACGGACCCTGAGGTCACCCCAGCAATGCAAAGCAGCTCCATGTGCCCCAAATCAACTCGAGATGAGGCCCGATTCCCCTGCATTGACTCCAGAGCAATTCCCCGTTCCCCATTCAACACGACTGGTGGCTCGCTTTCCTTCAGGCAACTCCAGAGATGCCCCGAGAACACTGTCCCAAGTCTAGAGGAACACCAACTTCAGCACAGCAACTCGAGGAATGCTCTGTGTACCCCAAATCGTCTCGAGATGAGAGCTGATTCCCTGGCTTAGGCTCAAGACGTATGCCAACTTTCCAGAAGCACCTCAGGAGGAGGCTTCTCAGCAATAGGTATGTGGGAGGGACTCCGAGTTTGCTGCCTCAAGGGGAATATACAGCGAGAAGCCCTAACTTGAAAGGAGGCCGGATTTCCTTGCAGTAGCTTGAAAACAGGCTTGTCTTTCATCTCACAACATGAAGGGATGTCTGAATCCCCTGTGAAGACCTTAGAGAAAGCCCTAGGACCCTGCCTCGTTTTGACGGAATGCCTCACATCCCGCTGACACCTCGAGAGGCACGCGGAGTTAATTGCTTCAAAAGGTGACGATGCCTGACTCCTCTTGAATACTGATAGGAATCCCACAATCCCTGTGGCTACTGGAAAGGTTCCTTGGGTGCCCTGGCTCACCTCGAGAAGCGTCCCTTTTGCCCTGCCAAGCCTCGAAGAGATTGCTGAGGTGTCCCTCGTTACTAGACAGGAGTCCTGACGTCACTGAAGAAACTCGTGTTTTGAAGGGCCATCCCCGCCGTAAGTCGAGAACATACCCCAGGTCCACGCCGCAACTCGAGAAAAACCATGAGACTTCCCCCTAGAGGCGAGATGAGGCCCCATTCCCCTGCAGTGCATGCAGAGCTATTCCGTGATCCCATTCAAACAAGTCAGGAGCTTCGACTTGCTTAATGGATCTCGAGACAGTCCCCAAGAACACTGTCACCAGTCTAGACGGACCCTGAGGTCACCCCAGCAACGCAAAGCTGCTCCATGTGCCCCAAATCAACTCGAGATGAGGCCCGATTCCCCTGCATTGACTCCAGAGCCATTCCCCGTTGCCCATTCAACACGACCGGTGGCTCGACTTCCTTCAGGCAACTGCAGAGATGCCCCGAGAACACTGCCCCAAGTCTAGAGGAACACCAACTTCAGCACAGCAACTCGAGGAATGCTCCGTGTACCCCAAATCGTCTCGAGATGAGAGCTGATTCCCTGGCTTAGGCTCAAGACGTATGCCACCTTTCCAGAAGCACCTCAGGAGGAGGCTTCTCTCAGCAATAGGTATGTGGGAGGGACCCCGAGTTTGCTGCCTCAAGGGTAATATACAGCGAGAAGCCCTAACTTGAAAGGAGGCCGGATTTCCTTGCAGTGGCTTGAATACAGGCTCGTTTTTCATCTCACAACATGAAGGGATGTCTGAATCCCCTGTGGAGACCTTAGAGAAAGCCCTAGGTCCCTGCCTCATTTTGACGGAATCCTCACATCCCGCTGACACCTCGAGAGGCACGCAGAGTTCATTGCTTCAAAAGGTGACGATGCCTGACTCCTCTTGAATACTGATAGGAATCCCAAAATCCCTGTGGCTACTGGAAAGGGTCCTTGGGTGCCCTGGCTCACCTCGAGAAGCGTCCCTTTTGCCCTGCGAAGCCTCGAAGAGATTGCTGAGGTGTCCCTCGTTACTAGACAGGAGTCCTGACGTCACGGAAGAAACTCGTGTTTTGAAGGGCCATCCCCGCCGTAAGTCGAGAACATACCCCAGGTCCCCGCCGCACCTCGAGAAAAACCATGAGACTTCCCCCTAGAGGCGAGATGAGGCCCCATTCCCCTGCAGTGCATGCAGAGCTATTCCGTGATCCCATTCAAACAAGTCAGGAGCTTCGACTTGCTTAATGGATCTCGAGACAGTCCCCAAGAACACTGTCACCAGTCTAGACGGACCCTGAGGTCACCCAGCAATGCAAAGCAGCTCCATGTGCCCCAAATCAACTCGAGATGAGGCCGGATTCCCCTGCATTGACTCCAGAGCCATTCCTTGTTCCCCATTCAACACGACCGGTGGCTCGACTTCCTTCAGGCAACTCCAGAGATGCCCCGAGAACATTGTCCCAAGTCTAGAGGACCACCAACTTCAGCACAGCAACTCGAGAAATGCTCTGTGTACCCCAAATCGTCTCGAGATGAGAGCTGATTCCCTGGCTTAGGCTCAAGACGTATGCCACCTTTCCAGAAGCACCTCAGGAGGAGGCTTCTCTCAGCAATAGGTATGTGGGAGGGACCTCGAGTTTGCTGCCTCAAGGGGAATATACAGCAAGAAGCCCTAACTTGAAAGGAGGCCGGATTTCCTTGCAGTGGCTTGAATACAGGCTCGTCTTTCATCTCACAACATGAAGGGATGTCTGAATCCCCTGTGGAGACCTTAGAGAAAGCCCTAGGTCCCTGCCTCATTTTGACGGAATCCTCACATCCCGCTGACACCTCGAGAGGCACGCGGAGTTCATTGCTTCGAAAGGTGACGATGCCTGACTCCTCTTGAATACTTATAGGAATCCCAAAATCCCTGTGGCTACTGGAAAGGGTCCTTGGGTGCCCTGCCTCACCTCGAGAAGCGTCCCTTTTGCCGTGCCAAGCCTCGAAGAGATTGCTGAGGTGTCCCTCGTTACTAGACAGGAGTCCTGACGTCACGGAAGAAACTCGTGTTTTGAAGGGCCATCCCCGCCGTAAGTCGAGAACATACCCCAGGTCCCCGCCGCAACTCGAGAAAAACCATGAGACTTCCCCCTAGAGGCGAGATGAGGCCCCATTCCCCTGCAGTGCATGCAGAGCTATTCCGTGATCCCATTCAAACAAATCAGGAGCTTCGACTTGCTTAATGGATCTCGAGACAGTCCCCAAGAACACTGTCACCAGTCTAGACGGACCCTGAGGTCACCCAGCAATGCAAAGCAGCTCCATGTGCCCCAAATCAACTCGAGATGAGGCCCGATTCCCCTGCATTGACTCCAGAGCCATTCCTTGTTCCCCATTCAACACGACCGGTGGCTCGACTTCCTTCAGGCAACTCCAGAGATGCCCCGAGAACACTGTCCCAAGTCTAGAGGAACACCAACTTCAGCACAGCAACTCGAGGAATGCTCTGTGTACCCCAAATCGTCTCGAGATGAGAGCTGATTCCCTGGCTTAGGCTCAAGACGTATGCCACCTTTCCAGAAGCACCTCAGGAGGAGGCTTCTCTCAGCAATAGGTATGTGGGAGGGACCCCGAGTTTGCTGCCTCAAGGGGAATATACAGCGAGAAGTCCTAACTTGAAAGAAGGCCGGATTTCCTTGCAGTGGCTTGAATACCGGCTCGTCTTTCATCTCACAACATGAAGGGATGTCTGAATCCCCTGTGGAGACCTTAGAGAAAGCCCTAGGTCCCTGCCTCATTTTGACGGAATCCTCACATCCCGCTGACACCTCGAGAGGCACGCGGAGTTCATTGCTTCAAAAGGTGACGATGCCTGACTCCTCTTGAATACTGATAGGAATCCCAAAATCCCTGTGGCTACTGGAAAGGGTCCTTGGGTGCCCTGGCTCACCTCGAGAAGCGTCCCTTTTGCCCTGCCAAGCCTCGAAGAGATTGCTGAGGTGTCCCTCGTTACTAGACAGGAGTCCTGACGTCACGGAAGAAACTCGTGTTTTGAAGGGCCATCCCCGCCGTAAGTCGAGAACATACCCCAGGTCCCCGCCGCAACTCGAGAAAAACCATGAGACTTCCCCCTAGAGGCGAGATGAGGCCCCATTCCCCTGCAGTGCATGCAGAGCTATTCCGTGATCCCATTCAAACAAGTCAGGAGCTTCGACTTGCTTAATGGATCTCGAGACAGTCCCCAAGAACACTGTCACCAGTCTAGACGGACCCTGAGGTCACCCCAGCAACGCAAAGCTGCTCCATGTGCCCCAAATCAACTCGAGATGAGGCCGGATTCCCCTGAATTGACTCCAGAGCCACTCCTTGTTCCCCATTCAACACGACCGGTGGCTCGACTTCCTTCAGGCAACACCAGAGATGCCCCGAGAACACTGTCCCAAGTCTAGAGGACCACCAACTTCAGCACAGCAACTCGAGGAATGCTCTGTGTACCCCAAATCGTCTCGAGATGAGAGCTGATTCCCTGCTTAGGCTCAAGACGTATGCCACCTTTCCAGAAGCACCTCAGGAGGAGGCTTCTCTCAGCAATAGGTATGTGGGAGGGACCCCGAGTTTGCTGCCTCAAGGGGAATACACAGGGAGAAGCCCTAATGTGAACGGAGGCCAGATTTCCTTGCAGTGGCTTGAATACAGGCTCGTCTTTGATCTGACAACATGAAGGGATTTCTGAATCCCCTGTGGAGACCTTAGAGGAAGCCCTAGGTCCCTGCCTCATTTTGACGGAATACCTCACATCCCCCTGACACCTCGAGAGGCACGCAGAGTTCATTGCTTCAAAAGGTGACGATGCCTGACTCCTCTTGAATACTGATAGGAATCCCAAAATCCCTGTGGCTACTGGAAAGGGTCCTTGGGTGCCCTGGCTCACCTCGAGAAGCGTCCCTTTTGCCCTGCCAAGCCTCGAAGAGATTGCTGACGTGTCCCTCGTTACTAGACAGGAGTCCT